CAGCCCCACCCAAAGGTCCTGCTGCACCACACCTGCCACTTTCCTGACGACTTGCTCAAGCACGGCAGCTCCCGCTCTGGCAGGCACACCCAGCCTTGGCTGAGAAGGGGGAATGTCCTCTTCCAGGACCTCCCTGTTTCTAGGTGAGCCAGCATTGAGGCAAACGGCTCTCCCAGAGGTCTGCTTCCTTCCCTTCCTGTGCTGACCCCCTGAAGGGGCTCAGGAGGAGGAACGCAGCCCCCCTGGGCACCAGCACCTTCCTACCCCAGAAACCTCCTTTCTGCCTGCCCTCCTGGTACCCTTTTCCCTCCCGCCAGAGCTCCTCTTCTAGGGGCTTGACAGTGGCATCTCACCCCTGCTGGTCTCTGCCAGACCATCGTGGGATGCTGCCCTGACTGTGTCCGTGTAGGCGGGGAGCAGCATACAACATCACTGAGATCCAGAGCAGATTCCCTCCTGGGCTGCGCCTCCTCCTTTCCTCCGGGGCTGAGGGGGCTCTTGGCAGTCATCCCCCCCCCCGCCTGTGCCTGTGTCTTTGCTGCTGGAGAATGGCTGGATGCCAGAATGTGGCCCTTTCAATGGGGCTCCTAATCAAGACTTTCCCCTCCAAGTGGAACAGGCTTTGGGGCTGCAGTCGCATTACTTGCCCTGCAGTGAATGTAATGCTGCTGGTTTATTTACTTCCTAAAAGTTTGTTTAAAAATGACTGTATTTTCTCCTCAGAGGTTTGAATGCATTTTGGGGTTTTTTCAGTTTGAAAGTTTGCTTCAGTTGAAAAGCAGGTAACTATAATTCCTTGAAGAAACACTAAAGCTGGAATGTGAAGCATTTCTACTCCATGGAGGTGAGAACCTGTGGAGGGACAGCCCCCCACCCCCCACCCCTGCCCCCAATTCCCCATGAGGCAGAGCGATGGGCTCTGGGGGGCCTGACCTGAGCCAGCAGGCCTGGCTCCTCCGCCCAGCCGGCCTTGGGGGGCACAAGGTCCTTGCCCAGCCACGCCAGGGAGGGGGAGCCTGAGGGCTGTGCCCGACAGCGGAGCAGGTGCCGCCTCTCAGCTGGGCACAGCTCGCTTTCCGCACAAAGCCCGATTCAGCCGCTTTGGGAGGACCAAAGTCCCATGGTGGTGCCAGCCTGCGCCAAGCAGGGAGACAGGGTGCCTTGGTACGGGACGCCTCTCTTGCAAACACCCCGCCTGGCCCCTCCAGGAGCGCAGAAGGGAGTCAGCCTGGCATCTTGTGCACAGACGGACCCTGCCCCCCCGCCCCACCCCACCACCCACGAAGAGCTTCCAGGAGGAGCGCCAGCAGGGGCAGGGTCTGCCCCAGCCCCACCCCCCTGGGTCTTCATCATGCCCCCTGGAGCACAAAGGCAGTTCACCCCAGATGGGCCACTTGCTCAGAGGCCATGTGTCTGCATGTGCATGAGGGAGGGAGGGAGGGCGCATAGGAGGGGGGGAGTGCAGGACTCAATTGGGTGCCAGTGCAGGAGGCAGAGCAGCAGTGGAGGTGGCACAGACGGGCACTGGTGGGCAGCTCCGTCTTCTCCTGGCTGCAGGTGGTGGGCAGCCCTTGGGATGTGAGGAGAGCCTTGCAGCTGGATCAGGCCAAGGTGTGTGTGGGGGGGGGAGCCCTCTAGTTTCTCCCTCCCCACCCAGCAGAGAGAAACTTGCCTTCCCAGGAGCTGATGGGGCTACTTTCTGCAGCATCCTGAATACCTTTTGCTGCTGAGGCCACAAGAACCGTATCTGGAGGAGGGTGAAGGCCTGAAGAAAGTCTCTCTCTCCTCCTCCTCCTCCTCCTCCCCCACTTTCTGTGCCAGCATTTGCCCAGGCCAGACTCCTGGCTCTGCTGGGCTCCTGTAAGCTATGAATCCCGAAGGATGACGACGACGACAATCAGGGTCTTGTCCTCTCCTGCTGCCCTGTGCCAGGCACAGCCTTTAGCTAAGCAGAGTCCAGAATGAGCAAGGGCTGCAGCTCAATGGCAGAGTATAGAATCGTAGAGTTGGAAAGGACCCCAAGGGTCATCTAGTCCAACCCCGTCATTCCGGAATCTCAGCTAAAGCATCCAGGACAGGTGGCCACACAACCTCTGCTTAAAAACTTCCAAGGAAGGCATCTGTCTCGCCTGCTCAAGGCCCCAATCCTGTTTGCTGCCAGTCAGCGCAGAGGCCGGCCCTGGCCAGCACTTTGAGACCTGAAACCTGCACTGCACTCAAAGGGTCGTTTGGGGATCCCTCTTTTTAGATCCATATATGATGACCTCTGTTGAGAGAGACAGGCAATGTTAATCTTCCTTGACCTCTCGCAGGTTTTGATATCACCCCAGAATCCTCCTGGAGAGGCTGTCTGAGTTGGGGGCAAGTGGTAGGGCTCTGCAGTGGTTCCAGTCCTCCTTGGATGGCTGTCTTCAGGAGCCCCAAGGAGCCTTCCATGTGGGGTCCCTCGGGGCTCCATTCCACCCACCATGAAGCCACTGAGTGGAGTCATCCGGAGATTTGCAGTGTGTTGGCAGCAATATGCTGGTGATGCGCAGCTCTTTCTCCTTTATATCCACAGGCCAGGCGGTAGATGTGCCAGAATGCTGTCTTTCCTCAGTAACAGACTGGATGAGAGCCCACCAACTGAAGCTCAACCCAGAGACAAGGCTCAGGACCTCAATGCCTTCAGAGCCGCCTCTCCCCAGGCAAACCGCCCTGGGCTCTGCCCTGGTCACCTGAGGCCCTTCTCTATGTTCCCCCTCCTTGAGAGGTTTGGAGGGTGACAACACCAGAAGGGCCTTTTCTGTGGCGACTCCCCAGTTGTGGAGTCACCCCAGGAGAGAAACTCACCTGGCGCCGTCCTTACATGGTCTTTATGTGCAAGGCAAAAACATTTCTCTTTACCCAAGTCTCTGGCCATTAAATTATGGCCTTTTAAAAGTGAAGAGACTATTATGATTTTTTTCTAGATTCAGGTAGGTGGCCGTGTTGGTCTGACACAGTAGAAATATATAAAAAAATTATCTAGTAGCACCTTAGAGACCAACTAAGTTTGTTCTTGGTATGAGCTTTCATGCATACATCTTCAGATACAAATGATTTTTTTTCTGATTGTTTTTTTCCATTCTTATTCTTATGCTATATAAATTATGTTTTTGTGCTGTACACTGCTCTGGGATTTTTGGATAAAGAGCAGTATATAAACTGAATACATAATAAATAAATAATAAATACTATAGGTGCCCCGTGTCTGCTGCCGCTCTCCCAAGCAAGGCTGAGACTTCCCGTAAGGCTGGTCTTGGGGAGCAGAGGGGCCTCAGCTCCTCTGAGGCTGCTATCTGGACTGAGGCACAGGGCAAGGCTTCTCTGCCGGCCAGTCCTGGCTCCTGAAATAGTTCTGGCCTCCTGGTGATGGGAGGCTGCTCTGGCAAAGTTGCCCTGTTTCGTGTCTAGCTTTTCTCACCGATTTGGACAGGAATTGCGGGTTGTTGGGTGGCACAAAGCAGCTGTTTCCTGCGCATCCCTTTTCCCCACCAGGAAGGAGCTTTCCACCAGGAAAATTTCCAAGAGCTTTTCCCTGGCAAGCCATCCAGCGAAGGCAGACAAGGCCTGCCCTTTGTGAAACAGGCAAGGGATCGTTGCCTGCATGGCAGAGGCTTGGACCATATGACAATTGGTGACCCTTCCAGCCCTACAACTCTGATTCTATGGCACCCCCCACCCCCAGGGCCTGGTCCACCCAGCAGGATGACTTGGCCTTCAGCCTGGGGCCGGGGGGGGGGAGAGCAGACCTGAGAAACAGCTGGCCAGTGAGGAGCAGTGGGGAGGCAGGAAGATGCATGGGGGTTCCTGGCCCGAAGCTGGAGTGGGAGGTGCTTCCCTTCCATGCCAGGACACATCTGACCCATCCTGCCATGAGGCTGGGGGCTGTGCAGCTGGGGGGCAGCGGCAAGGAGGAACTGGGGAGGCTTTTGCCTTCCACCTCGGGCTCTAGGGCTGCTGGCACCTCCTTGCCTTGCCCCCCCCCTGGCCATTTCCCCCCTAAAAAGCTGCCCTTGGCCTGCGATGAAGGGGCAGCTTCTCTCATGGGCTCCTCTTGCACTCTTGGCCCAGCTTTGGCAGGCAGCCCCTGACCCAGCCAGGAGGATGGAGGCACTTGGCACCCACCACAGCAGGCAAATGCCACAGAACGAAGACCCTCGAGGGTCACCGTGCCCAGGGGAATGCTGGGGAAATGGGGGGGAGCAGCTGTAGGCCAGCCCTGCGCTTTGCTTCCCAGCGCCTGGCTCAGCCCTGCCAGGCCTCACAAGAAAACACTTATTTGAAAGGGGGTCCCTATCGCTGCATCATACATTGGGGGAGGCTTCCACCCAGGGAGGAGGAGCCCCCTCCTGAGGCCTAAAGGACCCCCCCCCAAGCACTGACCCTATTCTCCCCCCCCCAAACCCACCAGACAGGCTCCCCACAATGCCCTGTGGCAGCTCTGGTGAGGCACGGCCAAGAGACACGCCCCCCCCGTGGCCCCCATTGCAGAAGAGACTGGCTGCCTAACATGGGGGGGGGGGGCTCAGCCCCAGCCAGATGCTTCAACAGGCAGCACAGAGGGTGGTGATATAATAGCACAATGCGAAGTCACAGAAAAATATATCACCACTGACAAGTGCTCCACAATAAGGACAGACAAGCAGAAAAATATAGACGTCGTCCTTTTCTTTACAATCTCCACTTCTCTTTGCCAAGGGAAGAACAGAGATCCCATCCTTCTATTTGTTAGCCTTCCTTCAAGGGAAATATTAATACAGGCACAGATTTGTCCTGTTTTCTAAGTGATTGCTTCTTTGCTACTTCATTGTGCAGCTCGATGATTAAGTTCGTCTGTGGGAAGAAACGCTGAGTTTACCGGAACAAAGTTGATGTTACTTCTATCAAATGCACAAGGGATTGTAAAGACGACGACGTCCATATTTGCAGGCAAATATAGAGAAACAGAGAGGAAGGAAGGAGTCGGGCAGCGTCTTCCTTGTCACTGTTGTTTAATGTTAATCAAGGCAGAGGATATTTGATCACAGACTCCCCCTCCCCAGTTACAGAAGTGCAGGCCCCCCCTGCCCCCACTTTCACAAACACTTTCATCCGCTTCCAGTGACAGTTTTGTTCGCCTCTGAAGCATCACAAAAATATCTCCACGTGGCTTTTTTGTACAAAAGTGTCTTCCTAAAACTGCAGTGGAGCAGAGACTCTGCCGTCCTGCCTTGCAGGGCTTGTTCCCTTTCCCAGAGGGGCCCCCCACCCAGTCCTCGCTCAGTGGCTGGGGGGGGGCATGGCTAGCCTGCGGCTCCTTGGTGTGCGCTACCGACAGCAAGAGCCACTTATTGCTGCAGTGCCCTGTGAGCGCAGTTGGCCCTGGGGAGCAAAGGGGGCAGGCATTCCCCCCCACCCCACCCCCAGCATGCCAGAAACAGTTTGAGCTTCTAAAAGGTCCTCTAAAAATTTCCCTGTCGAGCCCAAGAGACCCTCCTTGCCCTTTAGGAGCGTCTGGCTGCCCAAACTGAGGGGACAGGGGCTCCCCCAGAAGCTCCCCCCACCCTGCCTCCGCAGCCCCTGTTCAAAGTGCCCGGCTCAGGAGAACATCGCTCGCTTGCTCGCAGGAGTGCATGGGAATGAGCCTGCCTAGTGGGGGGGGGGGGAGTGTTTGTGTTTCTGGTCCACAGAGTCTCCCCCGGAAGGAGTGTGCAAAAGGCAGGCAAGGCCGGAGGAGGCCCAATGGCTCCTTTGGAGCCCCAGCTCCAGCCCAGAGGGAGGGGCTCTAGGGATTCTGGCCGCTGGGTGGAAGGAGCCAGGGGCACAGGGTCCACCCCCCCGCCTGCCACTCAAGGGGGGGCTCCCAAGGGAGGGCAGCCGTCGATGCAGCAGGGACTCTGACCAAAGCAGCTGAGGTGGGCAGGGGGAAATGGGACTATTGGAAATAAATAGCACTGGTTGGAGACACACCATGCAAGGAATAAGGGAGCCTCAAACGCTTAAATTAACAACAGCTTAGCCCTAAAAATACAGTACTTGGACCTCAACTAGACAAGCGACTACGGAGAAATTTGTACAGGTTAACCCTTAGCATTAGTTTCCCTTCCTGGAGGTGGACACGGTGGCGGGGGGGGGGGGCGCAGGGGTCCCCCATCCCCCCCCCCGCTCAGTAGATGTAGAGTCGGTCCGAGATGGCGGCCGGCATGTGGGTCATGACCTGCATGCGCAGCCACCAGTAGTAGTCCATGGGGTGGTAGCGGGTGTAGGGGGTGGAGGAGGTCAGGGCGTGGGCGATGCTGTCGATGACGGGCGACGTGTCCGAGGAGCCGCTGTTGCAGTACGACTCCATCTTGGCGATCTGCTCGTCAAAGTACTTGCGCCCGTAGTCGCGGCGCACGATCTCCGGCAGCTCGTCCCACATCTTGTCGGCGATGGCCTGGATGCGCTCGGGGCTGTAGAGGCTGGTGCCCGCGATGAAGTTGCCCGGCTCCACGATGCACACCTTGACGTCGTGTGGGCGCATCTCGTAGCGCAGGCAGTCGGAAAAGGCCTCCACCCCAAACTTGGTGATGCAGTAGGGGGAGCGCGCCGGGTTGGCCATGCGCCCCATCATGCTGCTGATGTTCACCACGCGGCCTGGCGGGGGACGTGCATGTGAGGGGGGCGGGGCCCCTGCCGCAGAGGACGAGGGGAGGGGGACCCTGAAGAGCAAGGGGCGGGGGCCGCCTCGGGGGGCCCCCAACAAGCCCCTCCTCTGGCCACAGGCCCCTTCCCCAGGTGCTTGTGGGGTGGAACCCTCCGACTCATGGGGGCTGCTGGGCAAAGCTCCCTGACCCAGCCCTCCTCCTCTCCCAAAGACCCACCGACCCCAAAGGCCTCCCTTCACGTAGCACCCCCCCCCCGGATGCTGCAGGGTTCCTGACACACCCTGCCCAGCAGCCAGCATGCCCAGTGGTTAGGGATGGTAGAGGCAGAGCCTGCAGCAGGTCCGGACGCCTGAGCTACAACTATGGGGAGCCCCACCCTCTCACTCACCTTTGGCCCTACGGATGAGAGGCAAGAAGGCCTTGGTGGTGCGGATCGTTCCCCACAGGTTCACCTCCGCCACCTCCTTGTAGGTGTCCATGCTGGTGAACTCCACCTCCCCAAAGGTCGAGATCCCAGCATTGTTGACCAGGCCCCACAGCCCTGAGGGGAGAAGACCCACGGAGACGTCGGTCATCGCCTAACCCCGTCTGGAACTGCCCTTGTGCCGCCCCGAGGGGGAGCAATGAACGGGGCTTCAAGCCACAAGCACATCCAAGCGGGGCGTCCTCACGACTGCCTCACAAGCACCTCACAAGCCACGCTGCACCAGGCGAGCCCTCAGGCCACGTGGGGGCCACCCAGGAGGGGGCCGGAAGGGCTCCGAGGGCATTTTCCTGCCTCTGCCAGGCCCAGCCAAGGCCCAGCCCTGCTGTGGCGCCCCCTGGTGCCTCAGACCTGCAGGTCCCCACAAGGTCCCCCCAGAGAAGGAGGCTGGGGAGATGGGGGGCCACGTGCGGAGGCTCGGGCGCCAAGGGCGGCCGGACCCCCTTCCTTGGCTGATCTCATGCCAGACCCCCACCTACCCTTTTCTGGCATCTTCAGAGTGGAGGTCATGTAGTCCACGGCCCGGCTAACGTCTTCACTGTCGCAGACGTTGAGCTGGACGGTCCTCATCCGGTCACTCTTCATGGCGTCCAGATCCTTGGAGCCGCCCCTTCCCTGCTCCTGAGGAAGAGCGGGGGGACATTTGTTTGCTTACTGATTTCTTTTGACATCCTTTCAACGTGCAACAACATCATACAGCTCAATATTCAAATATCCCACCCTGAACCCAGAAGCTGGTGATTAGGCAACGTGTGCAGAACAAAGGCCAAATAACACGAGGGAATCTTCTCCTTGACAGTTTGCATGGAGCGAAGGAGACAAAACAGTTTGTGTTAACCAAAAAGTTTTGTACAGTGAGGGGAGGTCTCTCTCTTCGTTTTTAGCCATGAGCACCAGGAAACTGTGCCATTCCATTGCAAAGGAGACTTTGTTCCAATTTTATGGTTTTATTTCACCGAAAGTGCTGTTTGCCAGACTTCCACCAATTTGGCAGAGGAGGCATTTTGTCTTGCCACCAGGGGGCAGGCAAGAGCTGCAGCCGGCTGCCTTGGGCCTCCCAGCCGGGGAAGGGCTGCCAGAACCAGCAGGTGGGGGCCAGCAGGCACTCGTGAAAAGGCTTTGTCCCCCCCCCCAACTATTTTGGGCCCTTGAAAATGGTAAGGATGACTGGGATTCTCCTGCAAGGGAAGAGCATCTCTGGCTGCCATTTGACAGTGTGGCCAGCAGGGGGAGCCCCACATCCCTCCAGGGCCAGGCAGGGGGCTTTGGAGAGGGGTCCTCAGGGGGACCTTCCCCCAGGCCGCCTGCTGCCCCACACTTGCTCCTGCCCACATCCACAGGCTCCCTCTGTTTGGGTTTTGGAGAGACAGGGACCCTCCAGGGCCCCCTGGGAGAGAGCAGCTGGCAGCGTGGAGGCACAGCTGGAGGGTGGGGTCTGCCCAGGAGGGGCTTGGCGGCTTCGGCTTCCCCTCCCTCCCCCCCCCAGCTCCCTCCCCCTACCTTGAGCAGGCAGCCGGCATAGATGATGAACCCTCGCTCATGCAGGTGTTTGGCCAGGGCGAAGCCAAAGCCAGAATCGCAGCCGGTGATGAGGACGGGCCTCTCGCCAATCTGGAGCACAAAAAGGGGACGTTGGAGACCCCCCAGGGAGGAGCAGGCCCACCTCCACCCACCTCTCATGAAAAGGAGGTCCCACAACCTCGGGGGGGGGGCACCCAGAACCCTCCAGGTCAGGACTCCAGCTGGCAAACCTTTGGGGTCTTCAGGCACCCCCAGAAATGCCAGCAGCCCCATCAAGGAAACAGCACTGGGGGAAATTTCCCCAGATGAACCAGGAAGCCCAGGCTGGCTCCATGGAAGAGTGTTCTGATGGTGAGAGCCGTTTGACAGTGGAAGAGATTTCCCCAAGAGGAGAGCGGTGGACTCTCCTTCCCTGCAGGTCTGTCCTGGATGCTTCAGCTGAGATTCCTGCATTGCGGGGGGGGGGGGGGGCTAGATGACCCCGGGGTCCCTTCCAACTCTGCAATTCTATGATCTCAGGATGGACAGCTCAGGTTCCTCCAGGAAACAGCCCAGAAAGATCAGTGTTGCTGCTGGCCACAAGGGGGCACCCCGGGAGGAAGCCCCTCACCCCGCAAGAGCCCCACCAGAAAAGGCCACTGAGCTGCCTCCCAGACCCCACCCCAGCCAGGAAGCTGGAGGAAGACCCTCTAGAAGCCAAGAGCAGCCCAGTATCCCCCTCCCTACATGGGCCTCATCCCCCCTTGTGGCAGTGAATTCCACAGGCTCTCACCTCATCCACTTCCGTTGCATAGGAACGCCGGCCCTGCAGGCGGGACACCGAGGAACAGATCTCAGGCAGGGGCCTGCAAGGGAGAAGGCAGCAGGCCAGCGGCTGGGTCAGCGGAAGCTCCCATCCGGGAAAATTGATCCCCAGCATCATGTCCCTCCCTCCCTCTTTCTCCAGGGGCTCCAGCGCCTCCTAGCTGTGACCCCCCCAGACCCCCAGGCTCGTCTCCCTGCAGAGAGCAGTCCAGCTGGGGAGCCTGGCCATTTGACTGCTGCCTTGCAGGGGTGGGACTAGATGGCCCCAGGGGTCCCTTCCAGGATTCTACGATTCCCTTAAAAGGCCTGTCCTCTTGTGGCCCCCATAACCCCCAGGCATTTTGGAAAGATCTGACCCCCTTGAATTAACCCTTCAACTTCCTTTTCACCCGTCCCCTCACTGGGGGCAAGTGTCCTCTTCCAGAGCCAAGGGGAGCTGCTGGACTTGATGGCGCTGCGCCCACTTCTTCCAATGGGGCCAAGCCCCTTTCATTTGCCCCAGAAGGAGGGCACTGCTTCAGACTAAGTCCCAGGCTGCCTCCCAGGAAACTGAGATCTTCTCGCTCTTCCTTTGGGGGGGGGGACACACAGGAGCCCAGTCCGTGAGAAGTCACCCAGCGCCCCTCCTCACCTGGGCTTGCTGCTGCCAGGAGGCGTCACGGCAAGAGGCAGTTATTTTCATCGGATGACACCACCCCTCCCCTCCCTCCCCCCCCGGCTGGCCAGGGTCAAGGACTTTTTGCTGCGGGTCCCACTCCGCAAGGGGCTGAGCAGAAGCTCTCTTCTTCTCTCCTGACCAATCTCAGGAGTAGCTCCTCTGCCCCTGATGCTGCCAACCCGGGCAGGGCCACAGCGCTGGCTCTGGCTGCCCGAGGGATCCAGCGTGATGCCGTGCTGAGAGTGTCAGGCTAGGACCTGGGAGGGACCAGCGTTCGAATCCCCACCTGGCTCACTGGGGGTGCCTTGAGCCAGTCGCTGCGCCTCTCTGCCTAACCTACCTTGCAGGGTTGCTGGGGGGGATTAAACAAGGAGGGGGAGAACTATCTGTGCCCCCTTGAGCTCCTGGGAGGAAAGGGTGGGATAGAAACAAACAAACAAGCCCCCAGTTTCAAGTCAGCTGGGAAAGGCTCCCCCCTGCCAGACAGAGGGAAGAGAGAGCTGGTCTGGGCAGGCGGAAGAAGGGACCTCCTGCCCCCTCCATTGCTCTCCCCACCTGCAATCCCCATCTCTCTTCCTCTTCCTCCCTGACTCCAACTGCTGCTCCTGCCAAGTCCAGGCCGGGCCTGCCAGGCCCCTTGCCCCTTCTGGCTGCTGTTCAGGAAAGGCAGGATCCGCCCTCGCAGCTATTCCCAGCAGGGTAATCTCATTACGATTACAGCCCCTTCAGGCCTGCGTGTGTGTGTGTGTGTGTGTGTGTGTGTGTGTTAATTCAGAGAGGCTGGGTGGCTGCAGAGGCCCTTGTGCCCTCTGGGCAAGGAAGCCCCCCCCCCCCTGCATCTCCAGGCCCCAGAGAGCGCTTGTCCTAAGGGGCAGACCCAAATGCAGGACCCCCCCCCCAATCTCTCTGGGCTGGAAGCTCCCCCGCCGAGGGACTGTGGCCGAGGGTCACCCTTTGCCCCCACGTCATCTTGCTGATCCTTCCCAAAGGTCAGCCCAGCGGCCGGAGGGAGGGGAGGGGGCCAGGCGGCAGCCTTGGGGGGCTACGTGTCAGGGGGACTTTGGAAAGAGGACAGCCCTTCTGGACTCTTCTGAAACTTGTTTGCTCAACTTGGGGCAGTCCAAGGAGGCCACGCAGAGGCTCCCAGAGGAGCCAATTCTGCTCTGCCAGAAAGGGGGTGCTGAGCGCTGCCAGAGGTGCCAAATGAAGAGGATAAATCCTGGCACCTCCTTCCCCAAGTCTGCAGAAAACGGGGCTTGCTAGTCAGGGAAGAAGCCATTCTTGGGGAGGTCTCTCAACTGGCTGGTCCTGCCTACTGGCTGGAAAGAGGCCCCCCAAATCCCTGTGCCTTTGAGTCCCTTAAAAATGGACCCCGCACTGACCCACTTCCCCTCAGCGGGGGTCTCTCTCCCCTCCCCCACACTCAGCAGGGAACCCACCCCCTTGCCAACTCTGCCAGGTCCTTTTGCCACACCAAGCAGCAATGCCTTGCCTACCCTCAGAACAACCTGAGCCCACCTGGCCTTCCAGGGGGCCCGGCTAGTCTGTCAGCCCCTGGGAAGCTCCAAGGAAGGAGGACGGAAGAGGAAGATGCTCCTAGCAGCGCCTTGGCTCCTGAATGGGGCAGTCAGGAGCGTTTCACTCCATGGGAAATGGACTCCCACCTTAGGATCCAGAGTCCTGGCTAATCTAGGGAGCCCTGCCAGGCGGGCAGGTGAGGCAGCTTCTGAGCTCTGCCCTGGCATCATGCCCTGATCAGGACGTCTCCAGCAGCCTTTCAAGGGATGGGGCCACAGAGGGCTCAGCGACAGCAGCAGGGGAGGCCAGGGGGCACCCCTAACGGCAGCTTTCCATTTCCCAATTGCTAAACCCTCAGGGTGGCAAAGCTGCAATGCCTGGAGGAAATTTGGGGATTGGAGGGGGAAGGAAATGGTCCCCTAATCAGGCGACTCTGCTGAAGGGCCCCTCGTGGCCAGAGACAGAGAGGAAGCCCCTCTCCCTGCCACTGAAGGGGCAATTCCACAGGGACTCCCCTGCAGACCCCTCCCCACAAGGCCACTTACCGAAGGCTGGCGGAGACATCCTTCAGGTGGGAGGTCTTGGTGGCCAGCTGGGCGAGGGGCCGGGAGATGCGGGTGGCCGTGAGGATGGTTGCCATGGGTGTCTTCACAGCCGGAGTCTTCCTCTGGGCTCTGCAAGAGAGGGCAATAGCACCTCACCTTTGTTTGCTCCAAGCCTTTATGGCCCCACTGGCTTCTTAGCCATAAAACAGGGTCCAAAAGGAGGGAGCCTCCCCCCCCCCGCCCCACACATCAAGATAACAGCAGGCTCCTCACGCAACGTCCAGCCCTTCTGCCTAAAAACACAGAAGGCACTCTGTGTGTGCAACATGCTTTTGGGTGGCATCGCAAACCCCGGGCACCTGGTTGGCCACTGCGAGAACAGGGTGCTGGACTCAGCTGGCACTTGGTCTCATCCAGATATGGGGCTCTTCTCAGGTTCCGGACCAGATTTCTCTTTGAGGAAGACAATGTGGCGGTTGGGGCAAGCAATTGCCTCTGGGGGGGGGTCCCTCTTGTAGCCGCAGCCCCTCCTACGGGCACCATCCCTGTTCAGGATCTCTGTCGCCCATCTGGTGGCCCTGGTGGTCTGGTCTCTGCGCAGGAGCCCCCTGCTATACTAGCCCCCCAAAAGCAACGCCCCACCCTCATCCCCAGGCATGTCCAAGGAAGGGGTGATGGGGCCTGGGAGGCAGCAGGGCAAAGAGGGGCTCCTCCTCCTCCTGGGAAATGCTGCTCTTGGGGCTGTATAACTGGAGATTGTTTTATGGCAGGACTCATAAAGCCAAGCAGGAGGAAGTGATGGAGCCTGGCTCTCAGGGCGGGGAAGGTGGCCAAAGGGCCTCCGCAAAGGAGGAGAGGGCTAGCAATGGCCACCAGCCAGGATGGAGTCGGAGGCAGCCGTGCTTTGAGTGCCAGCGGCCGGAAGCCACCGGAGGGGAGAGTTGCTCTTGCGCTCGGATCCTCCTTGAGTTTCCCTTGGAGGCACCTGCTCAGCCACCAGGAGAAGATGATGCTACACAAGACGGGTCCTTGGAGCACAGAACTCAGTTGGGACTTGGGCAACCATCCCTGTCAGGGCGAAGAGGAGTGCAAAATGTGTGGGCACAGCTTTCTGTGGCAGCCTTGGAAAGGGCAGCCCCCAGCCGCTTCCCCCTGGGTGACCTTCCTCATGTCCCGCCTCAACTAACCCCCATCTTTGCCCCAGGCCTGCCAAGACCCCTGGAGACGGGGGAGGGAAGGGGAAAGGGGAGAGCCTCTGGGGTGCCAGGGGGGCAATGGATGCCTCCTGACCGCATCTGTCCCTGAGCAAGGCCACCTGCCCTGCCCTGCCCTCTGCCCTTTACCTGCGTGGGGCTCCATGCTCACGGGGGCTGCCTGCCCCAGACTGGGAGGGCAGGAGCCCTTTAGGAGAGGAGCAGCAGCAGGAGCAGGAAGGACAGGAGCAGGAACGTCATTCCTGGTCTCTGGAGAACCCGCAGCTCAGTTACAAGAGGGACTGGCTGGGGGAGGCCCTGCAGGTGGCAGCGTGTGGAGAGCGGGTGCTGGCAGGGCGAAGAAGGGCACAGCCAGGCCGGCCCCACAGGACTCTCCACTCTCCAGAACCAGAGGGACAAAGCCCCTTATGCAAATGGGGAGCAGGTATGCAAATGCCCTTGTGTGGCATCACAAGAACACCGGGCCAGGGGGCGGGAGGGGCCACTCCGAGGGGCTTGACGGGGCACCGCCGAGAGCAGCCAGCCGGACCCCTTGAGAAGCTGCTGCCTCTTGCCAGCTCTTGGGGCCCTTTGCAGCAGGCGGCTGATCCCGGCTGGCAGGCAGGCAGGCGGAAGATGCCCGGAGCCCAGCAAGGTCTTCCCCGGGGTCAAGGGCGGGGGGGGGCACGGGAAGCTCCACTCCCTCCTCCCAAGCACACCGGGGAGGGGGGGCTTCCCATGGCAGAGACCAGGAGGGTCGGACTGGATGAGCCTTGGGGTTCCCTCCTCTTCTGCGCCAGCGCCCCCGGCCTCCTCCCTGCGCCGAGGCCCCTTTCCCGCCGAGCTGCGCGGCCTGGCCGGCGGGGGAAGCAGCGGGGCTGGAGCCGGAGGGCCTCCCCGGACGCGGCGGGCGCTGAGAGGCTGAGCCGGGAGGCTCGTCGGGGGAGGAGGCCCGGCGCCGCCCCCGCCCCGCCCGCTGGCTCCGGGGAAGGCAGGCAGGCAGGCGGGTAGGCGGGCAGGCGGGCGGGCGGGCGGGCCGAGGGGCATTGGCGGGGGGGGGGGGTCTCCCTGCCCGGCCCTGGCCTTCTCCTCCTCCTTCCCGGCGCGGGCGCCTCACCTGCGCGCTCTCTCCCGCTGGCTCTCCGGCGCGTCCTTCCCGCGACTGGCCCGGCCAGGAAGTGAGGTCACGCGCCCGCCCGCCCCGGGAGGAGGAGGAGGAGGAGATGCCGATGCCGCCGCCGCCGCCGCCGCCCCCCCCCGGGGGTCCCCCCCCGCCCGCCTGGCGCTTCTCCTCCCGCTGCTTCTGCTGCTGCTGCCGGCGCTGCTCTGGCTCTGGGGCGGGGGCGTCGCGGGGGCGCTGGGCGTCGCGCTGCTGCCTCTGCTGGGCCGCCGGCTGCCCCGTCGGGGAGGCGCCCTCGCCGTGAGTAGCGCGGAAGGGAAGCGGGAGGGAAGCGGGAGGGAAGCGGGAGCTGCGCCCAGGGGCTTCGGGGCGGAGGAGGCGGCGGCGCGGGCGAGCAGCCCCCAGACAAGGCCCCTCTGGCCGGGGCACCGAAGGAGGCTGGCCCGGGCCCGGCCTGGGCGAGGAGCAGCGCGGCTGGAGCCGGGGCGACGGGGAGAGGCACCCCCCCCGCCCCAGGCTCCTCGGGCTTGGCTCACCCAGAGAGCTGCCCTCCCTTCTCCTCCTCCTCCAGCAGCCGGGCCTTCCTCGCCTTCCTCGCCTTGGTCAGGATCCCCCCCCCAAAAAAGAGCCGCCAGGAAGCCCCTCACCTTCCTGCCCCCTTTCTCGTTGGCTCTGGAGTTTGCGAACACGTGTCTCCATCCCAGCAGCCTGGAAGGGGGGGATCTGGGGGGCCAGAGCAGGGCGGCCTGGAGACAGCGGGGGGGGGACTAGGTTCCTCAGGCCCCTCTCTCACCCCCAAGCCTGTGAGGTAGGCCAGGTCCCAGGGAGCCCATCTAGTCCAGCCTCCTGTTCCCCCGGTGGCCAAGCAGGTGCCCTTTGTGGGAAGCCCAAGAGCAGGAGGGGAGCCCAAGAGCAACTCTCGGCTCCTGCACCTTCCCAGAACTAGGATTCAGGAGCCAGGCTGTGAAGGGGAGAGGCTAGCCAACATGGCTGGTAGCCCATCAGTAGCCCTCTCTTCTTCTTCCTCCTCCTCCTCCAGTCCATGGATTGCTCCTCTTTTAAAGCCATCCAAGTCAGTGGCTGTCACTGTCTCCTGTGGGAGGGAGTTCCACAGTTTAACTGTGCTCTGCATGAAGAAGCACTTCCTTTTCTGTGCCCTGAATCCTTTGACATTCATTGGAGATCCGTAAGTTCCAGGGTTGCCAAAGCGAGAGAGAAACTTTTCTCTACCCGCTTTCTACATGGCAGGCATAACTTTACAAACTTCCATCAACATCACCTCTTACCTTTTCTCTAAGCTAAAAAGTCCCAAATGCTGCAATCCACACAGCCAATTACTTAAAGCTGCCTTTCATCATGTCAGATTCCAGGGCAATTTACAGCTTAAAACACATCCAATTGCAAGAAACTTTACAGCAGACTAAAGCTTGCAAACTGAAACAATGAAAGCCGTTCCGTTGCGTGCCTGACGGGGCATTGTTGGGGTTTTGTACTATTTCCTGTTTCTTGTTTGCTGCCTTGAGAATCATTGCTTGAAAGGCAAGGTGCAAATCTTCAAAGTAACAACAATTGTGGAGCCACCTCCAAGGAAGCCCCACTGCCTTGCAGGCTAGGAAGAAAGCCGCCCCCCTCCCCTGCATCCTCTTTGCGGGGGTCAGCAAGGCACCCTGGGTTCTCCAGAGAGGGTGGGGTGGGGTGGAGCCCGGAGGCCCAGCGTCTCTGCATCCCCAAAGCTGAACAGGAGCCCCGCTCTGGAGCCCCTTCCTCTCTGGCAGGGTGGCTGCTGCACTGGCTTGAAGGGAAAATCAGGGAAGCGGATTTTTAATTCTGTTGTGTGATTGATACCATAAAGCACATTTGTCAAACCAATTAAAAACCTTTCAATCCCATTTGCTTTCTTGCCTTGTAATTGCTTAACCAATGAAAACAAATATTGCCAATCTTGGGCTCAGGTTGGGGGGGGAGGTTGCTTCCTCCTCTCAATTCAAATCCGTTGATTATGGCAACATAATGAACATTTTTTCTTTCTTAATTTTATTAATAAAGAAAAATTTTCAGTGCGTTTCTTAATACCAAATTTTCTATCACGTTTACTCTGCAATCAATCACAGGAGGCTGTTCTAGAGTAGCCTGCTGGCAATTGGAGCAAATGATGGTTCACAATGGGGTCATGATCATTGTGGTTAAATTCTGAAAAACCACATTTTGTGATTGTACTTAATTAGCTGCCTGGAGCAAGCTGGGAAGGCAGGAGGAAGGGGGACACAGAAGACCCTGGCTAACATCTCCGTGTGCCAGGAGCCTTGCAGTGCTGTGAGACCCAGCCTCTGGGCTGCATGAAAAGCAGTGCCTGCGCTTAAGTGCCAAGTCCCTTTGGGCAGCCCTAACCAGTCTCCCAGTTCACAGTGAATGAAAGGAGAGGGCTGGGGGTGCGTGGGAGTGGGATTTGCAGGAGTGCTCAGCAGGCTGGTCTGCCTGCCAGGGGGAGAGAGGCCAGCTCAGCAATGCCAGGAATGGAATCTGAGACCACCTTCCTGCAAAGCAGATACTCTCCGACTGAGTCACAGCCCCCCCCCCACAAATGGTCTTGCTTACTGTCATTGCAAGAGAGAGACAAAGTCACTCATTGCAGCCCCCCCCCGCCTCCTTTTTGGCTTCTGTGCAAAAGTCACATTGGCAACATGAAGATTTGGGGTTCCTGCGCAGCACAAAGGACTCTATTTAGCTGCAAGTAAACATGGCTCCATGGCTACAGCCAGCTCATTGCTATTAGGAAAGAGCCAGGTTACAAAACGTGAAACTTGATTTGAACGAATAACTTTGCAGGATTTTGTTTTTCCCCCTTGGAGACTTAAGCTGCACTGATCTAAATTCACCCCCCTCTTTGTGGACTAGGCAGCCCAAGCGGCCGGGAGGGAAACGGAGTCGAAGTGTCCACAAGGGTTCCTGGGAGCAAACAAGACAGGAGGGTGAGAAGAGCAGGGGAGAGATGATGGGAGGTCAGGTCAAGGTGGGAGCCAGGCTAGAGCCAGGCAATGCCGGGATCCCCACCACAGAGGGGCTCCTGTTTGCCCTTGACAGAGGGCAAACCCCTCCTGTGCCTGAAAGGGGAATGTGGGGCTCAGAGTGTGACCCAGAGGCAGGCAAAGGGCACCTCTGAAAATAGTCCCAGCTGGAATAGATCACCAGTAGGGCTGGTGGTGGGGCTGTGGGGCCTTGTCTGGAGCAAGCTGAGGAATGCAGAGAGCTGCCTCCTGCCCAATGGGACCCTTGGCCGTCTGGAAAATTGGGGGGGGGGGATATACATTTTCAGCATGGGTTGCCATATGCCCGGGTTTCCCCAAACATTTCTACCGATCCTCAAATATTCCATTTGGACATTATTTCTGGGAAATTCCGGATGTATGGCAGCCCTAGGAGTTGAGCAATTTGTGCTTAAAATGTGGTTCCAAACAATCCTAGGTCCCAGGGCTCTGCCTTAACTAGTCTGGAGGCTTCCCAGTTTATTGCGCTCCCAAAGGCAGGTGTGGCTCCGTCCGTTGGTCACCCCCCCCCCCCCGTTAAGCTGGCCTGCCGACATTTGTTGGTGTGGGGAGGGAGGGCTGACAAGGGAGGAATGGAGACTGTAAACACCCCAGACCGCCTTGTTCCTTTGTGGGCTTCAAAATAGCTCCTGTCCTGGCTGCCTTTGGCCTGCTTCCAGAGCTGAGATCTCCTTGGTCTGGGTGGGCAGGCCGTGTCCCGAGAGGACTTTCTAGGCCGGGTCACTCTTTCCCTCGCCCAGGGTGACGCAGGGGAGATGCCACCGCACATGCCAGGCCAGCAGCCCAGTCACCCGCCCTTGGCAAGCCGGCTCTCCCTCGCTTCGCACTTCCCGTTCGCTTGTCCTTGAGAGCAGTCGGGTCAGGTGAGGCCTGTCTGCCGGTTGCTCAACAGCTTCCCAGCCCTGAAAAACCAGCTCTGGATCTGGCTTGGCAGCTGAGGCCTGATCCTTATCTGCCGCCACAACTTGTTGTGGCTGAAGCCGCCTCCAGACGGCTCATTGCACAAGGTGCCCAGGAGAACGGGCAGGAAGGAGGACCACCGGCCTGACCCTCCTGGTGCAGGAAGGAGGAAGGGGCCCTGCCCATTGGGTGTCTCTGCAGCAAACACGGCTGGGCCACAGCCCCCTGCCTCTGCGCCTGGTGCCCACAAGGCAGCAGCTCTTAATGCTTGTTGTGCCACCAGACAGCCTTCTTTGCCACCATGCGGGAGGCTTCTGAGTCAACCGTTGCTTCCTAGGAGTCAGGAGGAGACGCAGCGCCTCTGAGCTTGCCAGGAGAGAGCAACAAGTGTGGCGAGCCACAAAATGGGGTGGATTCAGAGGGAAGGTGACCCCCTTTGTGACTTCAGGGGGTGCAGATCAGGCGAGGCAAACTCTGCTCTCGGGGGGGGGCTTGGCTGGCCGTGCTTCCTCCCAGCCCCTCTGGGCTTGCTCTTGCCTGCCTCTTCCCATCCTTAGCTGGAAGAGGAAGGCAGGAATGTTCCTGATTCTTTAAAGCCATCAATCTGCCTTTGTTGAGCCTCTTAGGATCCGGATGGCTGAGAGAGGTGTGGGAGCAGGAGAGCTGGATCGGGACCCTCCGGTTGGGAGGGTGGTTGGGTGAAGATGTGGGTCATTGGAGGAGAGAGGCCGACATTTGACACACCCACGCCCCGCTTGGCCCTCCTGCTGCCTTCCCCAAACCGGCTAAGCAAGGCGGAGGGCTTTGCGATGAAGACATGAGGCTCAGGCAGCTCCTCCCTGGTGCCTTCGCATCTCCTTCCCAAAGCTGGGCGCGTCCCAGCTAGGGAAGCAGGAGGGCGGGAGCCACCAAAGGGCCTTGAGGGCCGCACGTGGACCCCTCTGATCTAGAGCGTAGAGATGATCTCTCCCTGGCGGCTGAGCCTTGCCTGCTCCTCCTGGCTCTCTGCAGCCTCTGAGGGGGCCCCTTCCTGTCTCCCCCCTGCAGGCCGACGGGAAGGCCGTGCTCATCACCGGCTGCGACAAAGGCTTCGGCCAGGCCTTGGCCAGGCGCCTCCACGCCGAGGGCTTCACCGTCTTTGCCGCCTGCCTGCTCAAGGTGAGGGGGGGCTGCTGCCGCCCACCCAGCTGGACGAGCTCAGAAGAGAAGCAGCTGCTGTGCCCACCCTGCAGAGCAACCTTTCCCAACTGGGTGCCCTCCAAGGTTGCTGAACTACGACTCCCACCCTCTTCCTCCCCCCTGACCATCGGCTGCGCTGGGAGTCCCACAGCCTCTGGAGAACATCATTTGGGAAAGAGGAGTCCGGGGAGCTTAAACCGGGGACTGCTCATATTTTGTGCCCCAAGGGGGGGGGTAGCTTCACCCAGGGGAGGCATCCCAGCTGTGGGGGGTGCCTTTGCTGCAAGCCACCCAGTTTTTATCGGAATAACTCAGGACATAAGCCATTTTTGGCTCACAAGACCATGAGTGAGTGGGGTGCCAGCCCCCCCGCTCCCCCCAGCAGGGTGCCTTCTTCATTGTACTCCCTTTTTGCTGCGGCCACCAAACTTGGTTGGATTTTGTGGGGGCAGATGGACTTGGGGGTGGGCGCAGATTAGGCCCCTGGCTGTGCCCAAGGACAGAGCCCCTGAGGCCGGTGGGGGAGGCTGTGTGGGCAGGTCCTTCTGGGGGAACTTTGGAGGTCAGGGCCTGCCATTGCCCCTTCCCCACCTCCTGTCCCACAGACGAGCCTTGTCTGCTGGGTGAGGGAGCTCCCTTGGCTGGGGGGGGGGTGGAGTGAGATCTCTGTGCCTCAGACAACTGCCATTCTTTTTCCTCCTCTTCCTCCTCCTGCCAGAGAGGGCCTTGGGGTGGCCTCCTCCCCACCTTCTTCCCCACTCGCAGCCGCCTTCCTGCCCAGGGACACCCAGAGGTCACACAGCCGTCTCCTTTGTGGTTCAGGCCGGCCAAGGTGACCTCCCTCCCTCCCTGCCTGGGAGACCTGGCAGGGCCAGGGAGCCCCCCCCCCCCCAGGCGGCCAAGCCTGGAAGTTTCCATCCCAAGTGAGGTTGTGCCTGGCTCCGTTGCCATGGAGACGGTGACGGCTCACTTTCACTTTCCCCACACTGCAGGAGCAGCAGGTGCAGGTTCTTCAGCACAGCTCCAAGCCACGTGCCCTCAGCCGCCTCGCCTGGGTCCCTTGTAAACATCCGGGGCAGCGGGGGACATCCGTGCGCAGGCAGAGAGAGGCCCCAGGACTATTCCTCTGGGCTCCTGATTCCCGTGGGACAGCTTCCCTTCAGCCCCTGAACCTGTTTGCAAAGCGAGGACCTTCCCCTGCCAGATTTTGTGTCTCCTGTTTCCAGAAGAAGGTGACATTCCTGGCCATCCCCATCCCAACTGCCAGGCTTACCGCCCCAGAATCGCCTCTGGGGATCCTCTGCTCTCCTTGCAAAGGGTTCGTGTCCTCCCTGTGGTTTCAAATGAAGTTGGGCAACCACTAATCCCGTAATATGCCCTTGATCCCGAAGGCTTTCTCTGAAAAGCCCATCAGCCTCTGGATTTGCACAATCGCAGGAATGGCCTTACTGGTTTCAGCTGAGTCTGCAACCCTGTTCATCAGACTGTACACCCCCTTGGGCAGCCTTTGGCTGTGGGGCAGTTTATGAATCTGGAAATCTCTCCTGATACAGCCGGCCCACATCCTCCGTCCGTTGAGAGGAGAGCCAGACAGGGCGTCTCCTCTGGGCTGCCTGGGCCTTTGGAGCAGAGAAGGGGGGAGCAGGCCGTTGAGCTGGGGTGGGGTGGGGCAAAGTCCCAGTCCCCTGGCCTGCCTGGTGGAGGGGACTGGGAACACCCACCAAGGCAGGGGGTTGGACTCGATGGCCCTTGTGGTCTCTTCCAACTCTATGATTCTATGATTCTATGACCCCCACCCACCAGATGGATGGATGTCTAGGAAGCAATATAATAATAACAATTCCTTCTAGCTACCTGCGAGGCCACCCCTTTGCCATCTCACACAGAACCCCTTTCCTTTGTTCTCTAAATGGCCCACCACCCAAGCGATCTCCTCCTCAGGAAGCTAGCCTGGCTTGTCTTTTAACACTTGCTGGATCCAGGGCTTGGGTATGTCTTGGCATTCAGCCTGATTCCCCAAACTCATTACACTATCCTGGTTTTCCACTCGAAGCAGGTTTTAAAACACGGTTGCCAATACTGCCCTCTTTCCTGCAGACAAGGAAGCAGCAGCTGGGGGTCAGGGAGCTAAGTGCCAGCCCCCAGCAGCCCCCGGCCTGGCCCTGGGGGCCCTGGGAGTGGATTGGGGGGGGCACTCCTGGCAGACTGTTGTGGGCAAAGGATTTCTTTCCTGTGTCTGTTGAGCAGGACCAGGGAGGAGACGGTGCCCGGGAGCTGGAGCGCCTGGGACCCTCGGGGCGGATGCACGTCCTGCAGATGAACGTCTGCCGCGAGGAGGAGGTGGACAGGGCTCTCCAGCTGGTGACCAGGAGCCTGAAGGGGCCTGAGCAAGGTAAGGGCCCTCCGGCCAGGGCCACGGGGGGGCTGGGGTGTCTCTGCTCCCCTGGAGCCGGGCATCCCTGGGGCAGCTGCGTGGCCAGAGGGACCTGCTTGGTGTCTGTGGGGCGGGTGGCACAGAGGGGAGGCTCAGCCTGGCTGATCCTGAGCAGGCAGTGGGGAGAGTTGAGGTTGGGGGGCCTCAAAGGGAGGTGGCTCAGTTCCTGGAAAAGAGGCAGCGAATGGAGCTGGGATCACGAGATAAGAAGAGCCCCAGCAGAGCCTGGCTGCTGGATCAGGCCAAGGACCCATCTAGTCCCGCCTCTTCTTCTCAGAATGGCCAACCAGAGGCCCCCACGGGAAGAAGCCCACAAGCAGGACCCCAGGGCAAGAGCAGCTCTGCCCTCCTGCGGCCCCCAAAGCCCCCTCCTCCTCCTCCATGAATTGGCACAGTCCTTTTGGAAAGCCTCGTAGGTTGATGGCCATCGCTGCCTCCTGTGGAAGGGAGTTCCGCAGTTTATCTATGTGCCGCATGAAGAAGTCTTTCCTTTCTCTGTCCTGAATCTTCCAACATTCAGCTTCATTGGATGCGCAGGAGTTCTGGAGTTAGGAGACAGGGAGGAAAACTGATCTCTGTCTGCTTTCTCCTGCCAGGCCCAATTGTATAAACTTCCACCATGGTGCCTCTTACTCTAAACTAAAAAGCCCCCCCCCCCATGAGCCAGGGCTCTTCCTTGTGCTACAGAGCTGCCTTTGTCCTGGCATCTTGCAGGCATGGGGGGGGGGCTGCCTGCCTGGGGGCCCGATCCAGGACAAGGTGTGGACCTCTGAGCCAACAGCTGGCAGGTGACCCCGTCTCAGGTCAGCTCCGGTCATCTGCAGGACGTGGCAGCATCAGAAGCAGCAGCACCCCCTGGCCCAGCCTTTCTGGCTGCTGCTGAGCCCCACATTCCCTGGGGTGGCATGAGGTGGAGGAGGATTGCAAAGAGCAAAGGAGGGCAAAGGCAAGGCAGGGAGGACTGTGCAAAGGGCCACCTCCACCCAAGGGAGTCAGCAGGAGGAGCAGAGCAGGGATCAGGGCCAGAAGGGAGGAGGAGGAGGAGGCTGGGCCAGAGCAGGGAGGGGTCTCCATGGGTGGGAGGAATGAAGCAGGAGAGGGTGGGCACATGGGCATGGAGCCAGGCAAGCAAGAGGCTTTGGGGGGGGTCTGTGTAAGGAGCCCCAAAGATGCCCTCAGCTGAGCCAGCCTCAAAGGACCCCTTCTCTGTGCAAGAGGCAGGAAAGGAGAAGCCCCCCACCCCCGCAGAGACCTCTGGCCCCCACCCCAAACGCAGAAATGGCCCCCCAAGTTTCGTGGCGGTGGTGCTCCTGATTCTCTGTACAGGATCCTTCTGACTCAGAGACTGGGAGGTCGGGGAGGGCTGTAAGGAGAGGGGAGAGGGAGCTGCCCCATCTCTTCCAGTCCCCTTGGAGGAGAGAGGGAGCCTCAGCTCACCCAGCCATGGGTCTTGGCAGCCCCTGGGAGAGTCACAGAATCAGAGCATGGGCAAGTTGGCGGACTCATCTAGTCCAACCTCTTGCAACGCAGGACTTGCCAGAAGCTCCTTCAGTGGATCTCTCTGGGTGGAATTGACTGGGGGAGACATTCCTGGGAAACTCTTCCAGCCTCTTTGCCAGAGCCTCTTTGGGGGCTGTGGGGGCAGCAACGGGGGAGAGGAGGGCAGCAGAACCCCCTCTGCGCTGGTGCACCTCCAGAATTCAAGGACAAAAGACACTGGAAAAGAGGGAATGGGGTGGATCCGTGGAGAGGAGGAATGGCCTGGGATGGAGACCCCATGGCTCCCCCACGGATGTGCTCCCCCCACCAGCCCTACTCATTTCAGTGCAGAATGTGGGAGGGGTTTAATGGGTAGGAGAGGAGAGGTTAATTGCAATTTATCCCTCCAGGCTCCCACAAGCCAGGACTGAGTTTCAAAATCCCATTCTTGGCAGCAAAATTAAAAGCGTAGGAATTAGGCTCCTTCTGAGCAAGTCCAGGTTCATGAAGCAAGCTGGCTCCCCTTTCTTACTCCACGTAACAAACAATCAGGCAACAACTTGCAAATAAGTTAAAAATATAACTTATAATCTTGCAATGGTTCACAGCAATGGCAGCAGTAAAAACTATGCAGGCAAAAGACTTCCATTTACAGTATAAGTAGCTTCAGGCCTGAACCCGAAGCTGGAGCAAGTAGAGGCAACTCCGCCTCCAACACTGGCCAAAGGAAGAGAGGAGGGGACAGGAAGTACTATATGGAGGGGAAATGACATCACACAGAACCCTGTCTATCCATTGTGTTTCTATGGTCTGAGTATGTGCCAGTTAGCAATACGGCTCTGTGGTGTTAACCCCTTCTCATGCTAACTAGCAAGAATATGCACTTGTTACATTTGGCTGCTAATTTCACCTTTCTGTTGGATTGGGGCCACTTCCCCCCTAGAAGTAGGCTTTGAGGCCACCTGACAGGGATGGCGCCTCTTGTGTCCCCCCCCCCAGGCTGATTCTGGAGGTTCCTCTGGCGTCCTCATTCAGAGGGTCCCACTTTGGGCCCTGGGAGGGGGCAGGGAGAGAGGGGGCCGGGTGTCCCCAGGGGAAGAGGACCCTGTTCCTGCGGCAGAACCACCAGGACGCATCTCCTGCTTTGCCTGACAGGTCTGTGGGGCTTGGTGAACAACGCTGGAGTCGCCTCCTTTGGGGACGTGGAATTCACCAGCGTGGAGAAATACCAGAGGGTGGCCGAGGTCAACCTGTGGGGGGCCATCCGAGTCACCAAGGCTTTTCTGCCCCTGATCCGCAGGGCCCAAGGTACGGCACTGTCCGCCTCTTGAGGGACATCCTCTTTGTCACCCCCTCCCTCCGCTGCACTTGGTCCCTTTGCCAGGGTTTCCTGGTGCAGAATTGGGCCAGCAGTGGCCTGGGAGGGGCAGCCAGCCCCTGGGGGGAGGGCTGTCACAAGCCCTGGCAAGAGCAGCTGAGGAGCCCCTGCAGAAGGTGGGGCAGCTGGGACACGATCCTCCGGCTGCAGGATCCCTCCCTCCAGATCCTGCGGCAGATGGGTCAGCTCTGGAGCTCAGGCTCCAGTGGGCAGCCTCAGCCCGCGTGGATTTGCTCAGCCCATGGTACAGTGGGACTTGGGGCCTCCACCACGGCTGACCTCCAAAGCTGGTTTGCAGTGAAACAGAAAATAATTTCGGTGAGGTGTGCTTCTGAGCACACACAGAGTTCCTTTCCCTCCTCTCTCAGTCACCATGGGGGTAGTGCTGGGAAGCTCCCCGATGAGTCGCTGACCTTTCCCGGCAGCCTCTGCCCCCCTTTGAGAAGGCTGGCCCCAGAGAGACTCCCTCTCGCCCAGCGCCTGCCTCTCTGCTCCTCTCCAGGCCGCGTGGTCAACGTGAGCAGCATGCTCGGCCGCATGTCCAGTCCTCTGCGCTCTTCCTACTGCGTCTCCAAGGCCGGGCTGGAGGCCTTCACCAGCTGCCTCCGCCAGGAGATGTACCCCTGGGGGGTGGGGGTGGTCGCGGTGGAGCCCAGCAACTTCATCGCGGCCACCGGCATCCTGACCCGGGACGGAGTCCAGGCCGAGGCCCAGCAGATGTGGAGCGGGGCCAGCGCAGCCGTCCGTGCGGATTACGGAGAGGCCTACTTTGCGGAGCAGGTCCGCCGGATGGAGGGCTTTGTGCGCAGTGGCCTGAGGGACGTTTCCCTCGTGCTGGACGACATCACCGAGGCGCTGACCGCGCGGCACCCCTACGCCCGCTACAACCCCATGGAGGCCCGCTGGTGGGTCCGGCTGCAGGCCTTCACCCACTTGCCCACGGCTCTGGCCGACTGGCTCTACGTCCGCTAGTCCCTCGCTGCCCATAGGCCTGGTGCCCAGTTTGGAAACAAACAATTCCTGCCTTGCGTGGGGTTGGACTAGATGACTCTTGGGGTCCCTTGCAACTCTACAATGCTGTGGTTCTAAGATCCTACGCCCACATCTTGGCAGCCAGCCTGAGAGTCATCCTGGCCCAGAACTAGCCACATGCCCAGCCCAAGTGGCTCCTGAGGCTGGGGAGGGTGTCTCTAGGCAGCCCTGGCAAAGAAAGTAACCCCATCAGCCTTTAGGTTCTTCTGGAGCAAAGCAGCTGGGGGGGGGGGTGTCTTCCACTTCTGGCACCTTCTGAATGTGCCCACAGCAAGTGGTTGCCAGGAGACCCTGCATTGGGTGGGGTGAGGGAGCCATCCAGATTCTGGGAGTGTAAATGGGCCACTGACTACTTGCAAGGATGCCAGCTGGCACCCCTTCTTCCCCCCTCCCCCCAGGCCAAGGAAGCAAATGGCTGCCTCTGCTCTGGAGGCCTCACAAAGAGCTGCTGCTGTTTTGCTCGCAGTTGCCTGGGTGGGATCTGTCTCTCACAGGGGGATGCTCTGGGGTGGGGGGCTGGGGGATGTTGCTCAAGGAATTCCAGCACCCAGAGAAAGACGGGGAGGGGGTCCCCAGTGCAGACATCCCATGCCAGCTGCAGCAGAAACTTCCCCTTGCCCTCAGCTGGGGCTCCCAGGAAGGGCTGCATCAGGGCCTGGGACACGAGGACCCTCAAGCCCACCCCCCACCCCCCAGGAGTCCTTCCTAGCCAGGCAGCTTCCACCCAGTCAGCCCTTTGACCCGTCGAGCCCCCTCAGCTTCTCCCCTGAGCAAGAGGAAAGGTCTTGGCCAGTTGGGCTGCCTGCCTGCCGGATCAGGCCAAAGGGGGCCCATCTGGTCCAGCCCCCTCTCCTCTCAGTGGCCAACCAGATGCCTCAGTGGGAAACCCACAAGCAGGATCTGAGCACAAGAGCAACAATCTCTCCTCCTGCACTTTCCCCGGAGGTGCACCTGGAGATTGAATGGAAGACCTTCTGCTTACAAAGCAACTCTCTACGTCCCCGTTTCCCGGGGACAGTCCCCGGATTCACAAATCTGTCCCCGGAATGTCCCCGGATTTCATTTAATGTCCCCGGATTTATATTTTAAGTGTTGTAGATTTATTAGTAGGGAATGACTGTTGCGTGATTGGTTCAACGGCACAAGACACATCATATGGGGAATTCTGGTGAGGCAAAATGGCGGGCGTCACAGCAGTGAGCAGCTCCTGAAGCCAGCCAGAGCCAACTGCGCTACCAGCCTGGCTCTGGGCTGCTGAGACTGCCACTGCCCCCGCCACTGCTGAAGGGGAACCAGGGACTCCCAGCGCGTCAACTGGGGGAACCGCTGACACACCCCACGACCCAAATCGAGCTGGGAGTGAGACCACCCGGCCAACTGCCCAGCAGTACTCCATGGCCAGGAAAACCCTGGAGCCGATGCAGGGAGAAAGGGGAGAGGAGAAGGAGAAGGAAGTAGAGAAAGAGGAAGGAGAAAAAAGAGGGGAGCCCCAACCTTGTTGCACTGCTGCTGCCGCCGCTGAGGAAAAGAGGTAGGAGAGCACTGGGAGGGCAAGGACACGTGGCCAAGCCCAGACCCGACCCGAGACTACTCCACAGTGGCTAGCACTCCAGAGAGCAGGCCAGGACCCAGAGGAGACCACAGAAGAGAAGATATTACTTCTTTTTTAAAAACTTAAAAAAAAATTACTTCCCCCCTCTTTTTTTTTTTAAAAAGTGTCCCCAGATTCTTTGAAAAAAAACTGGTAACCTTACTCTACCCCTCCCCCCTGCCACTGAGGAACATGGGCCTCCCCTGCAACAGTGGATGGAGAACATGCAGATTATGGGATGGCAGGAGGCCCTCCTCCCTCCTGTGATCTCCCCTTCGCCACTGCTCTAAGCCAGCCAGGGGGCTGCATGGGATTAGGCTGAAGGTCCCAAGAGCCAAAAGGTGGGGTTTGCGGGTTCCCTTAAAGATCTCTCATAATCCAAGCAAATATGGCCAAGGTGTCTCTGGGCATACACAGAGTGTGTTAGTCCTGGCGTGAGCAGGCAGCACTTCTGCGTCAGAAGCAGCCACAGTGACCTTCTGGCTCTTCCCTTTGCAAAGGAGCACCTGCCCAGCCATGTCCCTCGCGCCAGCTGGACCCCTTGGCAGGCTGCCCCCTAAGGAGGACAAGGCCATGGCAGGCCCAGGGCGGGAGCCGCTCACCCAGTGGGCCTCTGGCCAGCTCAGGCATGCGCCAGCTGCTCTTGGGCCGTGCGTGTGATGCTGGGAACAAGCGCATGTAATTGGACTCGACAGTCGCAGGAAGACTGGGCATAGTTTCCCACTGCAGATTCGCTCTCCAAAGACCCCTTGTGCCAACTTACAGAATTGCAGAGTTGAAGGGGACCCCAGGGGTCATCTAGTCCAACCCCCCCCCCCCCCGCAATCCAGGAATTGTAGCTTACAGAGCAGTATCCCTTTACTTTTCTGCGAGGAAAGCCACGCTTACCTGAGCACCGTCGGCATGCAAGTGATGCGAGGGGGGTATGTGTGTAACTTCATCCCCACCCCCACCCCCAGCACTGCCGTTTGTCTGCACTATGAAATCATTGGAACACAATGGGCACCTGATCATCTGCACACTGAGAAAGAAATAAAGTGAACCATTTCAGCCCACCTGTGTCTCCCTGTCTCCCTGTGGGTCTGATCCTGCCGCCCTCTGGCAGAATCCACCCTTGTCAGAGGAAGAAAGCCTTATCCCAGAGGAAGGTGAAACGGGGGGTTTCTGGGTTTTGACACACAATGCTGGTTCTCTGGGCAAGAGTGGATGCGCTGAGCTGCAAGGGGAGTCGTGCCCTGGATGGAGAGGGGCTGCCATCTTTCCTGTGCTTGCAACAGGGGTGGCACAAGCAGAAAGGCAGCAGGGGCCAGTCCTGACCCCCCCCCCCCAGACACACCAGGAGAAGGCAGGAGAACGCAGAGGAAGAACTCCAGCAGAACCAAGCCAAGGGGAAAAATGAAGAAAAGAAAGCATTGCTCAAAGCATCACTTTTATCTACAATGACATAATTCTCACTCTTAAAGAAGCCCCCCCTGGATGTTTTGCTGCTCAGTTGGAAATGGCCCCCTCTTGGGTCGGGTGGTGGAGTACCTAGATTCCTACTAGCGGAAATTACTAAGGTTCCTACTAGCGGAAATTATTAATCTCAGCCAGTTTTATGAATGGAGACTCAGGGAAAACATGAATGAATGCTAGAATGAACACTAGAAATTGTATGAAAGTGGTTTAATTACAAAAAAAGCCAAACCAAGGAACACATTAACCAAAGAGGTACCAGGTTGCAGTGCCTGGACAAGCTGCGAACTGCCATCATCTCCAAGGCACAGGGTCACGGGGGGGGGGGGGAGCAGAATCAGGTCTTGGGAAATTACAGATAGCTATCAGAAGTGGAAATGGGACAAAAGGACAGCTATCAATGCACAAAGGAGGAAATGTTTAACACAGATAAGGTAAAGGGCAATTACTGTGATTGGATGTGAAAGGAAAACATTAAAGATTGCAAAAGGTGAAAGATGAGCAGAGACTTGTCTTTCTTGCTTGGTAGGTGGCCAGTCAAGCACACAAATTTCTGGGAAACACCACATCTTTCTGTGACATGGTGACTTTTGTATTACACTTGTGGGAGTGGATCTTGGGGCGGGGGGACTGAACTTTTAAAAAAAGCTGCACCCTTTCTCTTGCGTCTCTTTTGCTATTTCAGATTTGGAAACAAAATAAAGACCAGGCTTTTCATATACCTTGGAGGCAGCTAATTGCTTTGCTCCGACCGACAAGCAGCCTCGCAGAATCACGGGTCCCTAGAGTGAGGGGGGGCTGCTGCAGCCCACCCCTCTGTTTTCATGGGCTCAGGACCCCAATGGGTGGCCTGGATGGAGAGGCTGGGGCAGAGGGAGGAGGACTCTGCTTCTGCTTCTGTTTCTCTCTCTCTCTTGGCGGCCTTTGATGCCTCTGATTGTGCTGTCCTCATGGACCGGCTCATGGACCGGCTCATGGCAATTGCCTTTGTCTAGTCCTACATTCAGTCTGATAGCCCTGTGGCTCCCAGTCAGCTCAACAGCACTCAGCATTTCACACCAGCTCCTAGCTGACTCTCACAAAAAAGGCATGGAAGAGGGGAGAGGGGAACACATGACGGGGGCATAAGGTTATACCTGGGGAGGAGAAGGTGGACACAGAGAAGTTTTTCTCCCTCATAATACTAGAACTGAAGTGAATGGTAATTTAGGACAGACAGAAGGCAAGACTTCTTCATGCAATGCAAAAACTCTGGAACTCCCTCCCACCGGACGCAGGAATGGCCATCAACTTAGATGTCTTTAAAAGACAATTGGACAAGGCTATCAGGGGCCACGATCCACAAGGGCCATCTTCCACCTCCACTGCCAGAGGCAGTACAGGGATGCTAGTTGTTGGGGGTGATAATACTAATACTAATACTAATACTAATACTACGACTAATAATAATAATTTATTTCTACCCCACCCATCTGGCTGGGTTTCCCCAGCCACTCTGGGTGGCTTCCAACAGGAGATTAAAAATACATTAAAACATCAGTCTCCGCTCCTCCACATGCAGCTGCTGGGTGACCTTGGGCCAGTCCCACTTCTCTGAAGTCTCTCAGCCCCACTCACCTCACAGAGTGTTTGTTGTGGGGGAGGAAGGGAAAGGAGAATGTTAGCCACTTTGAGACTCCTGAAGGGGAGTGAAAGGCGGGATATCAAATCCAAACTCTTCTTCTTCTTCTTTAAAAACTTCTCTAAACAGTGCTGCCTTCAGATGTCTTCTAAATGTCAGATAGTTGTTTATTTCTTTGAAATCTGATGGGAGGGTGTTCCACAGGATGGGCGCCACTACCGAGAAGGCCCTTTGCCTGGTTCCCTGTAACCTTGCTTCTCGCAGTGAGGGAACCGCCAGAAGGCCCTCGGAGCTGGACCTCCATGTCCAGGCAGAACGATGGGGGTGGAGACGCTCCTTCAGGTCTACTGGGCCGAGGCCATTTAGGGCTTTCAAGGTCAGCACCAACACTTTGAATTGTGCTTGGAAATGTACTGGGAGCCAAGGTAGGTCTTTTAGGAACAGTGTTATATGGTCTCAGCGGCCACTCCCAGTCACCAGTCTAGCTGCCGCATTCTGGATTAATTGTAGTTTCCGGGTCACCTTCCAAGGTAGCCCCACGTAGAGCGCATTGCAGTAGTCCAAGCGGGAGATAACTAGAGCATGCACCACTCTGGCGAGACAGTCCGCGGGCAGGGAGGGTCTTAGCCTGCGTACCAGGTGGAGCTGGTAGACAGCTGCCCTGGACACAGAATGGATCTGCGCCTCCATGGAGTCCAAAATGACTCCAAGGCTGCGCACCTGGTTCTTCCGGGGCACAGTTACCCCATTCAGGACTAGGGAGTCCCCCCTACTTGCCTGCCTCCTGTCCCCCCAAAACAGTACTTCTGTCTTGTCAGGATTCAACCTCAATCTGTTAGCCGCCATCCACCCTCCAACTGCCTCCAGGCACTCACACAGGACCTTCACCGCCTTCACTGGTTCTGATTTAAAGGAGAGGTAGAGCTGGGTATCATCCGCATACTGATGAACACCCAGTCCAGACCCCTGATGATCTCCCCTGCGGCTTCATATAGATGTTGAAAAGCATTGGGGAGAGGATGGAGCCCCCCTGAGGCACCCCACAAGTGAGAGCTTAAGGGTCTGAACACTCATCCCCCAACACCACTTTCTGGCCACGTCCCAGGAGGAAGGAGCGGAACCACCGTATAACAGTGCCCCCAGCTCCCAGCCCCTGTAGATGATCCAGAAGGATGTCCTGGTCGATGGCATCAAAGGCCGCTGAGAGATCCAGCAGAACTAGGAAACAGCTCATGGGGAGAGTTGCTGCTGTTGTGCTCCGGTCCTGCTCACAGACCTCCCCCTGAAGCATCTGGCTGGGCACAGTGAGAACAGGCTGCTGGCCCAGATGGGCCACTGGCTTCCCCGAGCTGCAGGGAATATTCTGCACCGGCTGAATTGCTCCCTTGCATGCAGCCATTTGAAAAGCACTGGCGGCTCGGCCTGAGCAACCCTGCTGCTTCCTCTGAGGCATCCCAGGAGGCCTTGCAGCAGCCATGGCAGAGCCTTGCGCCCAGCCGGCTCCCTCCTGACCAGCCCCTCCCAGGGATCCCTCTGACCAGCTGCCACCCAGCTCAGCCCCATGAAGACTTGAAGACCTCTGCCCCCTGCTGGCCTCCTCACAGCACGCCTGGCCAAAACAGGCCGCCTGCAGTCCTGGTGGGTGCAGAGTGGGGAGCCCCAACTGGGGGAGGTGGGGCAGAGGCATCCCACTCCCCTCTTTGGCAGCAAGGTGCTCTGCGCTCGGCAGTGTCCAACGCGTCAAAATAACCAAGACATCTTCAGCATTTGGAGATTATCACTATTAAAGTCATAATGAAGTCACCCAGCCCTACTAAGAAAGCCTCTGAGCATGTGCAAAGCACGCCCCACCCCACCGTAAGTGGAAGCAGCCCTTGATAACCGAGGGAAAGAGCATGTATATCATGTCTCAGTGGGGGGGGGGGGTGCATCTGTGGCCGGGGGCAAGAGAGGGGCTTTCTCAAAGGCTCCGTTGAGATTGCGGCAGAGACCGGACTTCCGGGGTGGCGCCTCCGGAAAATGGCGGAATTCCCTTCGGACTGAAGGGAACCCGCTGCACGGAGGCTTGGGTCCTGCCGCTACGGCGCAGCGGGGACCCGCAAAAACCACAGGCGGAAGAAGCCTGTGGACGTGGGACTCGGCGGGCACCGAGTGCGCTCTCTCCCCTTGTACAGGAGCCCGGTAACGGGCTCCGGAGTGGGAGGTGCGTGGTGCTGTGAGTCGTCTGCTTCCTCCGTGCAGCAAAGCCGCACTGCCGTTATCGGAGAGCGCTGCCTTTTTCCTGGACAATTTGGCATCTAAAACATCTATCCGTGAGTACCTGATCTTAGAAGAGCTGAACCACTTTTAAGACTGGTGAATAAACAAATAATATTGGACTTGAAATTGAACTTAATTGGGACTCGGAATGGGAAGGTCTAAACAGGAAGTCGCCTTCCGTTCTTTTGTTATGTGAAGAAAGCAAAGACAAAATATACTAAAGCCTGAAAATTAAATTTTAAGAGAACTAGAATTCAACATCTAAGATTTCTAGAACCCCCTTTGACAGCAGGAGAAAAAGGGGTTGTATTTGGACTTTTCAATCCTGCGGAAGTGAGTTTAAAATAAAGCAATTTTCCACCGCCCTGAACCAGGAGCGGGCTGTCAGAATTGACGTTCTGAAGTTTATCCAGCTCGACAGTTAGTTAAAAGAAGGGTAACATTTTGATTCTACTGTTGCCTCTTGAATTTGGAAGGGGAATTTTGGATAAAGTGTTTCTGGAAAAAGAAAGATTGTTGCTGTTGCTTTTATTCCTTTTAAAAAAAAAAATTCCATCTAGTGGAATTTAGTGAAATTACAACGCAGAGAGATTAAAAGAGAAGGACTATTGGACTATTCTCGTGGGAAAGAATTTTCTTTGACCTTGAAGGACAATGCTAGTACAAAGGCTTGAACAATTGTTCCTGGAAGGTTTTTCAAAACTAAGTGCCCAGCTGGACCAGATGTGTCAGGAGATGACCTTGAGGATGGAAGTTACCAGAGCACAGCAGCAAACAAATGAAATTCAGTTAAAGGCTATACAAGCATATGAACCTGCTGTAGTGACGGAGGCTTCAGAGATGGAGGGACCTTTGGACGGGCAAGATCAGCCTTTGAACTTGATAAATGAACTTGGGACAAACCAGATTCGGAAAGATGAAATGTGGTCAGATTTGGAAATGGGGGATGGATCGACCCCCTCCATATGGTTATTTGGACCTTCCGAGTCTGGTGATGGGCTATCAGAGGATTGGAGTAGCCGAAGTCTCCAAGCTTTGTGGAAATTTGAAGTGGTATTATTTGCTGTCTGGCTTGGGCAATGGGTTTGGGATGGACTTGTTGCAAAGGGTCAAAAGCATTTTCTTGCTGGAGCATCCACGACTGGAAAGGAATCATCAACAAGAGTGGCGAAAGGGGCAAGAAAGAGACTTGAGGGCCTCGGATACGAGACAACCAGGTTAAGGAGCCGGATTACCGAGGTTAAAAGGACTGACAATCCCGGGTCCAGGGGAGGGAGGTTGGAAGCTGACTGGACTGAATTTGACTTATTATTTTTTCTTTTTACTTTTTAATATTGGGAATGCTTACAAATGTTTGAAGGATGTTGAATGAAATTACATGACTTAAGTAAGGATTGGTAAATGATTCGTAAAAGGTAATGATGCAAGAATTTGGTAAATATTGAATATAAGCTATGAGTTTTAAAGTTTTTATATGACAAGAGGAAAATAGAATAAGGAAACGTAATGACAGATTGTTATGAAAAACAGAAAGGATTTGCTGTAAAAATTAAAAATTAAGAAACAAAGAGGGGAGGAGGAGGAAGTCTAGAAAGGAAGTCAATAGAGATTGTAAAGGACTTTATATTTTTGTTTTTCTGTTTCTCTTTTTTTTTTCTTTGCGGCTGGGTTTTCTTTTCTTTTTTGTTTATGCACTAATTTTGTTTTTTGTATCCTAAATTTTTTTTTTTTTTTGGAAATTTTTGTTGTTATTTTTTGAAAATTCAATAAATATCAATTATAAATTAAAAAAAAAAAAAAAAAGAGATTGCGGCAGAGACCCAAGTCAACCTGGGAGCCTCCTGGGGGCAGGGTAGGGTGCCCTGACCATGACCCTCTGTGCCTCTGGGTGCAGCTCCTGGGAAACTTCATGGAGTCACAAAATCACTGTGGTTGTAGAGTTGGAAGGGACCCCCAAGGATCATCTAGTCCACCCCCCATGCTGGTTTGCAGGGAATATTTCCTCTTAGGAATTGGCAGGCCCAGTGCCAAAAGGGTGGGTGGGGCCTTAACAGGACAAGAAGGCCTCCTCGGTGGTGGCACCTGCCCTGTGGAACACCCTCCCATCAGATGTCAGGGAAATAAGCAGCTCTCCTATCTTGAAAAGACATCTGAAGGCAGCCCTGTTTAGGGAAGTTTTTAATATTTAATGCTGTATTGTTTTTAACACTCGATTGGAAGCCGCCCAGAGGGGCTGGGGAAACTCAGCCAGATGGGTGGGGTATAAATAATAAATAATTATTGATGATGATGATGATGATGACATCACAGAGCTCTGTGACACTGCCCTGGAAACGGTGGTGTCACACTGTAGGAGCACAGCATGGCTCCCCAGTTAGGGCTCTCCTCCTCCTCCTCCTGCTGCTGCTGCATTTTGTAGGTAAGTTGGGCTCCTTGCTTCTTGCTCAACTTGCCTCTTCCTGGAGGGAACTTCTGTCCTCAGCTGCTCCCACCACAGCTAGACTGAGTGGCTCCCCGTGGTGAAGAGGCCAGGCCCCCCAAGGGGCGGGTGCTGGGTGGCAAGCATCAAGGCAGGGCCACCCCCCCTCCATGCCCAGCCTAGCGGGTGCCAGAGACCAAACCCAGCAAGGAAATAATAATCTCCCCCTTGCCTGGCTGCTTCAAAAGCAAGATGCAGGAAAGGAGGGGCTGCACGGAAGGGGGCAGGAGGCGGGGCCAGCCATATATGTGCCCCCCTAGGGGCACAGGAAACTACCAGTGCAGACCACTGGGTCCATCTAGCTCCATGCTGCCTTCACTGACTGGCAGCAATGGCGCCCCAAGATTTTAGGCAGGGGACTTTCCCAGCCGCCGCTGGAGATGCTGCCGGGGACTGAGCACAGAACCTTCTGCATACCAAGCAGGTGCTCTGCGCCACTGACCTCGAACCACTTCCCCAAGCAGAGAGGATGTTGCGCCTGATCCAGCGAGGGATGGGGCTCAAGTGGTGGAGACAGCTGTGGGCCAAATCCAGCCTCAGGTATGCCTGGCACAGCAGAAACAAAGGCAGGGGGGCAGAAGCCCCTCTAGGTCACTGCAGGATGATGGAGGTGGAGGGGGGCTCTGGCCAGGTGCTGTGGGGGAGGGACCTGGCACAGGTGCTGCTGGTCTTGGCAGGGCACCACAGAGTGTATTGTGGGATGACCAGCCTCACATAACCAGCATGCTTGAGTCTGATGAATGCATGAAGGGGTTAATGCCAGGCTTAGCTAGCTCACCCCCCCCCCCACCTTGGCAGGAGCTGCTCAAGCCTATTCTTGTGCCTCAGTCTACCTGAGAGGTTCAGTGGGTCAAGAGGTCTGAGTTGGCTGCTGCATCTTATTGGCTTCATGGGTGCCAGGGGCTGCCTGCCACACAGGCTTGCGGGGGGGGGCTGTCCTCAGTGATTTCCTGCCCCCCATGTTTCCTGCCCTTCCTCTTCCAGGCTGCTGCCTCCCTCCTATGCTGTGCCTGACCAGAAAGTGAGCTATTCCAGCCATGCCAACAAGGTGAATGGGGGCTGTTGTCACTCCGCCCTGCTTTGCGTTGCCCCCGCCCTGAGTGAGGCTGCCTGGGACTCCTTTTGGCTGCCCCCACCCTGAGAGAAGGCACGCTGGGCAAACAGCGGGGGCAGGTGCTTTGGCAGGAGGTGGGAAGCGGGTTCAAGGCGGCCTTGAGGCTCAGGAGGGGACCACTGAGACGGGAAAGCGTCCCCTCCACAAGATGGAGGGAGAGAGGAGGGTCCTGCACCCACTGGAAGCTGCCAGGGCATGAGCTCTGTTGTGCCACCGCCAGCCACCCCAAAGAGGAAGCATCGCCTTTTCTTTCAGGAATCAACATCCTTTGTCACAAACATATTCAACGGGCACCTGGCCCCTGAGAATGTCTTCCCCTTCCCTTCAGGTAGGCAGCGGGAGCCCCCTCAGCCAGCGGGGGTCTCTGAGGGGTGGGGTGAGGGGTTTGATCCTCCTGCTGACCCACCAGCCGCCACTCTGCCCCCTCCAGTTCTCTCCCCTGAGCAAGCGCAGTCCCTGCAGGCCATGGTGGATCCCTGCACCCGCTTCTTCGAGGTGAGTGGGGGTGAGGAGGCCTGCACTTTCCATTTTGCCAAATTAAGCCAGCGTCCGTCTTTGGGTGCCCTGGGCGGCTGTGCGTAGCAAGATTGGGTGGGCATCTGAGAGGGCACATCTGGGCACTTGTCCACACAAGAACAAATCCTGCCCTGGAGGGAAGCGTATAAAGCTGGAAAAACATTGCTCAGACATGCAAAATCCGGCAGAAGTATCATTTCTCACCTTTTCAGATTTCACTTTTGAAATTCTTTAAAAAACAAAACCTAATTCTTCCGTCTTGGGTGTTGAGTGATTTGCCCCTTAGATCCTTGACTCCAAATGTATCCACAGCTGATAACTTGGAATGACCCTTTGGATCAGAAGACAACTCTCTCTTTCCCCCTTTTTCTTTTTGGCAAACCTTCCCTGGAACTCCCTGCCACAGGAAAGTGGCCTTAGGGGAGGGTCTGCCTTTGCTTTGTTCTTTTCAAACTGTGGGCAGGAAGTGAACGACCCAGCTGCCAACGAGGAACTGGAGAGCATCCAGGAGGAGACCCTGGCCGGCCTCAAGGACATGGGCTGCTTTGGCCTCCAGGTGCCTGAGGAGCTGGGGGGCATCGGGCTCACCAACACGCAGGTGAGAGGGACTGATGGGGGGGTGTCCAATGGGACTCTGGGGAGGAGGAGGAGGCCTTTGATATAGCCAGGAGGGGGGGTGAGGTAGAGGAGGGGCCAGAATTCCCCCTTTGTGCAGCCCCTGCCCACGCAGAGATGTGGGAGCATGTGGGGTGGTGGGGTGTGGGGTGCGCACTGATGCTCCAGGTGTGATGGGCCAAGAGGAACTCATCTCCCTGGGGAGACCCCTCCTCCTCCATCTTGGCCTTGTGGGGCTGGGTGAATCAATGGCTGCCTGCCCCGCGTGATGCCAACCTCAGAGCAATTCACCCCCCAGTATGCCCGCATGGTGGAGGTGGTCGGGATGCACGACCTCGGGGTGGGCATCGCCCTCGGTGCCCACCAGTCCATCGGCTTCAAGGGGATCCTGCTCTTTGGCACAAAAAGCCAGAAGGAGAAATACCTGCCCAAGTTGGCAACTGGTAAGACAACCCCCCCTCCCCAAAATGAGACCTGCCGGGACGGCGAGGGCACCAGCGCTGTCGGAAGCCCAAACCAGGCAGGGGACGCGGGCGGGAGCCGTCGGGTCTCCTTCCGCCGAGCAGCCGCAGGGGTGAGAGGCCAGCCTAGCCGCCGCCCAGAGGCCCGGGGATGGCGCGCCCAACCTCGGAGGGGCGCTGGCTGGCTCTGAGAGTCCCGGGAGCCCCCCGGCCGGGTCGCCCCGTCGAATGAGCGGCTCGTCTCTCCCTGCGCCAGGCGAGGTTCACGCGGCCTTCTGCCTGACGGAGCCGTCGAGCGGGTCCGACGCCGCTTCCATCCAGACGACGGCGGAGCTCAGTCCCTGCGAGCGCTATTACACCCTCAATGGGGGCAAGATCTGGATCAGGTGAGGGACAGATCCGGATCAGGCCCCCCCCCCCCGGTGGCCCAGCGGGCTTCCCCGCGCCCTCGCTGACTCCTCCCGGTTCCAGCAACGGCGGCACCGCCGAGATCTTCACGGTCTTCGCCAAGACGCGCGTCAAGGACGTGACGACGGGCGAGGAGAAGGACAAGATTTCGGCCTTCATCGTGGAGAGGGCCTTCAAGGGCGTCACCAGGTGAGCACAGGGAGATGCCTGGACGGGCGGCCCCGGTCCGGGGAACTTGGGAGGAGGGAATAGCCTCGGGACGCGGGCAGAGTGCGCTTCCCTCGCCCCTGGGTCGCTGCCACCGGCGCAGGAGCCTAAAGGGACGCGGCTGGTTGCGCCGTCGGCTGCGCGGGGACCGGGATGGAGCCGAGCGCGCCGCGCCGCCCTGCGCCTCCGCGTCCTGAGCCCCGCTCTCCCTCTAGCGGCCCCCCGGAGCAGAAGATGGGCATCAAGTGCTCCAACACGGCCGAGGTGCACTTCGACGGCGTGCAGGTGCCGGCGGAGAACCTGCTGGGCGGCCGGGGGCGCGGCTTCCAGGTGGCCATGCACATCCTCAACAACGGCCGCTTCGGGATGGCCTCGGCGCTGGCCGGCACCATGCGCGGCGTCCTCCGCAAGGCGGTGAGCGGGGCCTGCCGTCGGGGGGCGGAGCGAGGGAGGGAGCGGCCGCGCCCGCGCTGAGCCCCCGGCCCTGCCCTGCCCTGCCCGCAGGTGGAGCACGCGGCCAACCGGCGCCAGTTCGGGAGCGCCCTGAGCAGCTTTGGCACCGTCCAGGAGAAGCTGGCGCGCATGGCGATGCTGCTCTACGTGACCGAGGTGAGGGGGGGGGCGTCGGGCCGACGCCTGAGGACAGGCCCTGGGGGGCGGGAAGAGGCGGCTGCGCCTTGGAGGGATTCCACTGCCGGGTGCCCAGCGGTGCCTCTGCCCGCCCCTTCCAGGCCATGGCTTACGTGCTGAGTGCCAACATGGACATGAAGGTGCCCGACTACCGCCTGGAGGCCGCCATCAGCAAGATCTTTGCCTCGGTGAGTGGATGGGGTGGGTCCACTGGTGGAGGAATGGGAGTGCAGAGGGAGAGGACCACCCCCGGCACCACTATTCCAGTAGGGTGGCATCATGGTGCCCCCCCGGGATGCGCACTACGCCCCCACCTGCTCTCCAACCCGTAGCAGAGGATGCAGCTTCGCCACTGGGTGGGTTGGTGGGGGACATGTCTCTCCAAGGAAGCCAGGCCTGCTCTCCCAAATCTCCATCCCTCAGCCCAGCCTCTCTGCTAGGCAGAAACTGATTGGCCTCGCAGGGGGGTGGGGCACGAGTTGGGGGGGCTGGGGGGGCACCCTCTTGAGTGCTTGAGGAGGCACTCCTTGACTCTAAATTCCTGACTTGCCCCTCCCTGGCCTGCTGCGTCCTCCTGACCCGTTCCCTGCTGGCCTCCTGCTTCCGGCCCCAGAGGAGGCACCTGTCTGGCCAGCAAGGCCTTTGGGGTGGTGGCCCCAGATCAGCTGAGGCTGCCCTTGCTGCCTTGGGCTGTTTCCATCCCCAGGAGGCAGCCTGGATAGTGACCGATGAAGCCGTCCAGATCCTGGGAGGGATGGGCTACATGAAGGTCAGTGCTCCTGCCTGGGTTTGGGGGGGGGGGCTTGCAGGGGCGGCTCCTTTGGGCCCCAACTGGGCAAGAGCCTCAGGCCAGTGGAGGTGACCTTGATTCCTTTGGCCAGGAGACGGGAGTGGAGAAAGTCCTGCGAGACGTGAGGATCTTCCGCATCTTTGAGGGCACCAACGACATCCTCCGCCTGTTTGTGGCACTGGGGGGCATGAAGGTGAGCCCCCACCCCGGCCTTTCACCAGGGCCGCCCTCCCACTGGCCCTGACACCTTGTTGGCCTTCTCAGAATTCACTCAGCCTCTCCTTGGCTGCCACAAGCATCAATCAAAGCCCTCAGGACCCACCACTAGATGGCACTTGGAGCACAAGAAGCTGCCTTCCTGGGGTCCATCTAGTTTAGCACTTCCTACACTGACTGGCAGGGATGCGGGTGGCACTGTGGGTTAAATCACAGAGCCGAGGACTTGCCAATCAGAAGGTCGGTGGTTCAAATCCCCACGACGGGGTGAGCTCCCGTTGCTCAGTCCCTGCTCCTGCCAACCTAGCAGTTCAAAAGCACGTCAAAGTGCAAGTAGATAAATAGGTACTGCTCCAGCGGGGAGGTAAACAGCATTTCCGTGCGCTGCTCTGGTTCGCCAGAAGCGGCTTAGTCCTGCTGGCCACATGACCCAGAAGCTGTCTGTGGACAAATGCTGGCTCCCTCGGCCAATAAAGCGAGATGAGCGCCCCAACCCCAGAGTCGTCCGCGACTGGACCTAATGCTCAGGGGTCCCTTTACCTTACACAGACTGGCAGCAGTGGCTCCCCAGGATCCGAGGCAGGGGACACTCCCAACCATACCTGGAAATGCTGCCATGGCGGATGGAACCGGGGACTTTCTGAGTGCAAAGGGGGTGCTCTGTCCCCTGAGCCATGGTCTTCTGCCTGCCTGCTGCTGGTGGCTCCCACCCTGTGGAGCCTGGGAGAAAGCAGTCAGAGGCCCCCCAGGAGTGAACCAGGAGCCCAGGCAGATGTCCTGGACAGTTGTCCTTTTGCCAGCACCATATTCAGCCTGTTAGATGGCACACCAACCCCATGAGGTCGGCCGCCATTAGTTTTGTTTTCTAGTGGAGGCTGAGAAGCCCAAAGGAGTTCATGGCAGAGCTTTCTCCCTGAGCCAGGTCAGAATCTCTCTGGCAACCCTCCCTTGCTGGGCTGCCCCTTCTTCCATGGCTTGTCCGTGGGTCCTTTGTGGGCAGGAACCTTAGAGGAAGTTCCCCAGTTCATGGGCTGGAGCTGCCCTCTGCTCTGCTCCAGGTTGACCCAAGACTCTGGGGAAAACAGGAGGGGTGGGGTGGGGTGCCCCCTCCCATCTCTTTTGCAGAAACAGCCTTGGGGCTGGACCTCCTTTGAGCAGGGCGACTCTCTCTGCCCACAGCATGCTGGAGAGGAGCTGCAGCGCCTGCAGAAGTCCCTCTCCAATCCGGTGGGGAAGGTGGAAGCCCTCTGCAAGGAGATTGTCACGAGAGCCAAGCGGTGAGAAGCATGTCTGGGGCTATTGGGGGGGCTGTGAGCCCCATGTCCAGCTTGGGGGCAGAAGCGGGTGCCTGGCGTGTTCCTCTGGTCTGAGGGGGAGTGGGTGGCACTGTGGTCTAAACCACAGAGCCTCTTGGGCTTGCTGATTGGAAGGTCAGTGGTTTGAATCCGCATGACGGGGTGAGCTCCTGTTGCTCTGTTCCAGCTCCTGCCAACCTAGCAGTTCGAAAGCACATCAAAGTGCAAGTAGATAAACAGACTGGAGCTTTTACCGTTTTTTACCCTCTGGTCTGATGCAACAGCCAGGAGTGACAGCCCACAGACTCCCTGGTTTGCTCTCCATCAACCTTCTGATTTCTATCTTGAATGTCCAACTGACAGTTCTGTTCCTCTTCCAAGTTCTGCACATCTCCTTTCCTTTCTCCTTCCACTGCAGGAAAGTCGGGCTTCCCAGTGGCCTCTCTCTGCAGGGCGATGTTCACCCAGACCTGGAGGACTGCGCGACTCTGGTGAGACATCATGGTGGGATAAAAAGGAGTTTGGAGCACAGCTGTGATTGGATCCATGTGCTGGCAAGGAAGCAAACCTTGGAGATGTACAGAGCTATGTACACGTATAATCTTTGTGTGCAGACACTTGTTACATTGCCAGCAAAAACTGGTCCCCTCAAAAGCATCAAGTCCCCCTTTGAGCCCATCCTGAGATGCTGTTGCAACTTTAGCTTCTCTTTCCATCGTGCCAGTGAAGAGGACACCCCAAGGAGGGTAAGCTTTTTGGCTCAATGGCCCACAGGATCTGGATCATCCTCAAGGGCCAGATTTGACATGTGCTTGGGGCTGCCCTAAAGCCCTTTGCAAAAGCACTCTTTGGAGCAGCTTTGGGCACTTTCTCTAAGTGGACAGTATGTGATGGTGATGGTGGGGGTCCGTGTGGCAGATAGCAGAATGAAGCCTGTAAGATACAGGCTGCTCTTCCTGCTTCTGCTGCCCCTGATTGTTTAAGAAGGACAGAGCTGCTTCAGAGAGTGCTTTTGCAAAGGGTTTTAACTCCTGCCTATCAGCTGATGAGCAGAAATTGAATCCTGTTGCCTTGGCTGTGTGATCCAGTTCCCTGTCCTCCTACCCATCAGCTGACGTTCCCGGTGACATCAGCTGATGGGCAGGTAGGCCTGGCTTGAGAGAAATGTGGGTCAAATGAGACCCCTTGGCAGGATGAAGTGGGCCCATGGATTGGAGGTTCCCCACCCCTGCCCTACGTGGGTGTCTGCATGGGGTGTTCTTCCAGAGCAGGGTGCCAGAGCCCCCTCCCCACCTGTTCCCAGGTGGTGCCTGGAAGGGCAAGCTCCTCTCGCTCCAGAGGGTCCTGAAGTGCCGGCTGCCTGAGAGGTGGAGGTTGTCCCCCCCGGGGGGGGGGGGCTGAGGCTCCTGACCCACAGGAGCATCACTTTCCAGCTGGTTCTTCCGCCTGGGCTTTCCGAGATGCCATCTCTGCGCCTGTAGGTCCTGTAACTATGCAAAGAGCGGCTGATGGAGAAACAGGGTGTGGGAGGGGCCTGTAAAGGAAGAGCTGCAGGCCCCCATCAGGACTACTTTCAGCCTGGGGGGCGGAGGGGTGTGGGCATGCCAGGCTAGCCCTCCCTTTGCCCTTCCTCCGTCCAGGTCACCAAGGCTATTGATCTGTTTGGTGAAGTGGTTGAGAGTCTGCTGCTGAAATATGGAGCTGCAGTGGCAGGTACCCCCCCTGCCCCCCAAGGAAAAGCAGGCCCTGCTTTGGACCTCAAGTCCCTCCCTGGATCAGGAGCCATGGGGAGCAGGGCCTGACCAGGCAGGGGAGAGACCCCAGCCTGACCTTCTGAGGTGGGGCATGGAGGCCTATTGTCAGGCCCCATAACTTTCTGTGGGTGTTCTTGGGAAGGGCTGTTGGGGGGCCACACAGTGGGGCAGGTCCCGTGTCTGCTGTGTCATGGGTCGGGCGGGGGGGGGGATAATCCAAGTCTGCCTGCAAAAGCAAACTCACCTCCTTAGCAATTTCTGGAGTGAGAAGCAGAGGCCAGGTCAGCTGCCCCAAATCTTGCCTGACGCCCCCTCTCCCCCCCCCCAATTCCTCCATCAGACCAGCAGTTCCACCTGAAGCGCGTGGCGGACTCTGCCATCGACATCTACGCCATGGCTGTGGCTCTCTCCAGGTAGGGAGTCTGCCTTTGCAGGGCGAGAGCAAAGGTGCCCACGGTTTGCCCCCCGGCTCTGCAAACTGAGGGGCCTGACCTCTGGGCTCCCCTCCTGTGGGCTCTGGCCTTCCCTCGCTCTCTCTCTCTTCTTCCAGGGCCAGCCGCTCTCTTTTGCTGAAGCAGCCATCAGCGCAGCACGAGGAGCTCTTGTGTCGCACGTGGTGCCATGAGGCAAGGGGTGGGGTGGGAGGAGGACCCCCGTAGCCCCTTCCTCGGCCTGGGCTCAGCCATGTCCTCCCTCTGGCCCCTCTCTCCCCTTGGCTCTCAGACCCAGACTTCCTCCCCCTGGCTGCCCCTCCCCCAGCCCCCGTTTCCTGCCGGGTGATCCATTCCTCCTCCTCCTCCCAGTCCTGGGGCAGGAGTTGAGCCTTGCAGGATGTAACCAGGTGTGAAATGCTTCTCTCCTTCATTAGCCATAATTGCAGGGAGTTATCTGGGCCTCTGCCAGAGCACCTGGCTGTGCTTCTTTGAAGCTTCCGCCGGCCTGGAGGAAGCCTCACTGGTGATGGGTCTCCCCCGGGGCCAAGAACAAGGTGGCTCACAGGGTGCCAGCCCCGCGCCAGCTCTTGCCCAGGCAGGGCAGCTGTGCCCTGGAAGGACCCGGAGCGTCTCTCCCTTGTCAGCTTTTCCCTATGGGCCTGACAATGCCCTGGGTGCCTGTGGCTGCTGCCCTGTGTCGGGTGGCCGTGGCCGGTCTCCCGCGTGGGTGGGTGACGCTCCTCCTGTGTCCTTGCAGGCCTTCCAGCGCGTCCGCCAGGCTCTGCGGGAAGCCAATTCACTGGCCTGGGAGGAGTCCTTTGCCGGCATGAAGCTGATCTCCGATGCCCTGGTGAAGAATGGAGGTGTTGTGGCTGCTCACCCGCTCGGCTTCTGAGCTCCCGGGGGGCTTTCAGTCAGGGACTGGAAGGAGCTTGGCATCTATTAAAGCTGATGTAAAGCCAGCTGCCTCCATTTCCCCGGTGGTCTGCCCTGGTCTGGCACAGGCAGCTTCTGGTGCACCTAGCTCTGGGGTCTGGCTGGCTCCCCTCCTCTCCCACTTTGGACAAGCACTCCTGACATCTTCAGCAGAGGCTGGCTGGCCACCCTCCTGGGATGCTTCAGCTGAAATCCCTACATTGCAGGGGGTTGGGCTAGATGACCCTCAGGGTCCCTTCAAACTCTACAGTTCTAGGATTCTAAGACGGCCATTCAGCCTCTGCTTAAAGCCTCCAACGAAGGGCAGCCCAGAACTTTAACTCTGGAGCGTTCTCCGCAGGGCGGCCTCACTGGCCCATCTTGTTTCAGTCGGCCTTTCTGGTGTTTATTGGCTGCGTCCGTTTTCATGCATCTACTGTAAATCTTCTTTACTGCCCTGAGAAGTGATGGAGACCCCTCTTGCCTCCCCCAATTCCTCGCTCTAGGGCAGGGGATGACTTCCTGGGAGTCAAGTGAGGCTGCACAGCGATCTTACTCTAGGGCTGCCATATTCTGGGGATCAAAAACTCAGACCCCCCCCCACATCTCCCTCACTTGCCCTCTTCCTCGCCTGCCTGCTCCCCCCTCCTTCCCTCCCCTCTCTTCCCTTTGCTGTCTTTGGCCTCCTGCTCACGATGGGAGGCTGAGCGACCCTGAGAAGGTCAGGCAAGGCCAGGCGGCTGTGGAGCCTGGAAGGGGCCTGGCATCGCCCCTGCCAGGCTGCTCCAGGCCACTCGATGCCTGCTTCCTGTTCTTGGACACAGCGCATTAAAAAATATTGAAAGAAGCAAAAACAAAAAATAAAGCCTCCAAAACCTGGACATTTAATCCAAAATGCAAAAATCTTCCCAGATGGGGTGCTGCCCCCCCAAAACTGGACTTGTCCAGGAAATCCCTGATGTATGCCCCCCTGTCTTACTCAAGGGGATCCTCTGCAGCCCCCGAGGTCTCCAAATGTCACGTTCCTCCTAAAGGGTCTGTGGAACCGGAGGCCTCATCCTGCCTGGTGCTCTTGCAGGGTGACCTGGACCCCAAGGAGCGAGGAGCAGATTTGCTTGTTGAACCACAAGCCAGGAGGGCTCTTCAGGCGGGGGGGGGGGCTTTGATGCCACGAGGCGTTTGGCATCAGCGCAAATGACCTGTGGCTCCTCTGTCCTTTGCCTGCCCCTTGGACAGTTGCACAGGCCTGTCCTGGAATGTGCAGCCGGAAGGAGATTCCCCCTCGGCAGCCGAGCGGAAGGAGGGCAGCTGCCCGGGGCGGGGGGGGGGGCGTTTGCCACACACAGTCAAGGGAAAACTTCCACTGAAAGACAAGAAGGTACAGCATCTTGGGTCTGGTTCTTGCCAGCACCACAAAAGCCTTCATCCAAGGCACAGAACAATATTGGTCACCTTGCCTTTTACGTAGGATGACAAATCCGCTCACAAACCACAGAGGACATCCGGTCCCATCTCACCTGAGGTTGAGCCACCTGCTCCCGTGTGAGCATTTTGAAAGGACCTGATGGGCTTTAAGAGCAGCATGAAAAGTTCCCCCCACAAAAGGACACATTTATCTACAGTTTGCACATGCTACTGCATTATTATTCATTTTTTTGTTTATTAAGTTTCCATACTGCCTTCCCCCGAGGATCACAGGGCGATTTACAGTATATCTGTAATCTGATGTCTTAAAGTATTATATGCTGTATTTTGATGTTAGCCAGCCTGAGCCTGGTTCTGGCTGGGGAGGGTGGGTTATTCTTCTTCTTCTTCTTCTTCTTCTTCTTCTTCTTCTTCTTCTTCTTCTTCTTCTTATCTACATTGTACATGCATAGATGCAAAGGTAGTATAGCTCTCTCCTCCTCTTCTTCCTTGCCTTTCCACTGGACTAGGACAGGCCTTCAAAGTGAGGACTGTCCTCCATAAAGTAGGACACCTAGGAGTTGATCATCCACCCAAGTGTGCCATGAGCCACCATTAATCTTCTGCAGTTGAGGAGTTGGGGCTGATTCTGCCTCCAGAAATCCATTTGTCACTTCCTGTCCCTGGGACTCCGGTGGCTCCGATGTGCTCCTTGGAATGTCATGAATGGTTGTCACAATGGATGGCCATTAATTTTTCCAACACTTTTATCTGCCTGTTTCCATGTTGTTGCGAATTAAAATAAACTTCCATTAAGACATTAAAATGGGACGTTGCGTTTGCTATTTTTGTCCTGCATCAAGTTTTGACCAAATACGACGTATTCCCCTTGAAACATGCCTTCTAGTTATTGGATGTATTTACTGTACTAATAAAATAAAATTATCACCCAGCAATCCCATGGAAGCATCTTCCCTTCCTCTCTAGGGAGCAGAGAAAGAGCCTCTGCCTTGAGAGGGAGATCTCGTTTTCATAGAATCCTAAATTGTTGAGTTAGAAGGGATTCCAAGAGTCATCTAGTTTAACCCCCTCAATGCAGGAATTTCAAGTAAAGCATCCATGCCAAATGACCACCCAAAGAAGGCGAGTCTACAATGGAGTCCTGTTCCACAGTTGACAGCTCTTGCCACCAGAAAGTTCTTCCCATTGTTGAGTCGGATTCTCCTTTCTTGTAAACTGAAGCCATTGGTTCGAGTCCTACCCTCCAGAGGAAGAGAAAACAAGCTAGAATGATGTTGGAATGAAGTTAGGTGGTTTAAGCAGTAATGCTATAAAGGTGTATGTAAAAAAGGATTGTTAATAGATGAAAATTTAAAGTTATAGTATGTTAAGTTAAAGGATCATGAGAAAACAAAGAGGGAAAGAAATTGCTGACTTAATTAATTGAACTGGAATACAAAAAAGGGAGGTATGAGGAGTTCAGGGAAACAAGGATATGAATGTAAGCTATGGAAAGACTGACCCATTTTTCTTTTTTCTCTTTTTAAGTGTCTTTTATTCTTTTATTCTGTATTTTGTATTTTTTTTGGTATTTTTACTTTTTGTTTTTCTGTAATTCTTTTTTTCTTTGAAATTTTAATAAATATCATTTAAAAAAAAGAGAGAAAACAAGCTTACTTCTGGACACGCAAAAAGATATATATAACGAGCTGCAAAAAATGTTTTTAGAAATTATTTCTTAAAAGTTAAAAGAAAAGCTTTCTTTTAGGCATAATAGATGTAAGTGTATTAAAGGATCAGAAATATCTCTTATGTATGCAACTACAGCAGCCCAAATGGTATACATGCTCAGAATTGGAAAGGGGGCACAATACCAACAAAGGAAGAATGGAAAAATATTTAAAAGATGGAAAAATATGTCAAGAAGATTGAAAATGCTTTGTAGTTTATCTGCAAAATTACTGTAAGCATATTAAAAAGTTAACAGTAATAGAGTAAATTCAGCAGTAACAGTTATTAGGCTATAAAATAGAAAGTGGAAATATTGGGAACAATTAGAATATGTAGTGGAAATGAAAATAAGGGGTGGAGGGAAGTCAAAACTAAATGTGTGTTTTGTATTTGGTTTATTGTTTTAATTGTTTTAATTATGAAAATGAAATTTAGAAAAAAAGAAAACAAGCTTGCTCCCTCTTCCCTGTGACAGCCCTTGAGATATTTGAAGATGGCTATCACATCTCCTCTCAGTCTCATCTCTTCCAGGCTAAACATCCCCAGCTCCTTCAACCATTCTTCATATGGCTTCATAAGACCGTTGATCATCTTGGTCGCCCTCCTCTGCACACGTTCCAGCTTATCAACATCCTTCTTAAACTGTGGTGCCCAGAATTGGACACCGTATTCCAGGTGTGGTCTGACCAAGACAGAAGAGAGAGGGACTCTGACTTCCCTTGATCTGGACACTTGACTTCTGTTATAGAATCATAGAATCATAGAGTTGGAAGAGACCCCAAGGGCCATCGAGTCCAACCCCCTGCCAAGCAGGAAACACCATCAGAGCACTCCTGACATATGGTTGTCAAGCCTCTGCTTAAAGACCTCCAAAGAAGGAGACTCCACCACACTCCTTGGCAGCAAATTCCACTGTCGAACAGCTCTTACTGTCAGGAAGTTCTTCCTAATGTTTAGGTGGAATCTTCTTTCTTGTAGTTTGGATCCATTGCTGCGTGTCCGCTTCTCTGGAGCAGCAGAAAACAACCTTTCTCCCTCCTCTATGTGACATCCTTTTCTATATTTGAACATGGCTATCATATCACCCCTTAACCTCCTCTTCTCCAGGCTAAACATGCCCAGCTCTCTTAGCCGTTCCTCATAAGGCATCGTTTCCAGGCTTTGACCATTTTGGTTGCCCTCCTCTGGACACGTTCCAGTTTGTCAATGTCCTTCTTGAACTGTGGTGCCCAGAACTGGACACAGTACTCCAGGTGAGGTCTGACCAGAGCAGAATACAGTGGCACTATTACTTCCCTTGATCTAGATGTTATACTCCTATTGATGCAGCCCAGAATTGCATTGGCTTTTTTAGCTGCCACGTCACACTGTTGGCTCATGTCAAGTTTGTGGTCAACCAAGACTCCTAGATCCTTTTCACATGTACTGCTCTCAAGCCAGGTGTCCCCATCTTGTATTTGTGCCTCTCAATTTTTTTGCCCAAGTGCAATACTTTACATTTCTCCCTGTTAAAGTTCATCTTGTTTGTTTTGGCCCAGTTCTCTAATCTGTCAAGGTCGTTTTGAAGTGTGATCCTGTCCTCTGGGGTGTTAGCCACCCCTCCCAGTTTGGTGTCATCTGCAAATTTGATCAGGATGCCCTTGAGTCCATCATCCAAGTCGTTGATAAAGATGTTGAATAAGACCGGGCCCAAGACAGAACCCTGTGGCACCCCACTAGTCACTCTTCTCCAGGATGAAGAGGAACCATTGATGAGCACCCTTTGGGTTCGGTCAGTCAGCCAGTTACAAATCCACTGAGTGGTAGCATAGTCAAGACCACATTTTACCAGCTTCTTTACAAGAATATCATGAGGCACCTTGTCAAATGCCTTGCTGAAATCAAGGTAGGCTACATCCACTGCGTTCCCTTCATCTACCAGGCTTGTAATTCTGTCAAAAACGAGATCAGGTTAGTCTGACATGACTTATTTTTCAGAAATCCATGCTGACTATTGGTGATCACAGCATTCCTTTCTAGGTGCTCACAGACTGTTTGCTTAATGATCTGCTCCAGAATCTTCCCTGGTATTGATGTCAGACTGACTGGGCGGTAATTATTTGGGTCCTCTCTTTTCCCCTTTTTGAAAATAGGTACAACATTTGCCCTCCTCCAGTCTGCCGGGACTTCGCCTGTTCTCCAGGAATTCTCAAAGATGACTGCCAGTGGTTCTGAGATCACATCTGCCAGTTCTTTTAATACTCTTGGATGCAGTTCGTCTGGCCCTGGAGACTTGAATACATCTAAACTAGCCAAGTATTCTTGTACTATCTCCTTAGTTATTCTGGGCTGTGTTTCCTCTGCAGAATCATTTGCTCCAAATTCTTCAGGTCGGGCATTGTTTTCTTTATCGGAGAAGACTGAGGCAAAGAAGGTATTGAGTGTTACGATATAGAAGCAATGCAGCCGCGAGCTGCTAGCTTGAAAACAGCACATGATGGAATGTTAGGACTGTTCTGTGGGAAGCAGAGGGACAGTCAACTCACAGGGCAATGCACCGGAATTAGCTCAGAGTATAATATGAGCTCTTCCTTTTGCTTTTGTACAGGAAATACAGGAAGTGTTTCTCTCTCGACTGCTGGAGCTTGAAGAGAGCAGTCATGCTTTTGTAATGCTGCAAAGACAGAAATAAAGGAATGTAAATACGCTTCTGTCTATCTCTTTCCCCTGCCCGGGGGGGGGGGAGGAAAGAGGGGGGGTGTTCTTCTCATGCTGAGAAGGATCGCCTATCGTGACCTCTGCCTGGATCCTGCCGGGAAAGCAGACAGGGAGGTCAACAGGAGATCAAGCCGGGTGCCTGGAGAGTGGCCAGTTTCTCCTGATAAAGGCTTGTTTTCCAACATTGAGGAGTTCAGCCCTTTCTGTGTCCCCTGTTTGCATTTCACCATCTTCTCCTCTTGATGCAGCTCTGTGAAGCTTGTGGTCCACCAAGAGCCTAGATCCTTTTCACATGCACTACTGGTAAGCCCCACTTCTTTTGAACCCCTGCCCTGCTTCCCTGATGTCTTCCATGACTCTTGTCCTGCTGATATTAGAACTCTGACATTAGAAGGACGGCAAAAGCGGGTGGGCCAGGGAAAGGACCCCACACCTTTCCTCCAGCCTCGGAGTTGAAGTCCTTTCCCTTCCTTCCCAATGGGAGGAAAATGATTTAAGGAATAAAAACAGGGAAAGTGTGGAGGAAGGCGAAAGCCCCCCCTCACCCGGGTGGAGAGAGTCTAAGCAGGTCATTGGCTGAGGCGGATGAAAGGCCTTGGGGTTCCCCCACCCACTTGAGGATTGCATCCTGAACCTCCTTCCTGCCCCAAAGCCATCCAAGACGACGTGTATCTTCACGAAAAGCAGAAAAGGGAAGGAAGAGCCAAACTTGTGCACAGCTGCAAGGCAGAGAAGGACCGGAAGGCATCTGGGCTGGAGGTGGGGATGGAGACACCTGTCCAGCTAGTTGACTCCTGCCAGGTGATGGGATCAGGTGACGATCTGAGTCTGCGAAGAATGAGGGTTGGAGGAAGAGGACTCACCTGTCCCTCTTCCCACTCCTGCGGCCTCTTACTCAAGGACACCGCAGCGGATTATATGGATGCCATTCAACTCTTGGGGCTGGTTGCTGCCGCAATATATAAATATATAAAAACAAACAAGAATGTGCTCTGCTCAAAATGCTAATGACTCTGACTTAATTGGCAGGTGACACATTGCCTTGACTGTGTCAGGTGCCTGTCCGGACCTTGCAAGAGGAAAGACCTGGCCAGGGCTGGCCGGCAGCCCCCCTCCCAGTCCTCCTGGGAAGGGGTATGAGGCCGCAGCAAGGGAGGGGCCTCCAGCTTGCCATGGGGGGGTGCCGGGGTGCCAACTTGAATAAAATATTGGGGTGGCCCAGGTAAGTCCCACCCCACATAACCAGTCACAAGATGTGGCACGCACACAGCATATGAAGGACAATGCCCACCAACTTTGGGGCCCCAGCCCCTCAGATATTTTTTGGGGGGCTGAAGGGACCTTGGCCCCTAGGAGTGGGCTCCTATGGCTGGGTGGGATCTGCCTGGCCACTGTGAGAAAAGGATGCCCACTTGGGTCAGATCCCACAGCAGGAGCCCCCAGGCTCTTCTTGTGCTCTGGCTGAATTGTGCAAGGGGTGAAAATCCAGGTCAATGGAAGCAAGGAGATCCCTCTTGCTTTGGGCTTGTGCTGCTCTCAGAAAGGCAACAGGAGTCACACCCACAACAGACGTTTAATGCACATTGACAGCACTTCCCCAAAGATCCTGGAACCATCCTTTACCCCCCACAGAGGGCTGCAATGCCCAGTACCCTTAACAAACTACAGATCCCAGGATTCTTGGGGGGAGGTCATGTGCTTTAACTGTGTGGCGTGGATGTGATCTGGATTGTGTGTGTGTGTGTGAGAGAGAGAGAGAGAGAGAGAGGGAGGGAGAGAGAGAGAGAGAGAGAGAGAGACAGAGAGAGACAGAGAGAGATCAGGGTGGATGGACTCCAAAGCCACAGGGAACCCTCTGTGCCTGCGATGCAGACTCTGCCCTTCAGAGGCTCAGGTTGCTGTTCTGGGGCAAGGCTGCCTTGGGGAGGTATTAATCCGCCTCCGGTTGGGAAGGGCTCCTTCACTCAACACATAGTTAGACTATGGAACTCACTCCCACATGAGGCAGTGGTGGCCACCCAACTTGGACCGGAGGAGACAGCTCTCCATGGCTGCTGGCCAGCCTTGCTCTGCTCTGCCTCCACCGTCAGAGACAGCAGTGCTTCTGAATCCCAGCTGCTGGAAGCTGCAGGATGGAAGAGGACTCTTGCGCTTGCAGGTTTCCCTTTGGGGCATCTGTTCATCCACTGTGCGAACAAGATGCCGGACTAGATGGGCCATTGGCCTGATCCAGGAAACTCTTTTTAGGGCATTGGTGTTGCCAGGGGGTGCAATAACGTAAATAAATAAAAAAACTAACTGACCAATAGCATTGCCAATAACTCGGTTCTTCCCCGCTAACAAAGCCTGCCTCCCCAAAATAAATTCTGGCTACGCCCATGTCTTAGGGCAACTTGCTTCCTGTCTGGCTGGAGCAGGTAGAGCTCAGGGGCTGTTCCCAAGCCAGGGCAAGCGGAGAGTGAAACGGGCTGGCTCGTGGGCCATGCTCCAGTCGGCCCCCTGGCGCTCTGGCCTCAATTTTTTGGTTTTTAAACAAGTACAAAAACCATTAAACTCTTATCCAGCAATACACTTCTCCATTCTCCTTAGACCTACACTTACACATTCAACAGTCAAAACATATGACTTAACGTAACCTCTCCACTGAGAATACTGAGCAGTTGGTACTGTAGAAGGAGGTCTTGATTTTGATAAATACCAGGGTCCAAGAAAGGGGTCCATGTTTCTTGGAAGGTGTCTCTATTTGTTATGCCTTTAATTGCCCTCCTGTCTCTGATGAGATGCTCAGACATTGCTGTATCCCAGATGTATTTTATTTCCCCGTATGTTCAGGGGTATTTCAGCCTGGTTCTTCCATTGCTGAGCTATTGCTAATCAAGCTGCAGCCAGTAAGAAGCCTATTAGTTCACTGTGACACAGAGTGGAGCCTAAGTCCATGTCCAAGGTTAGGAGGGCTAAGGCAGGATCTGGAGAAAGGGGTTGGTCTGTAATTGTGGGTATAATGGAGAATACTCTATTCCAAAAGCTTTAAACGTCAGGGCATTCCCACCAAACATGAATAAATGAACCAAGCTTTCCACAGCCCTTCTAACATAGAGGAGAAAGGGTGTGTGTGTGTGTGTGTGTGTGTGTGAATTTTTGCCAGCCTGACTGGCATCCAGTGCCATTGGCCTTGAATGAGGCCTCCTGTGAGTGAGCAGAGATGGTCTTGAATGGGGAGTGCTCCAGATACCCTCCCATTTGTGATCTTCAGTTGGGTGGCCCAAATCTGATTCCCATACAATTCAAAGCCCTCTAGCGTCCCCCCGCTTCCTGATCTAATAGATTGCTGTATATTTGGGAAGCGTCACGCTTCAGGGCATAGGCTGGCCTTCTGCATAAGGATTCAAAGAAGGGAAGTGTGCAAAAGAATGAGCCTGAGCTACCTGAAACAGGTCGCGTGAGTGCCTTTTAATTTACCTTGCAGTTCCTCTTGCGAAATTGCTTTCCCTCTGGGAAGCAGGTCACAGATTGTGCAAATGCCGAGGAAGCTGGCTGATCCAGGAACGGGACCAGCAGAGAAGTGTTTTGCTCCCTGTTCTCCACACCATCAGAACTGATCTAGTAAATGCATTGCCTGTCTTCCTTACCTCCTTCAAGGACCAAGGTAAGAAATGGTGGCTTCTCATTAAAGGTGTGGGAGGGATGATCTTGAGTTGGACCCCAGGGTTCTTCCCTTGGGCAATGGGATCAAGGGTTTGATTTGAAAAGCAGCATAGAATAACATTAAGTTAAGACACATTCCCATCCCTCCTTTTGTTCTATGTCGGTAGAGAGTTTTGTTGCTTATCCTAGTTTTTTTGCTTCCTGACACAAATGCATTGAATCTTTAGCTGAAAAGGGGGGATGAGAATAGGCAAACTTTTTAAAAATACAAGGACTTAGGTTGGGGTCCATTTTCTGAAGCAACGACTTCCTGGTACTGAGAAGACCGCTGGTGGTGGTGGGGAGGAGCGGCAAGGGCACTGATGCCAAAGAGCCTGCCCTCTGGCTTGGCACCAGTTGCCGCCCTCCTTCCAGCAACAAAGGGATGAGTGAAAGGGGAGGAAGGTGTGGCTTGCCAGGGCAGGATCCCAGCCCCAGAGAGGCTCATAAAAGGAGCTGCCCTTGCAGGGATCCTTTCCAGAGAGGCTGGAGAGCATCTGCTGCTGGGCTGCAGGAGGAGAGCTTTCAGCAGGCAGGAGACACCACCTGAGCTCAGGTATGCCAAGGCCACGTCTCTTTGGGGTCTTCTTCAAAGGCTTGTGGAAGGCAGGCTCTCCATTCTGAGGGGGCTTCCTTCCCACAGGCAAGGGGCAGGAGCCTGGAGGGGCTTGGAGTTGGGCTGCTTTTTCATGCAAGCGTGGGCTGAAAGGGCTCAAAATCAAGCGTTGACCCTCCAGAATTACCAACAGGGATAAATGCTTGACCAGCAGCTGACCAGGCACCCCATCAATGGCCAAAGTTTGCTTGTTTATTACTATAATCTTTATAATTTTTGTAAAATTATGGACAGAAGTTCAACATCGCTCCCCTGAGGATTTGGTTACAATAAGAGGCTAAGCCTAAGTGATACTGAACAGTTTTTCGACAAGAAAGAAAGAGAAAAGAAAGACCCCAAAGTACAAATGTAAGGAGATGTTATGGAGTGGTTACAATACCATCAGTTACATGAAATGTTTACATTAGATAGAAAAAATGGTTTTTCCGACCAAAGCTCACAATTCGAAAAAGAACTTCTACAAAACAAAGAGAAACTTTAGTCCAAAATGTATACAGTGGTACTTCAGGTTACATACGCTTCAGGTTACAGACTCCACTAACCCAGAAATAGTGCTTCAGGTTAAGAACTTTGCTTCAGGATGAGAACAGAAATCGCGTGGTGGCAGCAGGAGGCCCCATTAGCTAAAGTGGTGCTTCAGCTTAAGAACAGTTTCAGGTTAAGTACGGACCTCCGGAACGAATTAAGTACTTAACCTGAGGTACCACTGTAATTTGTTATTAGCCAGGGAACAAAAGACGAGTTTGTTAAAGCGTCAGTGACACACTGGGCAATAGATATAAGACACAATACAGATTTTAACCTCTGGGAAAAACTCTGGAAAAGTGACTTGAAGTTTGCAGCATGTTATTCTTTGAAGGAGAACTACCTGAAAATGACTCACAGATGGTATTTATCTCCAAGTAGGCTTGCTAAGATCTACAAGACAGAAACAGATTAGTGCTGGAAGGGTAAAGAGAGGTGAAGGGAATGTTTTTTCATATGTGGAGGACTTGTAAAAGGGTAAAAGAGTATTGGGAAATGATCCATAATGGATTGAAAAAAATGTTTAAAAGTACTTTTCCCCCAAAACCAGAGTCCTTTCTGTTGGGGATAATTCATACTGAAATTCCTAAGTGTCAAAAAAAGGTTATTTAGGGATGCTACTACTGTGGCCTGTGTTTTGTTAGCCCCCAAATGGAAAACGAGCAAGGTCCCAGCCAAAGAAGAAAGGCAACTTAAGTGGACAGAATATGCACAATTCCCAGGCTTAACATACAGAATAAGAGAACAGAACATACATTTGCAGAAGACTGGAAAACGTTTATTGAATATATGGGAAATAATTGTATACAGCTGAAAATGCTGGCAGCAGTGTAAACAAGTTTTGATGGATGCAATAATGGAATACTGAATGGCATAGTTTTTGTAAAATATGCAGGGATTTATGATATGTAAAATGAACCATGGAAAGAGAAGAAGGGAAGTCATTGATATCTTAAGGATATTTTAAATTGCAAAACAGAAGATTTAATAGAAAATTGTATATCTATATAAATGACAAGTACATCTCTAATAGTCTGAAGACATAATAAAATTATCACAACTTTACTTCTTTCATAAAATTTATACACTGCTTGACTATAAAAAGACAAACCTCTAAGTGGATTACAAAAAGGACAAAACAATAACAGTAGCAATAAGAAAAAATAATAACAATAATTTCAGACTCCCGCCAAGTTAAAATAGAATAGGCAAAAACAGATTCCATCTTGCCTCAACATTCTAAGTTTGCCCCCCCGCCCCCGCCCAGTTTTGCCAACGCAGCTTCTGGCTGAAGGGACTTGCAAGAGAGCCACTGTCTTCAGGGGAACCATCTCAGAACCCCCTTCCAGCTGCCATCCAGCAGAGACTCCCCAGAGGCAGAAGAGGCAGCTGGGCATGGCCTGCCCGGGTCAGGGGGTGCCCACCCATGGCTCTGCCCCGGAACTGGCGTGGTCTTGAGTTGGGCTGGCTGCTCCTGAGGAGGTAATGAGAGAGCCCAGAGTGGCTGCAGACCCATTTCCTCTGCCTGGAAGCCACAAGAGGCTGCAAGTCTGTCCAACAAGGAGCACTTTTGGAAGGGATCCCCAAAGGCCATCTAGTCCAACGCCTGCAGTGCAGGAATCACAACACTTTTCTCCTCGCTCTCTCCCCTCCCTTAATGTGGATGGGTGGGAGATAAACTTTCTTAAATGAAATAAAAAGTACGTCTTTGGTCTAAGATACTTTTCCAAAAAGCGATTCTACCTGTCCTATTGGTGATGTTATTTCTGAGTGTGAGGGTTGCCTTTCCTTGCATGGGGCTGTTGGTCTCCCTCCACCCAGCGATATTTGCAGCTGCCCTGGGGGGTCTCGCTGAGTTGTGAGCCAATCCATTGCCTTCTGGGCTTCTTGGGCTCCCCCCCCCCACCTGCCTTCTCTCCTCGACAGGCACCTAGGGATGAAGTTTCACCCAAGGCCCCTTTGGCCATTTCTGAGCCTTGCTCAATGATTGCCAGACCCATAAAACTGGAGAGTTGGAAGGGACCCCAAGGGCCATCTAACCCCTCCCTGACCCTTCTGCTGTTTTTCCCCTGCCAGGAAGGGAGCCTATTTCTGCTCCCGCCCATCGCCATGGCAGTCCACTGGGTGCTGCTCCCCTTCATCCTGGGACTCCTCAGCGGGACCCAGGGGCAAACTTTCCACATGGGGAGCTGCCCAGACCCTCCAGTCCAGGAGGGCTTTGACGTCAACAAGGTAGGAGCAAACCCGCCCCGACTCTGCCTTATTGCAGCCAAACTCAGTAGTCAGCTGGACCACCAGGTGGCGGGGGCAGCGGGAGGAGGGGGTTGAAGGTGGGGAGGGCATTGCCAAGGCTGGGCAGGGAAAGGCAGGACAGAATGGGATTTCTTCAAGGCTACTCTGCGAGGAAGCCTGTTCCAGAGCGGTGCTTCAATCGCGGCCCCACAGAAGATGGGCAGAATATGGATTGACTCTCTTGTGTTTTCCCTCCCCTCTCTCAGTATCAGGGGATATGGTACGAGATTGAGAAGCTGCCATCCAATTTTGAGAAAGGGAAATGTATCCAGGCACACTATGAGCTCAAGGAAAACGGGAAAGTGAGAGTGGTGAACAAAGAACTCCTGTAAGTATCTTTCTCCTCCTGCTTGGCAGGAGTTGGGGGTGAACCGTGGGTTCTTCATGGTTTGGGGAGGGGGTGTGGTGCTCCTGCTGGGCTCCTGGGGGGCCCTCCTGCCCCAACACCTCCCTCTGGCTGCCCCGGCTGAGGGGTTTGCAGGCTTGCCTTTATCTAGGTGTTTCGGTGCCCCCTTCCAGGGCCAAAGACCCACCTGCAAAAACAGCTCACAGGCCATCCAACAGTGGCAATTTAAAATTATACATTTAGTTAAAACGAGAACAGGAATAGCTGCCTCTCAAAGGCCTATTTTAAAAACACAGAGAGGGAACCAGGCGCACAAAACGCAGGAGGGAATTGCACAGGGAAGGAGCCACCACCGAAAAGGCCCCGCCTGCCTCCCACCAAGCAGGCAGATCTGAAGGGGAGGCCTGTGAATGCCACCGGGGCACAAGGGGACTGCGGTCCACTTTCTCCAGACACAGTTGCAGATGTGTCCATGCTGTTTCTTGTTTTGTAAACTGTTTCTTGTCCTCCTTGGGCTGCTCTTTCACCTGCTGCACGTCTTGCTCTCCCTCCAGCTCTGACGGCTCCATCAACCAGATTGAGGGGGAAGCCTTCCAAAGAGACCACCATGAACCGGCGAAGCTGCAGGTCAAGTTTAGCTCGTGTAAGTAAGTGGGAGGCTCCTCCTCTTCCTCTTGGTCCACCCTGGTCATGGAGGATGGAGCTTGCAAGGCCAACCGTGGAGGCAGAATGGAATCTGCCCCATTTCGGGCGTTTCTGCTGGCTACATTGTGGTTAGTAGTCATTGGCAACCCTCTCACTGCCCACTCCTCTTGGTGGACCATCCAAGTTGGTGGCCATCCCTGCCTCCTGCAGCAGCGAGTTCCATAGTTTAACCATGCACTTTGTGAAGAAATAGCTTCTTTTACCTGTTCTGGATTTTCCAACACACAGCTTCATTGGAGCACCTCTCTGCATTGACTTTCTCCGCAATATTCCAAATTTGCCCCAATGTTGTAACCATTCCTCACCAGGGGAGCTGTTTCAGCCCCTTGACAATTGGAGTGGCCCCTTCAGCTCTGCAGTGCCCTTTGTGTTGCAGCGCTCAGTGTCTTCCAGCTGTGAGCATGCCTTAGATTTGGACAAGGGTCTCACACTATTGGCCATTTTCAATCCCTTTATCAATGATCTGCTTCTTTGGCGCAATGTGGCTTCTTTCTACCTGGCAAGGAAGCAGATGGAGGCCTCATTCATTAGAAACACACAGAGAGCCATTTCCTTGATTGCCGGCTGTGAGTTTGGCCACTTCATTCCCCGCTGCAAGGATACATCTATTATAAAGGCTGTGTTTTGCATTGTGATAGAATTCGGTGAAGTCTCTTCACTGCCCAGCTTCCCTTTGGGACGGCTGGGCTCCGAGTCACGAGTGAACAGGCTCCTTATTCCTTTTGCGCCGTGGGCTTCGTTGTTGCCCCGGACAAAAGGGAGGCCTTGTTGGGAAATGAAGGGATGCTGCCAGGCCTCTCCTGTCCCTCCGTTTTCCTGCCGGCCAAGCCAGCCCCTGCTCTTCCAGCGGCTCTTTTGCTGATGGCAATTCCTGCTCCTTTCCCCTCCAGTCATGCCGGCAGCACCCTACTGGGTCCTCTCCACAGACTACGAGAACTACACGCTGATCTACTCCTGCACGAATTTCCTCTGGCTCTTCCATGTGGATTACGCCTGGATCATGTCCAGAACCCGCCAGCTGCCCCCGGAGACTGTGGAGCACCTCAAGAGCACCCTGCAGTCCTACAAGATTGAAACGGCTCGCATGATGCCCACCGACCAGGAGAACTGCCCATCAGACATGTAGCCTGAGAGGCCCCAACCAGCCCTGGACTCTGCCTGCTCCTCCTTGCTAGCTGCTGCTTTGTCTCGACCAGCACAGCCTTGGGGCTCGTGTAGTTTGCCAGCCCCCAGGCCACCGGGACGAGTGGGAAGGCCCTGCGCCCGCTGCCTTGTGGCACCCACCTGTCCTGGGGAGGACCTTGCTGTAGTGTCCTGCTGCCCCCTTCCGCACTGCTGTTTCCGGGTTAAAATCTGTTTCAAGAGTAAAGCGAAGATCTCTGAGGAGGCTGCCACCTGACTGAGGCTGCCAGTTGCTTCCTGGAGGGTTGGGAACCTGGGACCGCATTCCAAATTCTCTTGTGAGGAAACTTCAGTTTTTCTGCTTAGAATAAACTTGCCTAATCAAGCAACTTGCATCTATACAGCTCCTGATTTTCCTTCATTTATTGTGTCTTGCTATGGTGCTGAAATTGCGGGGGGGGGGGGGCTTGGAGTGAGAACCCCTCACTCCTTTGGAACTTGCACCTCCGAATTTCCAGAACCCCAAAGGGTGTGTTTGTTTCCCACCTCCTTGCAGCCTCTTTGCCTGGGGCTGTCAGAGGCTGAGCCAAAGGTGGGTGGTTGAGATGGGTGCTGAGGGTTGTTGTCACTCCTGCTGAAAAGCCATGTCTAGACCTCCTCACTGCCGTTCAGAGGCAAACCATCTGGGCCTCTGCTGAGATGTGCATTATCTGGCAGCCTGCCTGGTCAAGTGACAGGCTGGGGGCCCCAGAGGAGTAAATGCCGCAGAGACGGGGGCCATTTTCAGCCAGCTCCCCAAGTGGCCCTTCCACCTGCCGCCCCAGCTTTGCAAACATAGTCCCTGGTGCTGTGTTTTCTTGGCCAGGGGCTCTCTGGAGCTCCAGTGATAAACACAAGGCATAGAAAATATGTAAAAACACCTCAACAATTGAAGCCTTACCTATTTGCAATTTATTTGCAGTTTAGGAGGGACCAGTTATGGTTGAGGTAGTTACAGGTGAGAAATAATGGCTGCCCTGAGGCCACCCAGTGAGGATCAGGCCCGAGTGGAGATGCGCCCCCCCACCCCCGTCATAAGCCTCAGTCACATGTCAGAGTACACGGTTAACGGCTGAATGTGAAGCCAGTGCAAGGAGCAAACCACAACCCTCTGCTTAGCGTGGGGCCACCTTCTGGAGTGAAGTGGTTTGCTTCACTCCAGACAAACCACCATCTGAAACCTGAATCCCTGGGCCTGGCTTGTTTGAGAGCAGCCAGCTAGGGACCCCTCTACCTCCCTTATTAATTGTGCATTCCTTGCGATTGGTGCTCATCATGGTTTCAGGGAAGTAATACATGATCCTGCTCTCAATGCTCTTTACGCCTGCAAGAGTTTCTGGGCAGAGACGCTCCTTCGTTTCCTCCCAGCGCCCGCCCCGGAGTGTCCTGCTCAATTCCTGTAACTTTTCATACTACAACTAAACAGTTTGCTGTGCCACACAAACCTGCCTGGAGTTCCAGCACTCATGAGTGCCACACCAGCTGCTGGTGCAGAAGCTGAGCTGAGCTTGAGGAAGAAGAGCTCATGGAACATTCACTGCTCCAAGAGTTTGCAAGTGGGACACTGGCCGCTTCCTCACCTGCCCAGTTTCTCTAGGCAGCTGCTGGGTCTTTGAGCAAGCAAGCTGATCCGCCGAGTGGGCCTGGAGCGCCACCCAGTGGCTTGCCAGGAGCCAAGCACCTGGTGCTCCAGAGCCCTTCAAGAGAGTCGGAGCAGGGTCCGCAGGGCTGTGTGGAATCAGGACTCCTGCCTCTGGCCTCCTCTGGGTTGCTTATTCTCTAAATAATAGCCGGCTGAGCTCTGCCACCACTCAGGGCCAAAGCCCTTCCAAGCTGGCTCACACAGAAAGTCAAAATGCAAAACACTAGTAAAATTAACTTATTAAGACTATAAAAATAAAGCAGGAAGCTGTAAACATTCTGGCACATCTCCCCATGAGCTTTTTCTCATCTGCATATACCGGTATTTGCCTTAGCTAACTTATGCCACAAGCAGCAAATGAGGGCCCAAAACTAAGGAGAACAGCAATATTTTAGAAACCCGATGATTCAATTTCCATATGGCCAAAACAGTATTTCTAAAGCAGGGAGCAAATGGCTTTTAGGTGAAGCACATGTGTGGCATAGCAGGAATAGTCAGAGGAGAGAGGGGGAGGGATTCCTTCCCGTATGTGAGAGGAGAAATCCTTCCTAAATGAAATGCAGTTGCCACCTGCCATTTTTGTAAGCACCTGCATACGCAGAGAGAGAGAGAGCTGCAGATCTGCTACTGCTACCTGGGGTACTTTTGCAGCTGATGGGAAATGGCCGGATGGATTGAACAGACAGAACACAACTTTCAGTCCCTGGAAATTCAAATGCAGCCCCAAAGGCACAAATTCCTGGTTTGCCCAGGAGAAAACGGGCCGCGCAGCAACCCTGCGGCTGGCCAAACCTGTCTCTTCTTGCTGGAGGACTGAGAAGTCCCTGCAAAAAGCTGCTCTCCCTCTACCAACCTAGATGGCCCCCTCTGGAACCTGACGCTGTGGCTTCTGGGTCCTACTCAGATCCAGCCCTGAACTCCCCCCAAACTCCCAGCTGCTCAAAGACAACCTTGGCTCAGATCTGGCCACCAGTTATGAAAGAATCCCGTTTTCCACAGACCATCAACAGCCATCTTGGTCCCTCTAAATATTTTGACCTTTCCGCAGCTGGTATTCAGATGGAGAACTAGTGACATGCGCTTAGCCCAGCATCATGCCGGGACAAATGCCATGGCTTCCTCTGGGAGTCAGCGAGACTCACCCTAACCCTGCCTTTATCCCCCTTGGGTCTTCCTCGGTTAGGGGTGGGGGCGGCAGTCTGGTGCCACCCCTGGGCATTCTGTTAGCCCTCCTGGCTGTGAGTCTGCCAAGTGCCATCCCACCGCACTGTACCTTTCGCAATCCAACAGGAACACCTCGCCCTCACTCAACCGCAACACCTGCCTTGGGGAACCTGCTCCCACACAGCCTGACTCTCTCCCAGGTGACCGAAGTGAAGCCACTGCCTGCTTGCCCACTCACCCTGATGCTGTGTGACGGATGCGCACAGGGCTGGCCCATCCATGAGGTAGACGGAGGCAGCCGCCTCAGGTGGCAGAATCTATGGGGTGCCTCCATGGATGCCCTCTACCACCACCCTGGTGACTGGAGGGGTGGCTGGTTGGCGTGGCTTCCGGACTCGGGTGAGATCTCAGAAGAGCCCCATGAGAGGCCTCTGCACAATCTTGTGGGGCTCTCCTGAGATATCGCCAGAACACACAGCTGTGCACCCCGGCAAGAGAGGCTTTGGTGGGGCGGCAAGGGGGGAGGCGGACTGAGCATCTGCAGGACAGCAGCTTCCCATCTCGCCTCAGGTGGAGAAACAGGATGCATGTGACCTTTATTTTTTTCTATTTATTAAATTTCTATACCACTGGTTCACGGCATAAAAATACAAGCAGGGACAGGGGAGCTGGCAACCCGGGAGCCCGGCCATGCGGCCACTGCGTGAAACTCATCCGAACCGCTCAAGGGGAAGAGGCCTGTCTGGGCAATTTTGTGCTCGGGCCGAGAGAGACTGGCAGTCCCCCCGAGCTCCCAAATGATCTGATGAGCCAGCAGCGGCCCAGGCTCAACCCGGCCATTATCTCAATCACTCCAGCAAGCCGGTCGATGGGTTTGGGCAGGGCTGACAGCTGGCAAGATGATGCGGTTGTCACTCCTTGCAAGGGAACAGGCAGAGACACGGCGTCCTGATTAGCAGCCAAGCAGGGCGGGATGTTCTCCTGCCTGGAGCTGCTCTGCCCCTTTGATGCTGCGTCCCTTGAAGGGAGGCTCTGGCAGCGATCGGAGATGGCCGACTTGTTAAAGCTGTTCTGACAGCAGAGCGGCAAACCCTAATCCTCTCGCACGCCCAGCGCCTGACAGCCAGCAGTAAAGCCCTCTGACGGGGGTCATGGAGGCCTGGAGCTGGGATGGGCTCTGCACCCATCCAGACAGGCTCTTCCTGGGGCAGAGCTGGCAAGGCCACCCAGGAGCTCAAGGCAGGAGAGAAGGGCCACCTGCCCGGCCTTTTCTTCACGGCCAGCCTGGCACGCGGGCGGAGGAAGGTGTCCCTCACCAGCCACACCAGTCCAGGTGGTGCTGTGGGGGGAGAGGGGGTCTGAATGCCCACTTCGCCCCGGGCTGTCCAGGCTGTCCGACCTCACGGGGTTGTTGTGAGGATGGCATTCAGGATTAGCCTTCTGAGTGGAGCTGCAGGGGGCTGGACTGGATGCCCTCGGGGGTCCCTTCCCGCCCTTCTATGAATGGGAACCCCGCCCTCCGCTGAGGGGCCTCCGGGCGAGGGGAGCCTGGTGCGCCTCCCTCGAGGCCTCGCTGCCTCCTTCCGGGCGAGGCCGGGCCAGACCCCGGGGTCCCGCGGAAAGGACTCTTCGCCTCCCGGCCTGGGCCCCGCCGGGCGCGCCTGCACTACAACTCCCGTCATCCTGCCGGGCCGGCGCGGGGGCCGACGGGAGCTGCCATTCTGCCAATTCGCGTCCAATGGCAGCGGCTGTTGCCGTTTGGGTTGCGCAGGCGCAGTTGGCGTGGAGCGGCGCGTTCTACATCCGGGCTTCCGCGTCCCGCCGCCCGGCCTCTGAGGCGGCCCCGCCCCCCGCGCCCCGCTTATGACGCCGCGTCGCCGGCCTGTCGCGCGTGCGCAGAGCGAGGCGGCGCCGTGACTCCCCGCGGCCTCCCGTCCCGCCTCCGCCGCCTGAGGAGAAGCAGCCGCAGCCGCAGCCGGAGAGCCGAGGGAGCGCGGCGTTGGCGGCAGCGAGGCCACGGGCGGGCGAGCGAGTGGTCGGGCGGGGAGCGCCTGCCCCCTCCCGGCGCCATGGAGGCCAAGTCCTCGTCCAGCAGCGGCCGCCCCCGTGAAGGGCATCCTCAAGAACCCCTCCGGAGGCAGCGGCGGCGGCGGCGCGGGCCTGGTGGCGGCGGCCCTGGCAGAGGCGTCCACCGCCAAGGCCAAGCCGCCCGCCGCCCAGCCCGCCGCCCAGGCCCCGCTCGAAGGCGCCTACGACGCCGACGCCCAAGGGTGCGAGCCGGGCCGGGCCGGGCCGGGGGGGGGGCGGGCGCGGGAGGCGGGGCGCGGCCGAGGGAAGGCTTCCCTTCGGGGCCCCCGAGGCCACTCCCCGTGGGCGGGGCGGGGAGCCTCCCGGTCAGATCTCCTGGGTTGCTGCCGGGGGGGGGGGTCCTGTTTTGGGGGCTGCCCTTCGTCAAGGGGGGGGGGCGTGTGCGACCTCGTTTCATGATTGGAAGAGGCAGATCAGGCGATCATCTATTCTTATTCCAGATGGGCGGGGTGTAAATAAGTTACTAGTATTCTTATCATCCACCTTTTCTCCAAAGACCTCAAGGTGGTCTTTGCCCTTTCGCCCTCTTCATCTTCTCCTTACAACAGCCCTGTCGGGTTGGGGGGTTATAGAGCCCAAGACCCACCCAGTGAGCTTTGTACCTGAGCAGGGGCTTTAAGGTGGGGTTGGATAGATCAAAAGGGTGAGTTGCCCTGCTCTCTAGGGAGAGGGAAGAGGGTTTCTGAAAGAGAGAAGTGCTAATGTTTCTCTCCGTTCTAATTCCATTTCTTTCCTTTCTCATGTTCTTTTAGTAAGAAGTCCCAGAAGTGGGATGAAATGAACATCCTAGCTACCTACCATCCAGCGGGCAAAGACTACGGCTTAATGAAGATAGATGAGCCAAGCACTCCCTACCATAGGTAAGCCAGACATGATGATTAAAAGATAGGTTGCCCTTGTGTGCTTCGCCAGATAAAGGCACTTTTGATAGGCTAAACAGCAGCCTAGAGTGAAAAGATTTCATGGTGTGGCAGGCTTTATGTGTTGCAGGGGTTGCTTTTGATTAATTAGTGCACATATGTGTGCATGATAGGCTTTTGGGAAGTGCAAGCTCCAATTATAAATTATTTGGAAATATATCTTTCAAAAAAATTATATATCAAGGGAAAAGCCCTTCTACTCTGTTTAAAGAGACCAATTACAGCATTTAATAGGTCTCTGAATATGACATAGTTGGATATCACCTTGATTTTTGTAGATACCTTTGGTATCTTCAGCACAGGAGTTGATTTACACAAAAATACTTGAAAGAAGGAGAGCTGGCATTTAAAGGAATCTCTTCTGGCACACAAGTAGCTTGGGGCTGCTTCTTCAAGTGAGGCTGTAGCAGCAAGTTCTCTTGACGTCCTCTCTGTGTCTTACCTTTGCAGCATGGCAGGAGATGACGAAGATGCAGGCAGTGATACAGAATGCAACGAAGCCGTCACTGCAGATGTGTTGGCAAAAAAGTAAGTGCTTCTGGGTGCTGGGAGGATTGTTAGGTTTTATGCTACATTTAAAATTTATATTTTTACCTGAACTTGCTTATTTCTTTGGGTGTGTTATGTTACTACTGTAACCTGTCCTGTGATCTTGGGAAATAGAGTGGGCTAAAAGTATTATGAAATAAAATAAATAACCCAATAAATCTGTGTAGGTTAGCAGCTGCAGCGCATGGCAAGGGGCCGAAGATCCTCGCTCAGCAGGAAGAGAGCAGCGACGAAGAGGATGAGTCGGAGTTATCGCCTGAAGAACGTGGTAGGTCTTGCTTTGCCAGTTAGAGCCAAATGGTGCCTTTGGAATAGCTGAAAGGTGTGAAGGGCTAGATAGTTTTTATTTTTCATATTTGCACAGATGTTTTGGTTTGGTTCTTATCCCTATCTATAGATGGAAAGCTGAGGCAGAGGATGGTAATTTGCCTGTGACCATCAGGTGGGGCTGGGAAGTGGGATTGAAGCCCAAGGAACAGACTCTTGATTTTGGACCCCAATAATATAATAGTTATAACCTGTGAAAGAAAGATACTTGGATTTGAAGGCACTCCTGGGGGTTGGATTCCGTTGAAACCAGTGTTGTTAATTGACTTAAGCCCTTTGCAATGAGGGGCTCCTCTTTGAGTATGACTTAGCTGGAATAGAGCCCTTAAGTGTCAGGTAATGGCTGGGACCTTCTAACAAGTGGAGTTGGGTTGGGTTAACAGGTAAAAGTTCATCCTTCTTAGATCTCTACCTCCCCATGGCATGATAAAGGTGCTTGGTGACAGTTATGATTTTGGATATTTTCCTTTCCTCTGAACTTTCCAGCTAAATTTCAGGCTCTTGGTGAGACACTGAGCTTTTTCCAAGTCAGCAGTTCTTTTGACTACATAACATCATAGAGGAGGGAGAGAGCTGTGGTGGTGAATAAACTGCCTTTTCCTTTAAGGCTAACTGCAGGGACCAGGGAACAAGTTGGAAAGAATGGTCGCTCTTTGACGGATCAGTTTGGGGATCATGTTCTTGCCTCTTTTTGCAATTAGACGCTGCAGTTCTCTGTGTTCATACCACGGCTTTCTGAAAACTGCCCGTGAGAATAGCTGGCATTTGTGCTGGGTATCTCTTTTTTTTGTACCCTTTTTTTCTTTTTTCTTTATGATCTCTTCTGATAATCTCCTTAAGCAGATAAACACCAATTATAATCCTGTGTGAATTTTTCCGTTCGTCCAATCCTCATATCAAGATGGTTTCCATATATCATCGCTTTCATAAATAACATCGCTCTTTCCATCATTAATCTTGCAGATCTGTCGCTCTTAAGTCCCTCTGAGGAGTCTCACCCACAATATAAAAACAGCTCTGTTCCTCCTCCCAGACTTAAGTCCTCCGACAGAACCTGCCAACATGGCGACGGTATTTTTAACTGCGTCATTCCAAAGCTCTTATACTTTCACGATCTTCTTGAAACATGCTTTGGTTAGAAAATTATCTCCACACAGACATAAATCCACAGCTTAAGTCATTAAAACGACATTTCTGACTTGTGGGGGGGGGATTCTTAGTTAATCACATAGAGGAAAGAAAGAAAATTTTTTCCCCCTCCCCCATCCAGTCCCTTTGCCATACCGAGCCTTGGTGATCTTCTCATGATTTATTCTTGTTCCTCCGACCCGTCCTGTTTATCAGAGATCTCTTCAGTTAGCAGTCTTTACTCCCCCTCCATCCTTGAAATATGTGCATTCGCTTCCTCCTAATTGTTTCTTTTGAAGTTATTGCAGCTAGAGACAGCGTCCAGGAGTGCCGAGATCCACAGGAGGGTAGTGCCTAGTGCCCCCATCCCCACAAATTTGGGGGTGGTGTAGGGCACAGCAGGCAAGGGCAGCCCCCCCAACCTTGGGGGGGGTAGGGAGGCTATTTACTCCCATCACAGCCTCCGAATTGCCTCGTGTGGGTCGGAGAGATGTTATTGTCAGCCATCTTCCGATGCGCCCCTAGTGGCCCCTCGATGTTCTGGAAGTTCTAGACTGACCAAAAACAAGTTGTGTTTGTGCTGCCTCCCTACCCACCCCTAGCCTTTGGGATGAGGTCGGCTGTAACGCCCCTTAGGAAATGCACCCTAGGGAATGTGGTAAGTAATTCCAGTTGAACACATTTATGTACATTGTCTCCTGGCCAAATGCAATGCCTCTGCAGGATTTTTTAAAAACCTTCCTGTTGAAATTTCGATTTATTTTTGTTTGGGTGGACCCCAGTTCTTGCAGTTCAGGGTCTTCATGGCAGCAGGCAGTGGCGGCAAGGTCTGCTGCAGCTTTAGCAGAGTGTGTAAGATGTGAAGTTGCAGGAGGTATCGCAATCGAAAAACAATGGCTGATGAGTTGGTCTACTGAATCTGTTTGTTCTCTGTGCAGAGAAGAAGAGGCAGTTTGAGATGAAAAGGAAGATCCACTACAATGAAGGCAAGAACATCAAGCTGGCCAGGCAGCTGATTGCGAAGGAGCTGCATGGTGACGCAGCCAATGAAGAGGATGACGATGATGAATGTGATGATGAGGATGAAGACGATGAATGTGATGAAGAGATGCGGGACACAGTAGACCTTGGTGAGCCAGTTACTCCCAAAGTGCCTACAGTTGGTGCCGGCCAGAGAGCACTTCCCCATTAGTGCCGGCTCTATGAGCCACAGAGTGGAGGGCGTTTTGCAGGGCTGAGAATAGGTTTCAGATTCTTAGGTGCCAGGATGAAATCCCCAGGCAGGCTCCTAGGCAGCTGCTCTAGGGGTTTGGCATCCTTGGCCATCTCCAGCCAAGTGTTTGCTTTGCATCGCCTGACAACTCTGGTATTGTCTTCAAAATGACATACAGTATCAGCTTGAAGTCTATATTGTGCTGTCGGTTTCATGATTTTTGACCTGGCAATATGTGTTTGGTGATACATTCATCAGGTAAACATCCTCATATACCAACAGATCACAATGTCTGAAATAAGGATGTAATTATGTAGAGGTGAACAGGGTAATGTCCTGGAAAGTGCTGCTTCTTAGGGGTCTAAAACACAACTGATAGAACAGAACAACAGGGACAGAAGAAATCGTGAGAGAAGGGATGACTGGCTTCACATTTTTTACATGTTGCAATTTTTTTCATAGTGCGCACACACATTGTGATTCGCTATATATTGCCATGCTAAATATTATGAAACTGTTGACATAATGTGGACTTCAAACTGATTTTTGATGATGTTTCACTACATTGCCTATCCCTAGTCTGTGTGTGAGTATGTTTGGCGCACTATACAAAAATCACAATGTGGGAAAAACCATGAAGCCAGCCCACACTTCCTTGGAAGTTTTCAAGCAGAAGTTGGATGGCCGTCTGTCATAGATGCCTTAGCCAAGCTTCCTGCATTGCAGGGTGTTGAATTAAATGACCCTTGCGGTTTCTCCCAATTCTGTGATTCTTGCAATTCCTGCAGCCCCTGTTAAACTCTGCCAGCTCAGCTCTCCCCTGCCAGGGGGCAGCAGATCACAAGAGCAGGTGCTGGCAAAAATCACAATGTGGGAAAACCCATGAAGCCAGCCAATGGCTCTACATAGCTCCATCCTTATTTCAGACATCAGTATATTGCAGTGTTTAACTGGTGATATATCACGATGTCAAAAACCAGATATTGCCCAGCCTTAACAGCCAGCTCTGTTTCCATTGGAGGGACTTGTTCCTATTTGCCTGCAGGGGCCCTTCTCCTTGAGGTGGAAATAGGAACTGTGGCGAGACAAAAATGGGCAGTGTGTTGCCATTCTTGTTTTTCCACTCCTTTTCTAGGTGACTGGAAGGCAAGCCCTTCTAGGATTTGTGCAGCTGGGTGGAGCCCAAGCAGCCAGCACTGCCATGTCAGCAGACAGACTCAGTGTGTGTCTGCGTGAGAGAGAGAATTGGGCAGCAGCTGAGCTGGCCTGGAGGTTTGCGTTTGCACTCCTCAGACAGCCTTCCGCATGCAGAATGGCTTGTTCAGCTGCTGCTGAGCTGGTTTGGCCTTCCCTCTTTGCATGCCTCATTTACCCATCCTCCTTTATCCTCACATGAATAAATTGAATGCTTCTCTCGGAGATTTCAGAGGCTGCTTAGTGGCACTGATTTATTTATTTTTAGTTGGCATCTGCTGTTGCTGGCCAAGTGACTTCATTCACAAAGACACTTTGGAAGTAGCAGTGTTAGTGATGCCTGAACAGTTGGGTTTTGAGATTCTCCTCCCAGATGCAACCCAGATATTCTTCTATCCCATGATACACGTATGAACTTCAGTTTCCAAGTTCTTCAGTTCTAAGTTTCTCCTTTAGCAGAAATACACTTTTGACATCTGGGCTGGAAAAGGCAGTGATAACAAAGGGAGATTTGAAAGGAATAAGCCAGGCATAGGCAAACTTGGCCCTCCAGATATTTTGGGACTACAGTTCCCATCATCCCTGACCGCTGGTCCTGTTAGCTAGGGATCATGGGAGTTGTAGTCCCAAAACATCTGGAGGGCTAAGTTTGCCTATGCCTATGCCTGGAATAAGCACACAGAACAGCACTGTGGCAGAGACAGGCGATAGAGGAGAATCTGTGAGTTCTAGGAGAGAGTAGTGAGCCCAGGTGTGCTGTGGAATGGTTGAGGGAGCCCAGGGAAGAGAAGACACAGGTGATACGATAGCTGTTTTCTACTGTGAAGACATCCAAAAGGACCTCTCCAAACAGGCAAAATGGCAAATGCTGTTTGATATGAGGTTCATTCCACGCCAAATCACCTGGTGCCATGTGCTCTCACGACTTAGATTTTCTTCATTTTTTTAATGTGTAGTTACCTATGAGATAATCTCAAATAATTTTTAAAGGTTTTTTGGTCCAAAATTGGGCGCAGATGATTTTTTTTTGAAAATTTCGATTTTTGTGCAATTTAGGCTAATGTAATTTCTGCCTCATTTTAAGAAAAGCCTCCTGTTTCGCTCATTTTTCAACCAATTGGGCTTATTTTGGTATCAAAATAAAGGTACTTGTGGTCTCTTTCAAAATAAGGTATAAAAATGGTATTAAATGCCACAGAAAAGGGTCACCGACCATTCAAAGTGAATTCTTGTCAGTTTATTTCTGGTGGATTTGATAAGCCATAGCATGCAAACCACAACTAACATGTGTTTCATACTTTTATTGTAGAATGGGCTAACCATGTACTTTTATGTTTTGAAAATGAGGGTGTTTTTTGTGGTTATAAAATAAATTGATTTTGAAGTAAATTTTTTACACTTTTTACACTTTTTTTGTACAGGTTTAAGGTCTCTTTGAGCCTGAAATAACTCACACATTTGTGAGAATAGTTAAAATTGTACCCTCTTATGTTACAATGTCATCTGATATATTTTAAAAATTAAGTTTTATTGATTACTTAATAAAAACAAAATACGTCTCAGAGCCTTGTTCATTTTTTTGTGTAAAACACTTCTGCAATGATATGGTCAAATCTATTTTGTTTCTCGTACATGTAATATGGTAATGAAGGGGTGTGTGTGTGTGTGTGTGTGTGTGCATGTATATGTAACGATAGATAGATTGGATTTTACAATTTAATATTCAACCAAATAACACAATACAACATTTGTCATATAAACAAAAAAGAAAAAAAACCCACCCCATGACTTCCCTGGTTCTTTAAATATTTATTACTTCTGCTTAATTTTTGTCTTATTTTTATGATCTTATACCTCAACGTACTTAACATTTTTATACCAAATTTTATTTCGTAATTACAATTGCACTACATTTGAAAAAACGTACTTTCTTTTTCTTTACAGTTCCAGCATTTATTGGAACTAGTTCTATACATTTTTGCAAGCTTAACTGGAGTTAAATACCATCGGTACATCATTTTCATATAATTCTCTTTCAGAGTTGTACAAGCAGTAAATTTTAAATCAACTTTCCATAATTTTTCCCAATCTTTCATTTGCATATTGTGTCCTAAATCTTGTGCCCATTTAATCATTACACATTTAACTTTTTCATCTTTGGTTTTTTATTCTAACAGTAAATTATATATTTTCTTCAGTATTTTAGTGTTATCCTCTACAATTTCTCTTTAAAATCTAGATAGAGTATAGCTAAATCATTTCTTTTTATCTTATCTAAAAACCTCGTTTACTTGAAAATATTGCAACCAATCATTAACATGATCTCGAATCTCTTCAAAATCTTTCAATTTTAATTTCCCTTCTATTTCTATTGAAAGATCTCTATATGTAAGCCATTTTTCTCTCCTTTTTAAAAAATTGATGTTGCTTCCGTTGGTGACAACTACCACAGAGTCTTTTGTTCTAATAAATCTTTATATCTTTCCCATACTTTTAAAAGTGATCTCCTGATTACGTGATTATAGAATATGCACTTTTCCTTTATAATTCCACAGGTACGCATGCATCCAAATCTGTTGTCATGTCCTTCAAGATCTAACAAATCTGTGTTTTCCAATTTAAAACCTACTGGCTGTTGCTGGGGAAGGAGGGGGAGAGGCTCAGAGTGAGCATTGTCACAATGGTGTTTAGATGGAGCTGCTTGCCGGGCTCCGTATTTGCTGAATTAAAACCACAAAATAAGAATTTCTTCCTTTTACTTTGATCCTTGAAGCTGCCGGGGGAGAAGAGAATCCCTCAAGTCTGATACTTATTGCCTAAATCCTTTGGTTTCATTCACAAGAAACTTGATGGATGTTTTTAAAGTACAAAAATAAATACATTTTTTCTTGCTGATTCAGAAAGGTCATATTGCATACAGTGGTTAAAACAGCATCATTGACCATACTACATTTATGGGAAGCAAAATAGCTTTGACCATATCATTTCAGAAGTGTTTTACACAGTAAAATGAACAAGGGCTCCGAGACGTAGTTTGTTTTTATTAGATCCTGCGGGAAAAGCAAAATCAATTGAACTCACTAATAACATCTATGGAAGTTCAAACCGCAGTTAAACAGGGAAAGATCGGGAAGGCACCTGGACCAGATGGATTTACAGTAAAGAATTATAAAATATTAGGTGAACAACTGATATCCCTGTTAAGAGAAGTTATGAACAATATATTGACAAAAGGACTGATCCCAAAGACATGGAAAGAAGCCTATATTACTTTGATTCCAAAACAAGGCACAGATTTATTGAGTGTGAAGAATTATGGACCAATTTTGTTATTAAATAATGATTCACTTTGAATGGTCTCCTACGCCCAATTTTGGACCAAAAAATCTTTTAAAAAATAATTTGAGGTTATCTCATAGGTATCTACACATAAAACTTTTTTTGAAGAAAATCTGAGTCATGAGAGCATGGTCGAGTATTAAAATCAGGTGATTTGGCGTGGAATGAGTAAGTGTAAAATGATGTACACAGGGGCGAGAAATCTAAAGTGAGCCTGGGATCGGCAGCAGATGACCAAGAAGGAGATCTTGGGTTCCAGTGGAGACCTTGATGAAAATGTTGAGAAAGGCTAGGGCAGGAATAAGCAAATTCCAGCCCTTCAAATGTTTGGGACTACAATTCCCATCATCCCTGACCAGTGGTTCTGTTAGCTAGGGATGATGGGAATTGTGGTCCCAAACATCTAGAGGGCCGGAGTTGGCCTATGCCTGGGCTAGGGATTGTTAGGAAAGGGATTAAGAATAAAACTGCCAAAATTGTTACGTCGTTGCACAAATTTGTGGTGCAGTTTGGAATGTCGCCTCAAAAAGAGTATTGTAGAGCTGGAAGAAGTTCAGAAAAGTACAAGGGGGTGAAACAACGAACCAGTCAGGAAAGGTGACAATATTTTTAGTTCAGAGGAAAGACAAGCAACAGGAAACATGATAGAGGTATAAAATTGGGACTAAAGAACATCTTTCACACAGCGCAGAGTCAAGTTATGGCATTCCCTCCCACAGGAGACAGAGATGGGCGCCAACATGGGTGGCATTAAAAGAGGATTAGAGAAAAGCTTGGCAGATCAGGCTCCCCCGGTGACCGACCACTGTGGCTGTGTCTCTGCCGACTCTGCCAGAGGCAGCAGGCCTCTCCGAACCAGCGGCTGGTGTTCTCTGTCCTGCTTGCGGGCATCCCTTAGGGGCAACTGGTTGGCCCCTTTGAGAACAGAGTTCTGCCCTAGACAGGCCATGGACTGGTTCCTGCAGGGGGTTCTGCCACCACTTCAACCTCTGGAAGCAAATTGCATAGCTCCCCCCCCCCCATAATTTTATCTTTTTGCAAGTGCACTGAAGCAGTGCCTGCCCGTCTGAAACACGTTATGTGCCTATTTCTTGACTGAGGTGAGTTTTTTGTTTTTTTTTACTGTTGTCTTCTTTCTGACAGATTGGGACTGTTGAATAATATGTTAGCCATGACATTCAGAGTAGTAGGAATAAAGCAGACGAGAATCAAATCAAGGCCTAATGAATCTTCCCACCAGAACCCCGACGACGACGTGCTGGTTAGCTGCTGGCCGTAATTCTGCGGATGACCTTTCTTGTGAAGCTGTGCAGTTCACAGAGCAAAGGAAGCTGAAACATGTGCATTTCTGAACTTCCTGTGAGCCTGAGTCACTTAGAAATCCCTGTAGGATACTTCATCTCTCTTTTCAGCACAGTATTTGGACAAGAGCAGGCCTTGAATCTTGATTCAGTTGAGGAGGGGTTGCAGTCCTTTCAGCTGGGTCGGGGGGGGGGGTCCTTCTGTGTTTGTCTCCTTCGTGCTGGCATGCTGGAATAGGTGGCTAAGTGCAGGAGGTTCTGGTTGCCCAGGCTCCTGGTCTTCTCCCCCAGCAAGGCCCTGGGGTGCTTGTGAATTGGGCTCCGCTCCTTCTGCTAAGCTCCCTGTGGCTTCCACTTGGTCTCTTACAACCTCCAGTTGCATGACCAGGGCTCCGTCTCTGCCCTTCCCACAACTGCAGAGCCCAATGAAGGGCTTCCCTCTAACATGCAGGCCTGTAGACTCTCTGGCAGCTGTTCATCTTTTCTCCAAGCAGAGGGGCAAGCCTGGGTTGAGTTGCCTGCTCTCAGTTGCGCACTTGCTGCCTTTGAATGGAGGGCTGGGTGTGGGGCTGAAGCCACTGCCGGGTTTAAGCCACTAACTGTGAACCGTGACTTTTTAAAAGACTCTTTCCTCTGAAATGGGGTCTGAGTTGGAGGCCTGCAGGTTTTTATTATTAAGAATTGGATTTCCTACCTCTCTCTGAGGCCCCAGTGATAGGAAAAAGGTTCATTTTCTCCCCTCTTTCCCCCAAGTCCTGTAGGAATGGTGTGGGGAGTGTTTGGGGAGTATCGGGCTAAGCTGGTAAGTGTAGTGTGGAGCTCCCTGCTCAGTTGTCTAAAGAGCTGTATGCGTCCCTCAACTTAAAGACACCTGCTGTGTGGCTAAGATGTCGGGAAGGAGGCCAGGAGAGACACTTGGGGTAGCAAATCCTCATCAGTCGGCTACAACAACATTGGGACTGGGCAGGGAGGAGAAGGCACACATGATGTCCCAGATCCCAGTGTCTTTCTCTTCATCTTCAGAGATCTTTGCTGAGGTTAAACAAAAATGGCATTGCTTTGACACAACTGGTTGATCTGTGAGTGGCTGATCTCTCCCCTGCCCAGTCACCTGGTGCACTGCTGTTAGTCGAAGATGTTGCTCCCTTCCCTTTTGTCTCTTCAGCCGCCTGCTTGACAGCTGTGGGTTATTTGTGTGTGTGTGTGTGTGTGTGTGTGTGTCTGTCTGTCTGTCTGTGTGTATTTATATATATATGTATAGTTCTGCCTCTCCGTGTGCCTTCCTGCTTAGTCTTCTCTAGGGTAGATGTACCTCCTTCGCCAGCCTGTTCAAAAATGGTGCTAGACTTGGGGCTGGTCCAGTTCTTGCTGGGATTATGTGTGGCAGATGCAGAATCCTGACCAAGAGGTGTGGATGCCTTGGTCTCTTGCGCTTGGTTGCCCAAGTTGGATTTATTTCCCAGGTGGCTTCAGGCTTGTAAAGAGAAGGTCACCTGGTATCCTTCCAGGCCTGCAGTCTGGGAGGGCAGCTTTTGTGACCTGGAAGGTGGTTGAAGCATGTGGGTGGTCTAAAAGGCCCGCGTGGCGGACATTGGGGGTGGGACCCTTGCAGAGCTGCCCATAAAGCTGGTTGAGGGGTGTCTATGCAGGCCAAGCAATTGCTGGGCCTCATTTCAGAAACAGTCACTGGAGGCTGAGGGACTCTTGGCTTCTGCAGCTAGTGGAGATGATCCATGTGTTTGGGTGTTGTGCACACGCTTGGATGGACTCAGGTTGACCATTTGGAGTTTCACCCTGTTCAGATGAAGAAGAAAGATGCTGCATGCAGGCATCTGACCGTCTGGGCTCTGCTCCTGTGAGGGTGAACGCTTGCCCCACAGACGCACAGTCTTTTGTGACGTAAACTGCAGCTGGTGAGAAATGCCCTGTTTCTTTTTTTCTCTTTCCTACAGCACCTGATCCTAGTGACCCACTTGAGAAAATTGCACACAGCCTAGAAGAAGTCTGCTCAGGACTGTAGCTGATCCTGAAGCCACACCTTTGTATTCACTGCATTGCACACCTGCAGTTGTGACTCAAGTAACTGAGGAGCAGGTCGGCTCCCACTTAGTGTTGCCAAGTGTGGTGGGAGCCGGCGAGACTTTTCTCTTAGGCAGACGGAAAACTCTGCTGAGCTGGCTGATTCTTGTGCCTGGCAGCCACAGAGAAGACGGCTTCATGCATAAACAGCAGGATCACATGACGTACAATGCAGGTGACTTTGGCACATCCGTGTTGCTCCTCTTTATGGTTTTGAAACAACCAGTCACTTTGCTTTCTCCTATTCTATTTGGCAGGACCTTCTAGGACTTAAAGTGGCCACATGCCTGGTAGAAGGGCTTTGGCATTGATGTGCCAAACTTTACGACTAGAATAGATGAACCCTTACACTGAACCGCTTGACAATTGACAAGGTATTTTGAAGAAAAAAAAGGGATTGATTGATTAATAGGCTTCTTTTTGTAGAATATTTCTTCTTTGTTAATCTTGCTAGTCTGTATCTTGTTGCTGGAGGGGGGAGAAAGAGGCAGAGAGGGAGGCGGCATTAATGCAGCCATGAGCAAAATGAAGGAGAAACGGGGCTGTGCATTCCCTCCATGCTTCCCAGAGCTTCCCTGCTGTTATGTGGGGGCTGTTCTGAGCCCGGAAATGGTGCTCCAGCCCGGCCGGGCTGTGCAGCACTCTCTGCTTCTGCTTGTGGGCTTGGCTGTGGAGTGTTGTCTTGTGGGCTCTTTCACCCTGAATCTCCATTGAGCTGCGTGCCACCTTGTCAGCTGAGGCAGCCCAGGGGCTTGCCACACTTTCCCAAAGTTGGAGGGAAGTCAGCTTTGCAAATCTGCGCTGGAAGCCTCACTGGCACTTGCCTCCCACCCTCTTCCTGTCCAGAGCGATAGGGTGGCCTGGTGAACTCTGCTGCCACGCAGCCCTAGTGAGGAGCCAGAGCAGCCCCCTGTAAGTGGTTGTGGATGGAAGACCAGCCTTCGTGCTGGAGGCCCCAAGCGGTGGGGTCCTGGCAGGTGAGAAAGAGTCAGGGGTCTGGCTTGTTCCCTCTCTCCAGACCTGAGTAGAGAGACAATCCTGCTTTGGCTTTTCATTTTCTAATTTTGATCTAAATTCAATGTGCTGACCCAACTCCATATGACTCTATGGATCTGTTTTAAGGTGGCTTGTTTACTGCGTGACATCTGAACAAACACATTGAAAGTTATAGTATTGCATTCCAGGGCCGTCTTAAAACGTTAGGCTCTTTGTACCCTTACAAGAAAGACGTGTGTGTAGTCATTTAATATAGATAAAATGGGGAGGGGGCCGTTGAAACAAGCTTAACCTTTCCACAAAAGTCCAGGCTGTGTGGAATTGCATGTAAGCCTTACCACATCAGAGCCACTGTATGGCTTCCCGTTTGCAGTTTTATTTTGATATTTTAAGTAAAAGTGTAGTTTCCTTTGACTGCATTTTCCCATGAGAAGAACTTGTAGTGAATGTTCTGTTCAGATGCCGGTTGCACTCCAGCTCCCAGCCCCACCCCTGCCGGCCCTATTCTGACAACATCATGGTGAAGTGACATTGACCTGTATCCCACTTGGTCCCATCTCCAGGGCAGCCACCCCCAGTCCCCTAGTTGGCTGGCTGAGATGGTGAGTCCTCTGGGCAGGGATGTTGTCTGTTCTGTACAGCACTGACACTAAATAAACAAGTCTAATACCACTGGCTTGCTTCCTCAAGCCATCCTGATTGCTTGCGAAGCTCCCCCTTGGCCCTGGGGGAGTTTAGCCTGTGCTCTGCTGGCCCACCATCTGTGGAAACCTCCTTTGGACTTCAGGCTCCTCTGCAAAGAGGGTGGGGAGAAATGCCTGCATTTGGGATCAGCACCTCTTGGTTGGCCTGGGAGAGGAGGAGTTGGCTGCATGATGCTGAGGCCAGAGTTGCCTGCCCGGAACAGCCTCTCTGAGCCTTTGGGGCCCTTCGTCTGGCATGTATTGATGGCCCTTTTCCTGCCAAGCTGCAGCATTTTAAAATACCAAATCAAGGTATATAAGCGTTATGAAGAGCAGAGGGGTCTCTGGGAGCTGGTGGCCTCTGACTTCCTCCCTGGGAATGTGCAGGAGGGATCCTCCCAAGTGAGCTCTGCATGAGTGCCGGTTCTTCACCAGGACATGGCAGGTGCAGGTGTCCGGTGAAGAACCTCCTCTACTCGGGTGGGGGAGGGAGAGAAGCTGCTTTCCAGGCCCCACCCCCAGCGGCGGAATCTCTTGTGAACAGCCTCCTTTCTTTCCTTAGCATGCAGTCTTATAATCTGCCCAGACTATGATCCAAGTATAATTGATTAAGGTTAAGGCATTGACTCTATATGAATTTCTGAAGATTTGGTATCTCCCCCCCCCCCCTTCAGCCAAGTTCAAAACATACAGTGTAACACTTCTAGGCAACTGAAACCAGAATGATTACATTTTATGAACCTCCGTCCATTGTCTGCCCAGCGGGAGGGTTCTCAATCTAAAGGCTGCGCTGCCTTCCCTGCCTTCCCTGCCTAAGCATTGCAGTGATTCCCTGCCGATTGCACACTCCACTGTTTTGCAAACAATTTTGATTGGTCAGTCGTTACCCATTCTTTGAAAATGCAGAGTTCATTCATCAAAGAATGGTATTTCATTGAAGCATGTGTTTAATACAGTCGTACCTTGTATCCCGAACACCGCAAACCTGGAAGTGAGTGTTCTAGTTTGCAAACGTTTTTTGGAACCTGAACGTCCAACGGGGCTTCCATGGCTTCCGATTGGCTGCAGGAACTTCCTGCAGCCAATCAGAAGCCGTGCTTTGGTTTCAGAACGGACTTCCAGAACGGATTCCATTCGACTTCCAAGGTACAACCATAGTTGATTTCTCAAAAGAGGGAGGATTGGGGTTTTAGGGCTATGTCGTGTTTGTGCTTACGGTGTAGGGGAACGGTCAGGCTCATTCTCCTGACTTTAGCTCAAGGCCATGGTGGGGACTTGGTCCTACTTCTGGGGTGTCACAGTCCTCCCCCTCCAGCTTTAATAATAGGTATTGGAAAACACCTGATGGGTGCTCTGATCTACCCTGCACAGCACGTCTGCAGCTGGCTGGCTTTTCTTTTTGGCTCGTTTTGTAGCATAGCAAAAGCAAGCTCCATCAACAAGCCTGCTTCTCCCTCCCCTGGCCTTGCAGGCTTTTCTTGGGAGAGGTGTGTGCTCACCCTGAGGGGAAAAGCAAGCTGACAAGCACTAGGAGAGCAGCCACACAACTCCCAGCTTCCTCTGCCAAGCCAGGTACACATCAGTTGTTGACTGCCCTTCCTGTGTTGAACCCACAAAGTCGAAAAGAGAACTCTCAGGGCAGCCTCTGGAGGGGCTGCTTCCTCCCTCCTTTTCTCTGCTGGAGGGACACGGCAAACGAAGGCGCAAAGAGTTGCCAGCAGTATGTTCACCTGTGGGATACCTTCACCAGGCTCTTCCTGCTTCATTTGCTCACTGTCACTGCCGTCACCAGGATGCAACTGCAGGAGCTCTATGCAATGTCAGAGTGTGTTTTGGGTTGTTTGGTATTTAGAATAAAGTTCTTAATTTAACTGTATGTGTTTTTGCATTTGTTCAGCTGCTGAGGCTGCAGCCAAAGGGGATGTTTCCTCTTGTTCTCCTTTGTGGGGCGGGGGGAGAAGTTGGATCCTGGTGGACTTTGAACCAAACTCTCCAAAAAGGTGGAAAGAGGTTTCCCAACAGAGTGCCTAGAGCATGGTTAAAAAACCATGTTTAATTTTATTTTTTAAGATGAGAGGTCATACTATTGCAAGGTAAATAATGGAGGAGCCAACTGTCTTTTCTGAAGTAGAATCAGGTATGGTAAGCTCTCAACCTACATGGGGGTTACTTTCCAGGGATCATGCCTGAAGCCAGAATTGCATATAGTCAAAACATTGGCAAGTCCCACCATTGAAAACAAAGGCTTTTTTCTGGACTCCTGCCCCTTTTCTTTCTTTCTTTCTAATTGCCAAGTGCGTAAAGCTGAATGTGCACAAAATGTGTGTAAGTTGCAGTTTAACTATACAGTGGTACCTTTGTTTAAGAACAGCTTAGTTTATGAACAACTTGGATTAAGAACGCTGCAAACCCGGAAGTAGGTGTTTTGGTTTGTGAACTTTGCCTTGGAAGCAGAACATGTTCCGCTTCCTATTGAGTGTGTTCCTTTTGTAAATTTCCCCGCTGCTATGGGAAAGCACACCTTGGTTTAAGAACGCTTTGGTTTAAGAACTGACTTCCGGAACGGATTACGTTCGTAAACCAAGGTACTACTGTATATAAATCCTGGTCTGAAACAAAAAAAAATGCTTTCCCCAAAGCTTATTGAGTCCACTGGTGACGAATATTTGGGTCTTTGATGGCTTGGGGGGCGGGGCTTGCTATATAATGTTACACTACAGCTCCCCAAATCCCTGACCATTAGCCGTGCTGTCTGGGGCAGCTGGGAGTTGTAGTTCAACCATGGCTGGTGATTTGGGGTTGGAAAGGCTGGGGAAGGGATACATGAAAGCATGGGACTGCTGGCCAGTGGCCCATCAAGTCCAGCATCCTGTTCTCACAGCAGCCCTTAATAGGAAACCAGCCAGCAGGATCTGAGCGCAAGAGGCGCTCTCCCTTGCTGTGCTTTCCAGAAACCGACATTCAGAAGCACTGCTGGCCTCAAACTGCAAAGGAAGAGCAGAGCCGCTGTGCCTAAGAGCTGCCCATCGCCCTCTCGGTAAAATGGTCTAATCTTCATCTTTTCTTTTCTTTTTTTTTTAAATGATATTTATTCAAGTTTCAAAAAAAGATTACATTGATAAGAAAAAGAAAAATATAGAAAAGAAAAATACAAAATACAAAAAAAAAAACAATTAAAAACAATTCCATCTTTTCATCACTTATCTTTCATTTACTTGTTTCCCGGACCTCCTCATGCCTGCCTTTTTTGTATTCCAGTTCAATTTATTAGTTCAGCAATTCCTTTCCCTCCTTATTTTATCCTAATCTTTAATCTTAATATATTATAGCATTAAATTTTAACCTATTGAAAATCCAATTTTTCCATATTCTTTTACCATTGCAGCTAGAAACCACTTAACTTCAATCCAATCTTCATCTTTTCAAGCCATTGAGGTCGGTGGCCTTGGCAGCCTCCTGTGGGAGGGAGTTCCACAGTTCAGTTGTGCTGCGTCTGGAAGGACTCTGTTTTGTAGCAGAGGAAGGGGCTTGGCGGGCATGATTTGTCCAAGGCTGGCGGGGTGGGAAGCCAAACCCCATGTCCTGTTGTAATCTGGATTAAAGGGTGGGGGAAGGGGGGCTTGTCTTTAGACCTGATGTGCTTGGTGGTTTCATTTTGCATTTCTTGTGTTGCTCAGCCGCCCAGCAGAAGGGCGGCAGGATGAATTTAATGGTACTGATTCCCAGTGCCGGATTTACGTATAAGCTAAACAAACTATAGCTTAGGGCCCCACTCTCTTGGCGCCCCCCCCCCCAAAAAAAAATCTAAAGGAAAAAAACCACTGCATGTACATTTCCAAAATATAATAATAATAATAATAATAATATTTATGCCTCGCCCAGCCACTCTATTTATGCCTTCCCCAGCCACTCTGGGCGGCTTCCAAAAAAAATATTAAAATACTGTAATATATCAAACATTAAAAGCTTCCCTCAACAGGGCTGCCCTCAGATGTCTTCTAAAAGTCTGGTAGTTGTTGTGGGAGGGCGTTCCACAGGGCGGGCGCCACCACCAAGAAGGCCCTCTGCCTGGTTCCCTGTAGCTGGGCTTCTCAGAGCGAGGGAACCACCCTAAGGCCCTCGGAGCTGGACCTCAGGCAGAAATATGGGGGTGGAGACGCTCCTTCAGGTGTACTGGGCCCTTGAGGCCATTTAGGGCTTTCAAGGTCAGCACCAGCACTTCCAATTGTGCCTGGAAACCTCCTGGGAGCCAACGCAGATCAGCCCGTCCTGAAAGGGGGCGGGGCTCCTGGTTCTGCATACGTCACTCCCGGAGAGGCGTTCCTCTCGACTGCTAAGCAACGGGGCCCGCCCCCTCTCGACGCGGCTCTGCCTGCTCCCGATTGGCTACGCAGGACGCGACGGCGGCGCGCGTTATAGACGAGCGCTATTGGCTCTCCGGGCTGCCCCTTATTGAGAACGGGGCGGGTGGAGGAAACGGAGGAAAGCGCTTTGGCAGGCCGGGATTGGCGCGAGCGGCCCCACTCTCCCTCCCCATTGGCTCGGGGAGCTGCCCCTTCGGAGGCGGCCTGCGGAAGAGACCCCTGCCGCCGACAGCCATTGGCTCGCGCGTAGCGCCGCCTGTGCCGATTGGTCGGCGCATGGGGCGCTGGGCTGGGCTCCGCCCTCCCTCTCCGCCCGTCCTGCGCCCCGCCCCCCCCCGGCAGAGCCGAGGCGAGTCTCTGAGGGAGAGAAGGAAGGAGCGGCGGCGGCGGGGAGGCAGCCATGAGGGTCGCCGTGGACTTCGAGGAGTGCCTCAAGGACTCGCCCCGCTTCAGGTCCGGGGGGGGGGGGAGCCCGGGGCCAGCCAGCCCAGACCCCCGCGGGCAAAGGAAGGCGAGCCCGCCGCCTCTCCAGGGCCGCCTCCCCGCGGAAGCCCCTTGCTCCCCCGCCCGGGGACAGCCTCTCGCCGAGGGGAAGACGCCTCTCGGGGCCCCGCTCCACCTTCTCTGATTCCGCACCCCCGAACTCGGCCCTCCAGCTGTTTTGGGACTGCAACTCCCAGCATCCCTGACCACTGGTCCTGCTAGCTAGGGATGATGGGAGTAGGAGTCCCAAAACAGCTGGAGGGCCGAGTTCGGGGCTGCCTGCTCTTCAGGCTCGTCCTCCAGCGTGGGGGGGGGGGGCAGAGGGGGCAGCCTCCTCCTCCTCCTCCGGCTTCCCCTCTGAGGCAGCCCCAGCCTGTGGCAGACCTTCAGGGAGTGGGGTGGAGATTGTCCCCAGGCCAGGGGCTGCTTGGGGGGAGAAGAGGCCATGAAGCAGATGGGGGCCTCCCTTGCCACATTTGGCCAAGCCCAGCTGGGCTTTGGGGCTTAGGAGGACCTTGCTAGCCGGATCCTTGCGGGGCATCAGTGCTCACTTGGATCCAGGCATGGACAGGCTGAGTACCAAGAAAGGCCTGGGACTTTGTCTTGCGAGCCCTGGAGGGCGTTCAGCATCAGGGTACAAATGAGAAGCATCAAAATAAGTGGTGGATCCTTTTGTCAATATAAAACTTGTAGGAATCATTGACTTCTCCTAATGCTCAAATGTTCTGATGGACATGTGACTCTTTCATATCTGTTAGACTGTATTTGCTAAGTTACAGTGGATGTTTCTGTGGATGGTTTGTTGGTTTGTTTGTGTGTTTTGACTTCCACAAGCAGCATTCATCTTGAGCTCAGCTGCTCTGGAATGCACGCAAGAAATAGACCGGAACAGACACAAATCTGTGTTACCCATCTCAACCAACCCACAGTAAGCGGTGTGGGGGTCTCGCACACCAACCAGCCAACTCTACCTGATTTTGGTTTCATATGTTTTTGAGCATTTGGTAAAAGCACCTGGTGTGTCCTCAGTTTGTGGTTAGCCTCTTCAGAAGCTTTGAAATATAGGGGAAAGAACAACTGTTAGCCCTATATCCAAATGCTGGAAGGTAACAAGAATGTTGTCCCTTCAATCTCCTACTCCCTGCTTGGCTAGTGGCCTCAGATGCATCCCGCCATGGTGATTCCATCATTTATTTAGGCATCTTGATGGTTTCTTTTCTCTAGTTGCCTCAGGCATCCCTGCCGCTCTTTCCTCACCTTCAGTGTTTCTCATCTACACAATGGGATTTGTAATGCTGGCCTCTTCCATTGCAATGTCATTGAATCCACTTTTCAACATGTGGCTTTTCAGTCAGCGACTATCAAGACAAGGAAAGCAGGATAGGAAGTAGCCACAGTGGCTGGAGGGAGACCTGTGCAGCAGAAGCCACCCCCAGATGTGAGTAAGGGACCGTGGCCCCCAGCGCAGGGATTTATGTCGGCTGCTTGGATATACTGATGCATGCCATGCCTTAGTTAGACTGCATCCCCCCATAAGTAGCAGGGTGCCTTCACAGAGCCGATATGTTGGCTGTTATGGAGACATTTCTGCCCTTAACTTGCAGGGTGTACCCACCCTTCCTGTACTGCTGTGTGCTTATGAAATGTTTGGTCCCTCCCTTGCCAGACTGGACCACAGTGGCTCTTCTGGTCATGGAGGTTGTCTCAGATGGGTCACAGACTGGAGCTTGGAAGGAAAGCTAGAAGGAAACACCCATGCAAGAGGCTGGCTTATTCTGCAAACCGGCGGGTGGTTTCCTGCCAGACTTCTACCCACTTCAGTATGTAATTCTTGGAATCTGGAGCTGATCAAGTTTAGCTGTCCTTTAAAATGGTTCCTTTTGCTGCTCGCGTTTGCCAAATGAATAGAGATTTCTGTCTTGCTGTCATTTTACCTGAATACAGAGAAGCAAAGATACAAAGCCGTTCACAGGGCAGGCTTCTCAGGGCTCCTGCTCTGCAGGTGTGATTCTTTGTGTAAAGTTACCAGAGAAACGGTTCAGATGGGTAACTGACAGGGAAAATGGTCTCCAAGTTTTAAAACCCCTTGGATGTGTAGCTGAAATGGAGGAAGAAAAAAGGGCTGAGAGGGTTATTTTTGCCAAGTACTTTGAGATTTGCAGAATAAGGCAGGCATAGTAGAGATGCTGTGTTGCTATTGCATGATAAACTCTGGTTTATTGTGAAGGAAGCCAGCCCAAGCCACATTCATTCCTGTACCTTCTCCCAATCTGGCTTGAGGTTTCAATGAACCACTTTCGCATGGCATCTGAACCTGACAGACTACAGTTTTTTGAAACAAGTCTGCTTTGTAACCTGTACTTGAAGTTGGCTTGTTTGAAGGAAACCATAGTTAAGATAAGCTACCATTTGTCAGATCTAGATGATGTTACAAGCTGTGTTTAATCAGAAATTGGAAGTTTGAGCTCCTTGTGGTGGCGCTGGAAGAGGAGGAGGGGTCTTGTGTGAGTCCAAGGCTTACTCAGCCTTCTTCTCATCTTAATAAACCATAGCCTCTCCTATCTGGATACAGCCCTCTTGGTCTGTTGATGAGGCTGGAGAAATCTCAGGCACCACAAAACTGGATTCAGGCAGCTAGGAATTTTGCAGTCTCCCTCCAGGCTTCGCGGGTCACAGCCTCAGTTTCCTTCTGACAAAGACCAGTGAAACTAGACAAGAGAACAGGCCTTGAGTTGACCCAGTTGTGCAAATGACGGATGTCAAATGCAGAAGTTGTTTCAGGGAGAGGCTCCAAGCATCAAACCCTAACCAGTGTTGCTACAGAGCAACGCGTCAGCAAACTTTTGTTTGGATTGCAAGGAGGAAGATGCTTCTTCAAAGCACTGGAAAGCAGTACTTAATCGGCCACAGCTGTAAGGCAGAGGGTGGGGATGCTTTGTAATGTGTCACTTGCCTTTTGTGCTCTAGTTCGGCGAGGGGGGGGGAGCCTGTGACCCTCCAGGATGGTTGATGGCAGTGAGGGGAGTTGTTGCTCGACAACATCTTGAGGGACAAAAGTTCCTTGTCCCTGTGCTAGCCCAACAGACTGCAAAGACAATCTTAATTGGCATTTTCAGAAGCATAAGCTATTTTAACTTGCAGCGAAATCCATTCTGTGAATCCCTGCAACTTTGGGTAGCACTCTCCTCCCTGCGTTTGTCTTGCCCTCTTTTAAAGCCTTCCCAGTTGGTGCCCACCGCTGTCCTCAAGAAGGGCGCCAAGCCCTTGGGGGAGACTTTTCTGGGAGTGCGGTAGGCGGAAGCAGAAGTGTTGTCTGCCAAGAACTACTTAAGTTAACTTGCCTTAGGATCCAAGCCTTTACTCCCAAAGATAGACCCTCTTCTTTTTTTTTCTTTTTGTAAATGTGTTTTACTGTTTTCAAAGAAAGAAATTAACAGATACAAACACTTCAAAAAAAATCTAGAGGCAACAGGTAAGTCCCGAATTTGAAAACTAAGGAGGGTACATTAACCCAAAGAACTTAACTCACACAAGCTGAAGCAGTTTCTTGGTTAAAGGGACAGAGCTTCTGCTCCATAATGCTGTGGGTGCTGCCAGTGTGTCTTCATGCTCTTGGGGCCCCAAGGGAAGAAGGAGGCTGCTTGACTGCCAGCCCATCATCCAGCCACTCTTCTGCACGGCTGGAAACGGAGGTGGCTTTGCAGTTGGTTGCTGCAGCCCTGCAAGTAGGACAGACTGTTTTGCAGAATACCGACCCTCGATACACTCACATGCAAGGTGTCTCTCTGTGCCCCATTTGGCAGTGCCCTCCCCAACCCCACATATATCATGAGCTGCCTTAGTGCTTCAGATGCAGTGTTTTCATTTGGCAAACATTTAAAGCACACAGGGCAGCCATGAAGACTAAGAAAGATCCTCCCAAGCAGAGGCTGGGGTTTAAACGCATGCTAGGAGCACGGGAAGCTGCCTTCTCCTGAGTTAGACCACTTAGCTCAGTGCTGTTGACACTGGCTGGCAGCAGCTCTCCAAGGTCTCTGGCAGGGAGGCTTTTCCCAGCCCCCCCGGAGGTGCCATTGAGGATGGAAGCTGGACCTGCGTGCAAAGCAGGCGCTGTGGGTGGACAGGTCTGACCCCTGGGCGCTTGACACTTGGCTCTCCTTTCTTTCTGAAAGGAAGCTGACTTCTGGCAGCCGGATATCTCTGCTTATGAGAAAGTCCTTTCGGAGAGGAGGAGAGAAGGCGGCTTCCCTGACCGTTCTCTGCTCCGTTCGGAGATGGAGCAATAATGACGTGCATTGGGGACCCTTTTCCATGGCAGAGGCTCTGTGTTCAGTTCACTCAGGTTGCTCTTTATTGCGTACATAATCCAATGAAATACAGTTAGAGGAGCAAGCATGGGGCGACTTTCAGTTTGATTCCTGACTGAGGGGGTGAACTGGAGCATTTCCGGACAGGCCTTGTGTTCTCCGGCAGTTTTCTGTGGAGTGTCACAGGCCAGTCTCCCTCCTGATGCCTCCGTTGCTGCGGCATTGGTTACAGTTACATCAGTTTGTGTGGCGTCTTGTCCTTGGCTGCTCCTGCAGTCTTGGATTGGTTTTCTCTGGTTTGTTGGTGCTGGAGCTCCTGCCACCCACTTGACCCCACTGTTTGCCCTTCGCCTGAGGTTTGCTCCTTGGATGCTGCGCCTGAAAAGGGTGGGGGCCTCTGTTCATAGCCAGGGGGGCAGGGGATGGCGAACCAGGGTGGGAGGGAGCAGAGCAGCCCAGGGGCTGGACAACCTGCCTGCCCCCTTGCCCGCAGGGGCATCAGTAGCTGCCCTCACTGTGTGGGGGCCACCCTTCCCAGCCTCTCCCTCTTGCCTGCCAGGGTATAGCATTCAGCTCTTACTGGGCCCTTTCCCTGGTTTTTAATTGGGCACATCTTTCGTAAGGTGTTTTGTGAGCCTATTGGGAGGACGAAGCAGGATATCAGGGTCCTAAATAAAACTTCTAAAACATTCTGCCCATTTGGGAATCCTGGTGGCAGAAAAAGTTGAGCCTCCTTGCCGGCCTGCTCCATTTGTTGCAGGAAAAGCAGCCAAGGGAAGGGGGGGGTGGGATGGCAGAGCCAGGAGCTGCCTTTCTCTCAGAAACGCCTGCTCACCTCAGGCTGACTCCCCTCTCCTCAGCAGGCAATTCCTCTGGCTTTCCGTCTGCAAAAAGCCATTCAGGCAGGTGCTGGCTAAAGAGGATTTCTAAACTTACCCAAGCACTGCTTGCCTTCTGAAGATGCCCTCCCCCCTTCTGTAAGTAAAGAAATGTGGCCAGGGCATGGCTGGCAGCACCCTCAGAACCCTCCTTTCACGTGTCTGGGATGTCCTCCGTTGGTTCCTGGTGCTGCTTGTGGGTCCATCTGCTCCAGTTGGTTGTTCAATGGGCTCCAGCCCTTCTGGACGCCACTGGTCCTTGAGGGAGAGCACAAACGGCTGTGGTTCAGGCCGGCTGGGGCCTCGTCACTCTTGTTAACGCCAGGCAAAAGGCACCTGCAGGTTGGCGCTTCTGCCAGAAGCATCCCCACTCAGCCAGGTGGGGGTCCGTGCATCACGGCTGGCCTGTGTCTGGGGCAGTCTCTTTGCATGGTGCTTTCTCAAAGGAGCCAAGTGAATAACATTCACTTTCTGGCAGGCTGCTGATGCCTAGGAATAATCAGAGTCCATTTGCATAGCTCTCCAGGAACAACCTTTGCTGGATTTGAGAGGGCCTGCTTTGCAGCTTAGACCCAAATGAACACTTTGCCTCTTTCCCTGCCTCCTCCCCAATGGAAACAGTGAGAAGGGAGGAATGACCCTTTGCTTCATGGCTTTCGTCCCCTCTGGCCCACAGCTGCAGAGCCTGTCAGCTGTTTCCCGGCTGTGTGGTCCCCTGCAGCTGGACTGTGCATCCCAGTTGTGGTGTGTGTGTGTGTGTGTGTGTGTGTGTGTGTGTGTGTGAAGAGACTTTCCTGGGTGGCTCTGCCCACTGGCTGCCTTCCTCACACTGATCCTGCAGCTTCATGGAGATCAGAGTGTGGGGAAAGGGCTCTGTGTGAAAGGGGAATCGAAAAGGCAATTTTTTTAAAAAAAGGTTCTCATCCTCCCTCCAAATGGCAGGAGAGCCCTTTTCCACAAACGGGTTTGGCAGCATCATGCCTGGAGTGGGGAGAGTGTTTCTGTGGCACCCGGTGGCAAATTGAGGTCCCACCTGGCATTGGCAGTTGCTGTTGACTCCGCTCTGTGGAGGCATCCTCTGAGAGGCGACTCGTTTAGCAAGCAGCCCTGAGTGCTTGGCTGCAGTTGTTGACACCGAAGCCTTCTCCTTCTCAGAGTTGGCGTGCAAACAATGGGAATCTGGCCAGACCTAAGTGGGGAAGCCAGTGCCACTGAAACTGCAGGGACTTCCAGGAGTGCCTGGAGACCAGGGCCCGAGTGCAGCGTGTCTCCCTCTGCTACACAGTCCCCCTCCACCCCGTGCCTCTTGGTTGTGCCAGGACGGAGCACCCCCATCCCTCAGATCCCTCCAGGGAGATCCACTGTAAGCCTTTCTGAAGTTGAACTGGCTGCTTTGCGTGTGGTGGGTCTTCTGTTAGCAATGGACGACTTTCCCAGGGAGTCTGGAGGGTGTGACATCTCAGTCTGTTTCTTCTTGCAGGGCTGCTTTGGAAGATGTGGAAGGAGATGTGACAGAGCTAGAGCAGAAGCTGGACAAGGTGAGCAAACATCACCTGGGCAGTTCCACCCCACCTTGCTCCTCAGAGGGTCCCTTAGGAAAAGGTTTGGGGAGGGAGAAGCAAAGTTCTGTTGCGGAAGCATAAATCCTTGCACTAGTGGAAGGGGGATATTGAATGCCACCCTTTAGGCCCAACTCCTAGTTGAAGCCAGTTGTGCTCCTGGAACCTGGGGGACAACTAACTGCCAGTGAACTATTGAGGTGGGCATTGCCATGCGGAACGCAACCAGTTTCTGGAAATCGCAGGTGGGCAGAGTGGCTGCCGTTGTGCTCAGGTCCTGCTGGTGTGCTTCCCATGGGGGGGGGGAGGATCTGAATGGCCCCTGTGAGAACAGGAGACTGGACTAGATGGAGTGCCTTTGGCCAGATCCAGCAAGAGGGCAGTAGGTTCTGTCCCATCCAGCATTTTCATCTGCCAAGGTGGTCAGCCAGATGTCGGAGGAAAAGGGCATTTGCTCTTCTTTGCTGCAGAGTAGATATGTTGAGAGACGACCGGGGCCATGAGATAGGAAGACTCTGCTGCTTCTCTTTCAGTTAGTGAAGCTTTGCATTGCGATGATTGACACGGGGAAGGCCTTCTGCCTGGCAAACAAGCAGTTCATCCATGGCATTCAGGACCTGGCACAGTATTCCAGCAAGGATGCCCTCGTGGAGGTAAGTGCCCCTGCCAAGTGGGCTCAGAAGAGGAGCTTCGCCTTGCCTGGGGAACGGGGTGGGGGCTGCCCGCCTGGGCGCCTGAGTGTGGGCGGCGGGTGGAATCCACAGCCCGTCCAGGGAGGAGCTGTTCCTAAGAGAGTGTAGGGACTTAAATGGGCTCCCCATTAAATATCTGTTGCTTTCATCTCCTTAAGCTAAGCATACTTGGCTCTTCAGCCTTCAAATGGTAAATATATCTGTTAGTTCATGCTGACCCCTTGAGAGAAGTTGGAGAAGAGGAATGTTTGCAAGAGCAGACTCCCACCCTCCCCTCCCGGCCCCCAGTGCAGCCGCAGTCTCTGCTGATCCCTTTGGGAGAGGGGCTTCCCTGCTGTTCCCTGGGCAGGAATAATCTATCTGGCCTTGTTGCTTCCTCTCCCCGCCCGCCCCCCTTGCAGACCAGCTTGACGAAGTTCTCCGACAGCCTCCAAGAGATGATCAATTACCACACTGTAAGTTTCAGAAGTAGCTCCGCTTTTCTCCTCTATGGATTTAGAAAGCTGCTTGATAAAGATGTGTAAGTTTTTCTTCCCTGTGTTTCGAGGACACTCCAAGACACTTAGAAATGAAATGCCTCCTTAAAAGATGTAGAATCTCTCTCTCTCTCTTTATTAAAAAAATGTGTGTTTTGAAGTCCCAATGGAGCGTGTATGACTCGGTTGTTCCAGCTTCCTGGAACATTGCAGCTCTTGGCACTCTCTCCCGGTTGCCTTGGCTGGCCATCTGGAAACTCTGCCTCCCTCCCTCTGTCAGGCATGGGGGTGAATCTGCAGCCAGAGTCTGTGCAGGGCCTTGCACATCTTAATTTCTAGCCTCCTTAACACAGAGGCTTTGTCAGAGATGACTCCTGCAGCCTCGTGGCAGCCTGCCGAATGGTGTGGCTCTTTCTTTCAGCTGCAGCGAAAGAAGGAAGCGTCCGCCATGCATCTTCCCGGCATGGGGGGAAAGAAGAGAGATGGAAGGAAGTGAGGGGCTCTTCTCCCTCCCGCCGACATTTTTGCGGCTTGTTTGCGCAGTCCCAGAGCAGGACTCTGGAGCTTAGAAACCCCAAGTTTCCATCGCTCAGTGCCCCCTTGTGGAAGGCACAGGCAGCGCTAGTGGGGATAGGCAGGAAGAACTTCAGTGGGGAGACTGGCTGGACGTTGGAAGGTGCCTTGGAGCAAGAGGCGTCCAGAGAGTCCCGGCAGCGCTTTTCCAAGGCTGAGAGGGCATGTGGTGGGGGGTTCCTCCCTGGGGCGTCCTGCACGCAAGCTGTGGTCCGAGGGGAGCCTTCTTGGGCCCAGGCGCAATGACTCTCCTTCTGGGCCTGTTTAGGAGGCTGTGGGTTGGGGCCCTTCTTGCTAAGCCGAGTGGAGGGGTGCGCAGTGTGTGGTCTTTGAGGCAGAGGCCAAGGGAGGGAGCCAGGTGGGCCCTGGGGTTCAGCGCAGGGCTGCAGCTGCTCCTCTGGCAGGTGCTTTGCGCCCCCCCCCCCGCAGCCTCACTCCTGTTGCGCCTGCCTTCCGTTTCTGATCCTATTTGGGAAGGGGGAAATCCAGGGCCCATGAAAGGTGGGGGCTTTATGTTCTTTTTTTTTGCTATTCAGTCACCTGAAAGATGTGGGTCCAGCTGAAGGGGCTCCATTGGAAGAAGGAAAGGAGGAGCGAGGAGAGGCCTTGGGAAGCCTTGAATGTGGGGCTCCTCCAATTGAGCAGCTTGCAGAGCATTGGGCATGGGGGGGGGGGAGCCAGTACTGGCAGAGTGGGGCTGGGTTGGGGGTTCACTGGGCTGCTGCAGCAGAACTGCTGGTCCTTGGCGGGGGTAGGCCTTTCTCTGGCTGGTCTGTTGAGTCATAAAGCTATTCCTGTCCTCTCTTTTGGTCACTGAATGGGGCCCCCAAGGTGGCTTATGGCATTATAATCCTACAGTAGCAAATGCTAAAGAGCGAGCATCAAATGGTGCTAAAGAAAATGAGCCAGTGGGGAAGGGTGGGGGTCACAGTCCCGAGATAAAGCCGACTGCCTAAAGCCCTCCAAGGCTCATGGAGCCAGCCGTGAAGGTGAACATTGATACTGTGTGCTGAAAAATAGTTCTGCAGCCAGTGAAGTTGTTCAGGAGCTGCTGAGCGATATTCCCTTTGGCATGTCCTAGTCACCAACTGGGCAGCTGTGTTCTGGACCAGTCGCTGCTGGAGCTGTCTTCAAGGGCTGCTCCATAGGCAGCCCATGGCAGTAGCCTAACCTGGATGCCAACAGTTCATGCATGGCAGAGGGCAGGCAGCCTCTGTTATTTGTACCTTCTCTGGCTCCATGGTGAGCTTGCCGTATAATCTGAAACATCCTTTGAGTTTAAAAAAGAAAAGGGAAAGGTGGCAAATCGCAGCAGCTCATTCTCTGGGATCTGTTGCCTGGGGACCCTTAGAGAACCGGCAGGAAGAGGAGGCTAGAGGTACTGGGGCCTGGAGGGCCTTTGAGCCTAACTCTCAAGCATTTCCTCCATTTCAGATCCTGTTTGACCAAACACAAAGATCAATTAAAGCGCAGCTTCAGACGTTCGTTAAAGAGTAAGTAAGACTTGTGCTTAAAGAGTCTTGGTGGTGGGGGGGTCAGGCTTCCAGGAGGGGCTGTGGGCCAGCCTTGAGTAGAGGTTGCATATCTTCAAGGTTTCCTTGTCCCTTGGGCATGCAGATGGTGTGAGATCTTGCCTTACCATGGAGTTTTCCCAAGACTTCTGATGCTGGAGAAGAGGCATCCCCAAACTCGGCCCTCCAGATGTTTTGGGACTAGAACTTCCATCATCCCTAGCTAACAGGACCCGTGGTCAGGGATGATGGGAATTGTAGTCCGAAAACATCTGCAGGGCTGAGTTTGGGGATGCCTGCTGGAGAAGGAGCAAAAGCTTTTCTGCAATGGAAGCCAAAGCCCAGCCTGGGTTGGGCTTCCTGTTTGTTCCTCTGCTGCTCCTGAGCCACGATGGAAGTGCCAGGCCTCGTTCTGCTGAGCCCCCTCCCTTGCCCCCAGGTAGGCACTCCTTTGCCCGCTCTCTGTCTGCTGTGCCCTCCCCCGTGCTGTGCTGTGAAGGGCAGCTGATGGAGGGGAGCCCTGTGTTTCCTTTGCGCTCTAGAGATATCAGAAAGTTCAAAGATGCCAAGAAGCAGTTTGAGAAAGTCAGCGAAGAGAAGGAGAATGCCCTGGCCAAGAACGCCCAGGTCCCACGGACCAAGCAGCACGAGGTGGAAGAGGCCACCAACATCCTGACGGCCACCCGGAAGTGCTTCCGCCACATCGCGCTCGACTACGTCCTGCAGGTGGGCCGCCCTCGGGGGCTTTGGGAAAGGGCCACGGAAATGTGTTGCTGCAAGAGGGTCTTGCTTGGCTTAGCAGGAGATCCGGAGGCAGGCGGAAGCGAAGCCCAGGGAGAGCCAGGGAGAGAGAGGGCTGGCAGTCAGGCCTTGGCTGTGGGCGGGTGAAGGCTCTGAGCAAGTCAGGAGAAGCTCAGCAGTTACCTCTAGTGACTTGGGTATTCTCCATGAAGCCCCCCACTGCCGGAATTGGCGTGGGGAGGGGTCTTTGTGGGAGGCTCGCCAGGGGCCAGAGCTGGAGCTTCTAGTCCCGTTTCTGATGGAGAGGCCTTCTCCACTTTCTCTGAAGTTGGCTGTGAGCAACACCTCCAGGTGAAGTAGCCCACTGAACCCCTTCAAGAAGCCAGGATAGGTGGAAGGCCAGCTGCAGGGGGAGGAGAGCCTTGGGAGGGGGGCGTTCTGCCTTATTTGCTTGCCCTGGTTTTACGGATTTCTTTGTTCTTGATGTCCAGAAAGAGAAATGTGCTTCTTTAAAAAGTAGCTTTGACTGTCCTTCCCAAAGTTAGTTGCCCTTCTAGCAGCCTCACCTTGACTGGTGCAGGAAGAGGAAGCTGGAGCGTGTCGGGTGGCTGAACAAAGGGCTTTGGGGATGGAACCATAGGAAAGGGAAGGGTCTCTCAAAGCTGCAGAAAGGAGACCCAAGTGGGGAATCCTCCCTGGCTTAGCTGGAGAGAGCTCTGGCTTGGAGAGGAGTCAGGCCAGTCCTCTTGGGAGGCCAATGAGCCACCCACCTTTGCTGGAACTCCGGTGCTCTGGGGCTGCGGGCCCAGCGGGTGTCTTGCAAACAAGAAGCGTCCCAGCGTGCCCAGGTGGGCTTGAGCTGGTCTTGAGTTCCCCATCCTTCTGCTTGTTTTGTGACTCCTGCTGCCAGCCTTGCGCTGCTGCTGCAGAAGCTTCTACCTCTTCCTTCCCACGCTCTGTTGCTGGCACATTGACACAATTCATTTTGCCCCCTAGATTAACGTTCTTCAGTCAAAGAGGAGATCAGAGATCCTAAAATCGGTAAGCTTCTCATGCCCCCACCAGGAAATACTGCAGGCTTGGAACTGATGGGCGAATGTGTCCCTGAGGGACCTGGGTCTAGTGCCGGGCCTCGCTCCTGTGGGAGCTGCTGGACTGAGTGGCTGTTTGCGTGGGGCCAGTTTTGCCAGGAGTAGGAGGGCAGAGGGAGGGTGATGAGAGCTTGGCATCGAGGGCGGAGCGTGAGGGATGCCGGAAGCCCCCTGAGACCTTGCCTCTTCCTCCCTGCCAGATGCTGTCCTTCATGTATGCCCACCTGGCCTTTTTCCATCAAGGCTACGACCTTTTCAGTGAACTTGGACCCTACATGAAAGACCTTGGAGCTCAGGTAACGACTGCAGTGGGTGGCTGGGTCTCTCTCCCGGGAACGGAGCTGGCCTTCATGCTCTCTCCTCCTCCTCCTCCTCCTCCGCTGCTGCTCCTGCCGTGAGAAGGGCTGGCCGGGCAGCTGGCTCTGGAGCGGCTCAGGCGGCATGAGTCATCCTTTTCTCCAGCCAGCCCTTGCGCTGCACCAGCCCCACCGCAGGTCCCTGGCACCTTGGCTATTCTGGGAAGCCAACTCCTTGGAGCAGCGGCAGGAAGCGGGCAGGCCCTGCCCAGCCTCAGGTCGGGAATCTGGCAGGTAGGCTGCCTGGGGAGGGGGGCACCCTGGCACACCGAGCAAGGCGCCCCACCTCTCTGGCCCTGGAGGTACAGGAGCCTGCACTGCCAACTCTCTTCCTTTCTTGCAGCTTGAGAGGCTGGCTGTAGATGCTGTGAGGGAGAAGAAGGAGATGGAGCACAAACACTCCACCATTCAGCAAAAGGTACTGCAGGGGACGCAGGAGGCAGCCAGTCCACCCGCTTGGTCTCTCTCTTCTGGCTGCATCGAAAAAGTTTCCCAGTGTGCTCCCGCTGCCTGCAGGGCTTCCAGGGCACTCTCCCAGGCCCCAGCCCCCCAGCCCCAGCTGCCCAGGGGGCACTATGGGGAGGGAGAAGCCAGGGCTGCCCAGGTCCTCTGTGGATGCCCACTCTGGCCCTCCAGTGAGGCCAAGGTGGCCGCCTGCCACTCGGCGGGACCAGAGTCTCTCCAGCCGCTAACGGAAGCTGTCTCTGTAGAAACAGTTAGGCTCTTAGAAGGTTGTCACATGTGTTGAGCTGGACTGGGTGCTGTTTATTTTTAAATTTAGGATTTGCCTTTTACATGTTTGTCAAGGCGATTTACAAACATAGTTAAAAATAGTTTTAAAAACAGTACAACAACTCCTCCCCAGAAACAGTCACAGAGAGGTTTGAAAACACCACTATTGTTATTGCTTTTGAGTCTTGGCCCTTGAAAATGTAAGTAAGCAGCCCATTCTGAAGCTGGTCTTGGGAAGACCAAGGCAAAAGAGAACCAAAGTAGTCCAAATTTATCTTCTGTACCATGAAAATAAATAAAAACAGTATTTTAAAAGCGAGAGAGGGAGAAGCAAAGGACTTTCCGTCCTAGTGGCTGCTGCGTTTTGGGGGGAATTCGGAGGTGTCCTCTGCCTCTCGGCTTTCTCAGGGCACAGGCAGGATTCTGCTTTCCCGCGTGATGGAGCTGCAGATCCCTGGGACTGTGCACTGCTGAGAGCTGCTTCTGGAGGACCCCAAAGGGACAAACTCTGGTCCTCTGACTCAGGTGGCCGCCTGCCTCTTTCCACCAACCTGACCCAGGAGCTGCCCTCCAGTTGGGTTCAGACTCCCAATTCTCCTTCCCCGCCCAAGGCAGGGCTGTGCAGGATTTCTTGAGTTGTGGGGCTCAGCTGCCCCACCATCTCCCCCACAGCTGCCGTCCATGTCAGCTTGCAAGGGGAACCCTAACAGCTTGCCCTAGAAGGGCAAGCAAGACCAGGAAGAGTCAATTTCTTTGTGAATTAAGCCTTCAGGCGTGAAGAGTCTCCGCTGTACCTGCCGTCACCAGAAGGGAGACTGGTGCCCCATATGCTGCCGCTCACTTTCCACTTCATGGCAGACTGTCGTATTTTGGGGTGAGGGGGGCCGGCCTGGGAGAGGTGCCCCATCTTGCTGCCCTTGTTGAGCAAGGTGCCTCTTTTCTGCCAGGACTTCGCCAGCGATGACCCTATGCTAGAGTACAATGTGGATGCCGCCAGTGGCATCGTCATGGAAGGCTACCTCTTCAAGCGAGCCAGCAACGCCTTCAAGACCTGGAACAGGTACCCGGCTTCCACTTTGGCCTCCTCCTCTTCCTGCTGCTACCACTGTCTGTGGCCTGGGCTGGGCTTTGCTGTGTGCTCCCCCAATACAGGCTGCTCTCTTCCCCTTCCCACTTGTGGCTCTCTGGCCTCTGGGGCAGATGCATCACCTTCTGTCGCCTCCCCTCCCCTCCCCACAGGACTAATCCCTTTAACAGCACATGGAGGGGGTCACAAATTTGCACCCCTAGTTTTGCTGTCAGTGAGCTTCTCTCCGCTGGGATTTTTTGATCATCATGAATTTTTCTGCCCAAATCCCCTGTTAACCATCATCAATGGGGAAAGGTGGGCCTGGAATGGTGGGTATGTGGGGTGCAGGCTCCCTAGGAGGGTCAGGGTGAGTTCACAGCTCCCGGCGGGGGGGTCTGCTGCACTTTATTGCCTGCCACTTTTCAGTGGGAGCGTGGCATTACCTGCCAAAATCAGATGGAGGCGCTGTGTGTGCCTGTCGGCTTGGAAGCTGCCCCTTGAGGCCATGCCGCCCTCACCCGCCCTGCTGGCTGCCTTGCGTTGCCCTTTGACCCTCAGCTCAGAAATAAGGAGAAGAGAGGCGGTGGGGGCTGTTCTTTCCCCCCATGAGATCTTCTGCAGCTTGCTATTTCCAAATGGGACCATGCTCTTTCCCTGCCTGCCTGCCCCAGTCCATACTGCCTCTTGGATGGGCACTGACTTCCCTGAGCCAAAGGAGCGTGCAGGACCCTCATGGAGGCCTCGCCTGCTGCCAGGTGCCAGCAGCAGCGTCTCCCGGCGTGTCCTGCCCCTGGGTCATGTTTCCTTCCTTGCCATGCAAGCAGCAGGGGAGTGTCTGCCCAAATCCTTGCCTGGTGGGGATTTTAGTAAAGGAATGAATTGAACTCTTTTCCCTATTGGGGTCTGGGTCAACCCTTTGCCAGGCTGGCAGTGAGCTTAAAAGTCCAGATCGGGCCTTGTTGGGAAAGAAGCCAGACTTGGGCCTTGTTCTGTGCTTGGTGTGTCCCTTCAAAGGGTCAAGCAGGGGCTGTTTCTGAGCTCTGGCCTGGCAAGTGGAGGGCTCTCCGTGGTGAAGGAGTGGCTCTTGCCTTGCCCATTGCGTCCTTTGCAAGATTTCCAACCTGCCCTTTGCCACGAGGTTCCAGGAATATCTGCACCTTCGGGAAGCATGGGTGTCTGAGCCCTTTGAGGTGTGCGTAGTGGCTTCGCTCCTGGGGGGCAGGAGGGTCTACCGGGGAGAGGGCTGCCTTGAGGATGGAAGGCTCTCTCCAGAGATGCCTGCCTGGCACCTGCCTTGTCCTCCCGGTGCTAGCCAAAGAGCAGCTGAGGCAAAATCCCAAGTCTCTTGGTCTGGCATCATCTGGCTCATCAGATCTTCCTTTCTTTCTAAGACTTTGTTTATTATTGTTCTGCTTTGTGTTTAGCTCTGTTTTAATTGTGTTTTCCTTTTACATAAGCTGCCCCTGGGATTCCTGTTGAAGAGGAGGGGGTGTCTAGAGGTTTCTTTAGTTGCAGAGAGTTCCCGCATTTTCTTTCCTGTGTGTGTCTTGGAGGGCTCCAGGTTGCAGCAGCTCCCTAGCCGCTCCCTGGGGTTCCTTGGCTGCCATAAGATGGCAACAAGAAAGAGAGAGAGGCCCTGCGGCTTAGCCCTCCCTACCTGGGTCAGCTGAAATGGGATGCCTTTGCTTCCTCTTCTGCTCTGCTCTCTGCTTAATTGTTTGCGGGGGGCTTTGTTTCTTTTTAACATGTTCATTTCTTCACCTCCTTTCCCCCACCTAACCCTCCCCATTTTCTCCACCTGACAGGAAAAAGCCCGATGGCATCAGGTACCAGCCAGATTCCGGCATCCTCTCCCTCCCCTCCTTCCTCTTCCTCTTTGGCCCAGCATGCAAGCTCTGAATCTAACCCTTAACCCTTTTCGCTCCAACAACTTGCAATGGATGGCAAACCACGTGTCTCCGTCCCCCTCGGGAGTAACGGCCCCTCCTGCTGCTGCTCCATGGCTGAAGCAGGTTTGGTGGTTTAGGATCCCCCCCCGCCCCGGTGTATGAGGGCTGCCCTTTTCTGTGATACAAGAGGGGGCTGGCATTTGGTAGCTGCAGTGGGTCAGAATGCTGTAGGCTCCGCCTCTGAGGAGGGGCTTCTCTGGAACCAGCGGAAAGCTGGCTGGGATCTCCAGGGACCCTGAAGTATTTTCCAGCTCCACAGCCGGCGTTGTGCCCTTTTCCGTCTTGGCTGCTGCCCCCCCCCCCCAGCAGTGCAGGATAACTTTCCCACTTCCTTCTCACTGCTCAGATCCAAGAGGCGCAGCCCTGGGGTTAGAGTGGAGCTCCGGGATCTCTGGCTTGCCACAAGGGGCTCAGTTCCTGCTTGCTCTTCCCAGAAGAAAGGTTTCCCTCTGAGGCTGAGTGAGCTTCTGGCCAATGGCAATGTAATGGGGGGTCTGGGGAGGGAGAGGCTGCAGTGATGTCTCAAGGTCTCCCAGCTGCAGCTCCTGCTGCACCTCCTTTCCCCTCTCCCCCCCCCCCCGGCCCTTGCAGCTGCTGACCCAGCTCTCCTGGCCACAGCGGAGGGGTGGAGGTAGACACCCATTTGAGGGGCAACCCAAACATGGAGTTAGTTGGGCTGCAGCCTCTGGACCAACCCCAAGGGGAGCCCCACCTCTAGCACATTGCAGCAATCCAGCCATGAGGCTCCCCACGCATGGACAGCTCTGGTCTAGCTATTTGGATGTGGGTCCCAGCACTGGATGAAGAGCAGTCACGGCCATCTTTGCAGCACAGCAGCATCATGCGATGCTCATTCCCCAACAGATACATACTCACACTCTCTCTCTTCAAGACTGACCAGGGTCTGGTGACTTCCCAGCAAAACAAGGGGGGCAGGCAGTTCTGCTACAAACAAAGCTAGAGTCCCACCCCCTCTTGGCTGGAGGGTCCCTCTCCTGACCGGCCCCATAAGGAGGAAGCCTGCAGGCCTGCCCACCTGCCCCCCCCCCCCATGTTTCCTGGCTGCCGTTCTGCGTTTTGCCCCATTGCACATTGTCGCCCCCCCTTGCCTTCGCCCCTAGGCATGGAGGACCTGCCTTCTTCTTTTCTGTCTGCCTGGACTAGATGCTTGATCTTACTACTTTCTCCTCCAAACAGCAAACGTCTTGGTGTGTTTTGAAACACAGCCATCTTAAATCTGGGCTGATGATTAACCTTGTGTAGGCCTAATGTCTGGAGTGTTGCTTTGGAATAATGAAGTGTGTTAAGATACAGTGGAACATGGTGGAGAGTCTCGCGCTGAGCCTCCGGGGACCACGCGGCCTTCGCTTGCTCTCCTCTGGGGCGTTGTCAGGGCTCGATCTTGTTTAGGCGAGAGCCGCCTCTGGATTGTGGAGCGGAGGTGCAGCATTGACCAGAACTGACCGTCTCAAAACCTGCAACTCTCACCGTTATTGTTTGCCAGACAGTGCAAGGATCTCCCCAGCTTCAGGAAGCGATGCTGTAGGGGTCGCCTGCCATCTCTGTAGGGCAGACCTAGAGGCCCTTTCTGCTCTGGTGCTTCAGAGGCTAGGTGGGGGCAGGCTTAGGGGGTCATCTTGGTCTTTTTCCTGTTTTTTCTTTTATTTATTGCATTTCTATCCCTCCCTTTTCTCCATGGAGCTCAAGGTGACATAGACAGGCCTCCTCCTCCTCCAACTTGGAACAAGTGGGAGTCAGACATCCAAATCCCCCCAGGAGCTTCTCTTTCACCCGGCTTTGGCTCTGCCCCATGGCGGCCATGCCCAGAGCCCCAGAGCCCTGGCCTGAGCTGGGCACTCTCTCCCTCCTTCCCTGTGCCTATGAAGAGCAGGTGAGGCACTTTCAATGCGCAAAACACTCTGACCGCTCCTGTGGCGTTTGTCCCGCCAGCCACCATAGGCAGAAGGCTCTGCTAAGGCTAGTGGTGATTTGCTGAAGCCCCCCCCCCCCCGAGCCAGGCCCCGTGCTCTCTGCGTTGGTGGACTGGGGTGCTGCTGCCGGGGAGGGTTGCAGCTGCTGTGTGCCCAGGTCCTCTCTCTTCCTGGCTCCCCGGTTCCTGCTGCCAGGAGAGGGCTGTTGATTTTGCTCCCTTCGCTTGTGCAGGCGCTGGTTCTCCATCCAGAACAATCAGCTGGTCTACCAGAAGAAATTTAAGGTGAGTCCTGGGGAAGCATGCCTGGGGAGGGGGGCAGAAGCCCAGGGGAACAAAGTGGGGGACAGAAATGTCTGGGGCTTTGATGGCCCAGGTGTGAGATGTGGCTGGAGATCCTTTGGGCTCAGCAGGCAGGAGGGGCCCCAAAGGGGGGGTTCTGACCCCCATGCCTTGGGGACTGATTTCTTTGGGCGCACCCAAGGAGAGCTGGGATGCCTTAAGTCTTAAGAGACCCTCAGGCAGCCTTCATCCGTGGGGTGCCCTCTGGGCGCTGCCATCCTCCTCCTCCCATCGCAGGAGCAGAGGAAGCTGCCTTAGGCCAGTGGCCGGACTTGGTGTATCTGGCTGAGCCTGCCCACACTGACTGGCAGCAGCGTCTCTCCAGGCTTTCTGGCAGGGAGTTTCTTGCAGCCCCACTGGGGACTGAGTGTGGGCCCCATGGAGCTGCCGGGGCCCTTCTCTCATTTCTGTCCAGAGGTGTTCCTGGCTGAGCTTCCCTCAGGCTTGGCTGGAGGCCCACGTCCTCTTCCTTTCTCCCCAGGATAACCCCACGGTGGTGGTGGAAGACCTTCGGCTCTGCACAGTCAAGCACTGCGAAGACATTGAGAGGCGCTTCTGCTTTGAGGTCGTCTCCCCAACCAAGTAAGGGGGCCTTGGAAGGCGATGGGAGAGGCGGGGGCCCCTTCGGATGATGAAGCCAGAGAGGGAGAGAATAGCCGAGGGTGGGGTGGCTCTGGGGGCAGAAGGGCCAATGCGGGGGGAGAAGCAAGGGGGGAGAGGACAGATAAGTCAACCGTCGTCATCTAGGCTCATCGTCAATCACTCTTCTAACTTTTGGTGGGAAGGTTCAGTGAATAGTTGCCAAAGTAGTGAAATAAAATATATTCTAAAAGTTAGCTGATAACTCATATTAAAGTAAGATGCCATGTCAGTTTTTTTGTTTCAACATGTGTTTAAAATAGAAATTGGGCCCAAATTTGGTTTATTTTAACTATTTGACACACACCCAAATATGGGCAAAGGGGCAGAAGCTGCCTTTCCTCCTCCTCTTGTCACTTGGCAGGCGGTTTTGCTTTCTTGGGGGGTTTTGCAGGCCTATCTCGGCTCACCTGGCCCAGCTTCCTGCTGCCCCCAAGCTGTGAGCGAGGGGGAAGGCGGCAGCTCAGGGGCAGAGCATCAGCCTTGCTTGCAGGAGGTCAGTCCCCAGGCTGGACTGAGGTCCCCTGAGCTGCCTCTCCTTGTTCCTGAGGCTCAGCTCTGGGCTGGCTGTGCCAGGGGGCCTTGGCAGAGGCTCAGGCGGTGGAGATGGGCAGGAGAGGTGTTGGTCCGTGTGGACTTGCCCTGCCATCTGGAGGCTCCTTCACCAGTCTTTGCTTGGGGACTCTGGAGCAGCTTCTTGGGGCCCTCACGGACACAGACCCACGTGGCTGTCCATGCATGAGGGTCCTGGTTGCCCATCCAGGGCGCTTGATGGGTGGTCGGGGCTTGCAGGCACGGTTGGTGCGAGGCAAACTGGCTCTAGGCGTGCTCAGCACCCACCTACCTGTCTTTCTTTCTTTCTTTCTATATTTATTTATTTATTTCTCTCCCTCCCTCCCTTTCTCTCTTCTCTCGTCTCTGTCTGTCTCTTGCAGGAGCTGCATCCTTCAGGCAGACTCGGAGAAGCTGCGGCAAGCGTGGATTAAGGCGGTGCAGGCCAGCATTGCCACGGCCTACAGGGAGAAAGGGGACAGCACAGAGGCAAGTGGGAGAGGAGCCCTTTCTCCACCAGCGCAAGGGGCAGGGCAGCCTTGCGAAGAGAAGAGCATCACAAAGGGCTCTCTAGGTGGCACAGCCTCCTGCTCTCCCTGCAGTGAAGCACACGAGGACTTAAGCTCCTTTTAGTGGATTCCCTTCGGGGCCCAGAGGAGGGGCCCTCCCTGCAGCTGCAGAAGAGGAGCTAGGGGGAAGGAAGGCCTTCAGTGGCTGCTGCCTGTGTGGGGCAGATAGTGGGGGGCTTTGCCTTTTTGCCTTCTGCAGTCTGGGCTGCAGGCACAGGCGCCCAGAGAGCTGCCCAGGGGAGCCCAGCTGCAGGAGGAGGAGGAGGAGGCAGTCCTTGACGTCTCGGCTGTGGCGACTTTGCAGATTGGCGGCTGTCACACGAGTCCCTCTTTCTGCTTTTCTCCAGGTGGAGGGGAAGCCGTCCCCTTCCAGGGGGAGCCCGGAAACGGGTGCAGAACCCAAAGAGAAGCTGCTGAAAGGAGAGAGCTCTCTCCAGAGGGTGCAGAGCATTCCCGGCAACGCTGTCTGCTGCGACTGCGGCCTGGCAGACCCCCGGTGGGCCAGCATCAACCTGGGCATCACGCTGTGCATCGAGTGCTCTGGCATCCACAGGTGGGCAGGCCGGCCAGGCTGGGCAGCTCAAGCCCCACACCAGGGAGGGAGGGAGGGAGGGAGGGGACACTGCCCGATTTCAGGCTCATTCTCCCTTTTTCCCTCTGCTCAGGAGCCTGGGTGTCCACTTCTCCAAAGTCCGCTCCTTGACGCTTGACTCCTGGGAGCCAGAACTGCTCAAGGTATTTGCCCAGCAGGTTGGGGCAGAAGAGAGCTGCGAGGAAGCCCTCCTCCTCCTCCTGCCCTTTGGGACCTGGGGGCAGCCCCTGGGGCCACATGGGCCTGGGAAGGGAAGAGAAGGCCCTCCTTCGAGGGCTCAGGGGCTGTCTCCGGGGGCAGGGGGGAGAGACCATCCTGCGCAGGGTCCTACGGGTGGCAGGGAACATAATATTCACCTGTAAAAAATTATACCAGGCAGGGTAACATTTGCATACTTCAGAGTTGAAATTGTGCTGTTGACATGAAATGCAATTGGTCTTTTTTCTTTAAATACTTAGGAATTGGTTGAACAATTTATTTCGTAAAAATTCACTGCTTGATTGCAGGAAAAAATCCTCAAAGTGGAATCCTTGGTGTTTGGGCTTTTTCGGCTGTGGCTCCAATCTGGTGGGACACTCTGTCACAAGAGACTAGGGCCCTGCAGGACCTGACATCTTTCCACAGTGCCTGCAAGACAGAGTTGTTCCACCAGGCCTTTGGTTAGGGCGCAGCCTGACTCCCTCCTCTGGCAACCTGCACAGAATTTTGCTTAACGGTTGCCATCAATTTGATTTTAATTAATTTTTATAATTGAAATGTTTTTAGAATGTTGGATTATTTGATTGTTTGATTATTTGATTGTTGTTAGCCGCCCTGAGCCCGGCTTCGGCTGGGGAGGGCGGGATATAAAAAAAAATTATTATTATTATTATTGTTTGCATTAAGCCACTGCCATTTTGGGGGTAGCACAGAAGACTTTATAAGACCTGTAAGGCAGACCAGGCCTTTCTGGTACAGAATTGCCTGTGCCCATTGCAGTCAGTGGCCTTGAGGGCATAAAGGGGCTTCCGGTTTCAGTGAGCCCCCCTCCCCCCTGTGTCTGGTCTTCTCTATCCAGCCAATGGGAAGGAGGCAGGCTGTGCCCACGGCGGCTGACGGATGCTACCCCCCCCCCCCAGAACCCGGGATGCTTTCTGCCTGACCAATGAGGTGCCATTTAAGAGCAAAGGTGACCCTGGGCTGGTGCTGCCCTTCCTTTCAACTCTCCCTTCCTTTCGCTTGCAGCTGATGTGTGAATTGGGAAATGAGGTCATCAACAGGGTATATGAAGCAAACGTGGAGAAGACAGGCGTCAAGAAGCCTCAGCCTGGAAGCCAGAGGTAGGCGGAGGGATCGTAGGATGGTAGAGTTGGAAGAGACCACGAGGGGCATCCAGTCCAAGCCCTTGCCCAACATGGGGCTGGAACCCAAATTTAGATGTGGATTTTTAGCATATTTTTCAAAAACAACAACACACACATATCTAAATACCTCCAGGTATAGGGTGGCATATAAATTCAGCTAATAATAATATTAATAATAAATCCCCTTTGTTGTAAAATATGCATTTTAAAACATGTTTTGTTATCTTTTGAGGGCCCAAGTACTTGGTGCAATGCAAAATTCAGTGCAGTGCAAAATCTGAGGGAGGAACTTCATTCCGACCCCCGTTCTTATTCTGAGAGATGCAAGATTGATTTGTTTGGGGATTTGCAAGCTCCCTGAGCCCCTGCAAGGCAGGCCAGGAGGCGCCGCAGAACACAGCCCCCCCCCCCGCCCCCCCCCCGGAGACACACAGCCCTGTGTTCTCATCTGGCCTCTTCCCCTTGCGCAGGCAGGAGAGGGAGGAGTACATCCGCGCCAAGTACGTGGAGAAGAGGTTTGTGGAGAGGTGTCCTGCTGCCTCCGGAGGGAAGCCTCGCCCTCGGAGCCAGGGGCCTCAAAGGCACAGCGGCAGCCCGGAGGGGAGAGCCGAGGAAGAGGAGGCCCCCCCAACAGCCAAGGAGCAAATGGCGGCAGCTCTGAGAGGTAGGGGCCCCTTCCGCCGAAGTGCCACGAGAGGCTCTGTGTGGAGGAGCCAGAACTCTCCTCCTTTCTCTGCCCCCCTCTTCTGACTTCCATCCCTCCAGGAAATAAGAAACAGAGTCCGGATCATGTGGACGTTCTGCCTTCTCAAGGAAAGGGAGCGTTTGCTCTTGAGCGGCCTCCCGAGGGAGGCGGGCACTGCCCAGGCAGCTTGAGAGGGAGGCAGTGGGAAGCCTTGCTGGGGGGCAGGCCTCGCTCTGGGGTGGAAGGGGAGCACGGGCTCCTAGCCCAGTAGAGAGCCAGTGTGGTGTAGTGGTTAAGAGCGATGGACTTGTAATCTGGGGAATTGGGTTCGCGTCTCCGCTCCTCCACATGCAGCTACTGGGTGACCTTGGGCCAGTCACACTTCTCTGAAGTCTCTCAGCCCCACTTACCTCACAGAGTGTTTGTTGTGGGGGAGGAAGGGAAAGGAGAATGTGAGCCGCTTTGAGACTCCTTAGGGTAGTGATAAAGCGGGATATCAAATCCAAACTCCTAGCAGTGGGGGGGGAGCCTTGTGAAGACCCAGGTGGGTGCAACATGGTAAAGTGTGGTGGGCAAGGGGCTTCAGGTGGGCTCTGCCACTGCTGCGGAAAGGACCAGTGGGGCGAATGTGGGGAGAGATGAACAAGGGGCAGTCAGGAATTCTCCTAGGTTTGCGCAAGGCTGGATGAAGTGCAGAGAGGTCCTGTTTCCTGCAGAAGCTCCCTGGGTGTCATTCTGGGAGGGCTGTTGTGCCTCTGCTGCCCACCCTGTACTAACTGGCTGCTTCTCCTCCCTCTCCTCCTCCTCCTCTTCCTCCTCCTCCTTTCCTTCCTTCCTTCTTTCCTTCCTCCTGCCTGCTGGGCTCTGCTTTGCTAACTTGCATGCCCCCAGGGGTTGGTGTCAGTAGCGACGAGGTGAGGCGGGAATCCCTGTTCTGCCCCGATGAGCTAGATTCACTCTTCTCCTACTTTGATACTGCCTCAAAGCTGCGGAGTAGTAAGTACCTCCCTCTCTTTCTCCCTCTCCCTCCCTCTCTCTTTCTCCCTCTCCCTCTCTCTCCCTCTCTTTCTCTCCTTCCCTCTGAGCTGTCCTTGTGCCTCCTTCTCACCTGCCCAGTGTCCTGCTTGGCGCTTCCCTTTGCCTGTCCTTCACCTGCTTGTTGTGTACACCTTGGAAGGGAACCGGAGAATAGATGAGCCTGCAGGATCAGGCCAGTGGCCCCTCGGGTCCAGCATCCTCTTCTCACAGGGGCCAACCAGCAGTCTGTGGGAAACCAGCAAGCAGGATCTGAGTGCAAAAGCAGCCCCCTCCCTGCAGAATCCAGAAGCATCTCTGCCTCTAGCTGTGGAAGCAGAGCTGAGCCCCTCTGGCTAGGAACCCTTGCTAGCCCTCCTCCTCCTCTTTTAAAGCCATCTAGATGGGTTACTGCCTCCTGTGGCAGGGAGTTCCACAGTTCCACTATGTTCTGCGTGGAAAAGGGCTTACTTTTCTCTATCCTGAATCTTCCAAGATTCTTCTTCTCATTGATTGCCCACAATCTCTGTTACGAGAGAGGAAGGAATTTTTTTCTCCATTCTCTCTCATGCAGTGCATAATTCTACAAACTTCCATCATTTCCCCCCTTACTCACCCTTTCTCTAAACTGGAAAGTGCTGCAACCATTCTTCACAGGGGAGTCCTGCCACCCCCTTCCTTGTTTTGGCTGCCCTTTTCTGAAGGGGAGACTGAGCCTGAGAGCCGTGGGGCTTCTGGGACGGTGTTTGCTTTTCCACCCGGTGTTTGGGAGGCGAGACCCCGCTGGGGTGCTTGTGCCATGCTGCTGTGTGGGCGTCTCACGGCCGTGCTGCTTCTTCCCACAGTGCGCAGCAACGACAGCGGCTTCCAGCACAGCAGGGAGCAGCTGGCCTCCGCCGTCTCAGCCAGCACCTTGTATGAGCCAGGTGGGTTTTGCGGGCGGAACGCCAATCTGGGCAGCCTGGCATGGCCAAACCGTTGTCTCTCCCATCCCCGCTGTGTCCCAAAGGTCTTGTTCCCTGTCCGCCACCTCCAGTCCTGACCCCAGGGGTGTACAATCAGAGAAGTGTAGAGTTGCCACCACGAGGGTCACCCAGTCCAACCCCCTGCAATGCCAGGATCAAAGGAGCATGGGGAACTGACGTTATTTGCCTGTTTTTTGCCCTTCTGTTTGCCCTTTTCGAGCTCTTCACAATCTCTCCGTTTCAACCGCCCTGAACAATTTAGCCTCACCCGCAAACTTGGCCCCCTGCCTGCTCACCCCGACTCTAGATCCTTTATGAACAATTTAGAATAAGCCCAGGTCCCAGTCCCGATCCTTGGGGACTCCGCTTTCTCCCTTTGGAGAACTGTCTGTGGATTCCTCCCCTCTGCTTCCTGAAACTCAACCCACGAGAGGACCTCTCCTCCTCCTCTTCTTCTTCGTCTGCTAAGCTTCCTGGGGAGTCTTGGGTGAGGTGCTTTGTCCAAAGCCTTTTGAAAGTCCACCGGATCTCCCCTCTCTGTGAAGGGTGTTTGGGGAGTCACACCACCTCCTCCTCCCCCTTTCCAGAGGCTGAAAGGCCTGAGGCTGCTGCTTCCGCATCCCAAGACGCCCGTCCAGATGTTCCGGGGCTGCAGCTGTACTTGGCCTCCTTCCAAAAGAGCCTTCCTGGCATGGCCGAGGCGCTGGCGCACGGGGCGGACGTCAACTGGGTCAATGCCGCAGAGGGCAGGTCCACGCCGCTGATCCAGGCCGTCCTGGGGGTGAGCCTTGCTTTCTTCCGGCCCCATAGTGCCAGGCGGAGGTGGAGAGCCAGGGGGTGGGTCTGAGGCCTTCTTTGGGCTCCCAGCTCAGCTGTGGTCTTCTCCGCAGGGCTCCTTGGTCACTTGTGAATTCCTGCTCCAGAACGGGGCCAACGTGAACCTCCGGGACGCCAAGGGCAGGGGCCCCCTCCACCATGCCACCGTCTTGGGGCACACCGGGTAGGTCCGCTTCCCGTTGCCCTTCTTGGTGGGGGTGGGGAGGAAGGGCCTTGAGAAGCCTCTGCATGGTGCTCATTTTGAAGGGGCCTTTTCTGTGGGGGCTCCCCATCCGTTTGTGGGATGCTCCCCCAGGGAGGCTCACCAGGCGCCTTCGCTGCATCTCTTTAGGCAAAAACGTTCTTTTTCTCCCAAGCCTTTGGCTGATTAAACAATCTGCATTTTAAACTCAGGGCAAGGCCTTATTTTTGTTTGTTTGTTACTATGTTGTGTCTTTATATTGTAAACCGCCCTGTGATCCTTGGATGAAGGGCAGTGTAGAAATTTAATGAACAATGGCAATTAATGAATTAGCAGAGTAAGGGGGGGTGGCCGGGCCTGGAGGAGAGCAAGGGGGGCCCTGCTTTGTGGGAGGAGAGGCGGCAGGCATGCAGCTGCTGGGTGACCTTGGGCCAGTCACACTTCCCTGAAGTCTCTCAGCCCCACTCACCTCACAGAGGGAGGGAGGGAAAGGAGATTGTGAGCTGCTTTGAGACTCCTTAGGGTAGTGATAAAACGGGATATCAAATCCAAACTCCTCCTCCTCCTCTTCTTTGCAGGCAGGTGTGTTTGTTCCTGAAACGGGGCGCCAACCAACATGCCACGGACGAGGAAGGGAAGGACCCCCTGAGTGTGGCCATTGAAGCTGCCAACGCGGATATAGTGACGCTGTGAGTAAGGCTGGGCCCCTCCACCCCCAGTTGGCACCCCAGGGGCAGAGCTGCCCTGTCAGACCACAGAGCCCGTCAGCTCAGAGTGGGGCACAGTGGCCGGGGGGGGGGGGGTCGGAGTGGGGATGGAAGAGCTCAGAGGGGCTGCCTCCCGGGCGGGTGGTGGGTGCTGCAAGACCACCCACTTCCGGTTGCGCCCCACCTCACCCTGTGCCCTCTTCCCTCTCCTCCTCACAGGCTGCGCTTAGCCAGGATGAACGAGGAGATGCGGGAATCCGAGGGCCTCTACGGCCAGCCAGGTCAACCTTCCAGTAACCCCACTGAGATGCAATACCGGAAGTGCATCCAGGAGTTCATTAGCCTGCAGCTGGATGAGGCCTGAGCGGAGCCCTTGCTGGTCTGGTGGGAGGGGCTGCCCGCCCCCCGGCACTCTGCGGCACCCAGAGCAGAGCTGGGAACGGCCCCTGCCTCTCTCCCCAGAAGGACCCTGAGTGGGCAGCCACCTCCTGCTCCAGCCGCATCTCCGCTTCCCTCCCCCACGGGGCGCCAAGGCCCACAAAGCCCCTTTTGGCACAGCCCTGTCCAGAGAAATGCGGGGGGGGCACGGTTTGGCCACACTGCAAAGCCAGCCTCCCCCTGCTTCATAATTGCACCGGAGAGTTGAGGGGATGGGCTGCGAAAGCCCCGTCCAGCCAGTATATTTCATGGAGGGGGGGCATTGGCTACTGTATGTGCTCTTCAGAGAATTGAGGGAGGGTGGAGAGATGGCAGCAGCCTGGGCAGGATCAGGCCCGTTGCCAGGAGGAATCAGGTCAGAGCGTTTCAGGAACCTGGGCCAAGAAAAGTCAAAATTGCGTCCCTGCCTAATTCTGCCTCCAAGTCCGCCTGCCTCTGCCTCCCTTGCGCTGCTTTTGCTGGCTGGGGTGGGGGGACCCCCCTGCCCCTCTCCCCATCCCTCGAGCTTGGGACCTTTACCCGGGGGCTGCCGGGAGCCTTTGGCCCTGGGCATTGGGGTTGACCCGGGGGCGAGGAGCTGACAATCAAAAGCAAGGGAGGGCTGCAGTTGCTCAGGGAGCTCAGAGCTGCCCTTCCAGGGCCTGGCAGGAGCAGGAGAAGTGGGATTTCCCTTCGCTCTTGCAAAGGTAGATGATGACAAGTAGCCCAGGAGGGCAGAAATGGAGTTCCCCACCAGAGGCCCACTTCTCTCGGGGGCCACTGCAAGAGCGCAGGGCTGGGCTGCCCCGAAACAGCGGGAAGCCAGCCTGGCCGTCCAAGCCCCCTGCCCTGGCGGAGTCCGGGCTCTGCCCTCCTCCCTGAAGAGGGGGCTCTGGCAGCTGTCCCTCTGCTCCCCTCCCTGGGGGCTCCTTCCTGGCCTGGCGAGTGCTGGTGCCCCCCGTTTTCCTCTCCCCTCCTGGCCAAGCCTCGCTGGCAGATCCACAGTCCCTGGGAGCAGGGGCCCGGGGGGGGGGCACAGAGGGTGCCCTCCCAGGGGTGGGATAGCCGCTTTGGTGCACAGAGCGGCGCCCGCACCCTACAGCTGGGGGCGGAGCGAGCTGCAAATGGCAGATATTTGGCGCACCGCCCGCCTATGACTGCCAAATGTCACCCCCCTTAGCGAAGACACCTGGGGCGTTCCGCCCCCACTGCACCCGCTTCTCTCCCTGGTTGGTGCCTTTTCAGTTGGGTTTGGGGCTGGAGAGCAGCGAGTCATTTTGCACTATTAATGCACACAGGTCCTTTGAATGTGTCTGGCTACTGATCCTCGAATGCAGCACAGTGTGAAATTCAAGGGCACTTTATGTTTCCTCTGTGTTCATACGGGAGTTTCTGTTTCTTGAGTGGCCAAAACTTGAACCCAAAGAGAATGTCCCCCGAAACAGCTTCTGCTGGGCAGCTGAGCTTTACCCATCCAGGAGCAGCAGCACCCTGTCTGTCTCAGAGACGCTGCTCCTTGAATGTTACCAAAGAGCACCCAGGGGTGCCTTTGGAGGGGCAAGTCTTGCCAATGAGGCCTGGGCCCCTGGGAGGTCTTTCCCAGGCCCACTTCAGACCACGTAGCACAAATGCCCAGCAGCAGCTCCTGTTTTCCTTGGCGGAAACTGGCAAAGGGGGTGCCCTGGGCGCCCAGTCCCCAGAGAAGCTGCTGCTGGCCCTCCTGGGCCCCCCTGGCTTGCGCCTGCCCCCCCGACTCTCCTGGGGCCGACTTGAATGTACTGCCAGCCAGCTCTGGCCCCAGTTGCAGTCAAGGCAATTTCAGGGCAGGCCAGGAAGTAGAAAGGGCTGGGCACTCCCCGCCAAAGCCGGCGGCCAGAAGAGACTGCTCCACCCCACGCACAAGAATCCCAGGTCTTCCCGGACTCCTGCTGGTGGCGCTACCTCCACTCCCCATTCCCTTGCTCAGCGCTTGGGGTCAATTTTGGGGTGCTTCTCTTGCCTGGGTTTGTGGGAAGCTGCTTTTTTCTCCCTCCTTCCTTCCTTCCTTCCAGCATCTTTTGTTTCTCTAACGTTGAGCTTCCTCTCTCTGGCTGCCTTTGAGGTTCTCTCCTCAGGTAGAGTCTGACTTTTTCTCAGTTGCTTTTCCAAGGCTTGGGAGCAGATGCAGGGCGGCTTTTCTTGACAGAGAAACGGGACCCGTGAACCCCCTTGTGGGACGGGCATTGCTTTGCCCACCTTGAGCACATTGGGAGTCACAGCCGGGCAGGGGCAGGATTTCCGAAGGCTTGCGGAAGCCCTTCTGGGCTGGAGTATTATGGTCTGGGAGGACCAGAGTCCTAAATAAAAGCACCTTCAAGTGGTGAGGCTCTGGAGGAGACAGGGGAGGCCTCAGCGCCTGGGCCCACTTGGGGGAACCACTTTGCAAGTGAAGTTCGCAGTGCAAGTTTTAGGCAAGCAGCAGGATGCTGGTTCTGGGGGTGTTGGAGTAGCAGGAGATGCTCACGGTGGGAATGCTACCCAGCTGAAGCCTTGGATGCTTTTCTTGGGAGGGGCAGCAGATGGCTGGGCTGCTCTGCCCCCCCCCTTCACTGAAAGCGCAATTCTCCAATGCCATTTCCCCCCTCTTCCTCTTGCAGGAGATGAAACCTACCAGGACATCTTTCGAGACTTCTCACAAATGGCGTCCAATAACCCGGAGAAGCTAAACCGCTTTCATCCGTCAGATGTGCAGAAGCCCTGAAGGCTCCGGGGCTGGGGGGACACCAAGACTAGCCCCCGCCCCCCGCCTCCTCCTTGAAAGCTCACCCCTCCTTTTTATACATAAACGCTGCTTTGAGTAATAGGTGCTGTTTGCAGTTTGTTAGCAGTTGTGTCATCTGGAAAATGCAACCAGAGTGGCTGGGGAGGAAGGGAAGCTGGGTGTCCATATGCTGAGCGGGGGGGGGGGGGGGGCTGCAGGAATCTCTTCCCACCTGGATCTCCCCCACCCCACCCCTTTTTGAGCTGCCTTCCCTCCTTGGGTGGGGCTGCTTGCAGGCAGCAGGGAAGAGCTTGTCTTATTTATGTCCTTCACAAGATTTATGTATCACTTGGCTGAAATGAAACTGCAAAGCAGTTTTCTCTTGTATCTTCCCTGATGGTAACTTTCTTTACCCCCCCCCCCAATCATCTGTGTCCTCAAACTGCCCTTGTAGCCCCCCTCTCCGGGGCAGCATTTCCCAGCCAAGAGCAGCTTGTGGGACCATCTAAGGCTTGCAGCTACTGACCGTGGTACCTCAACATTGGAATGGTGGAGACTCTGGCCAAGTCACTGGGCTCAATCTGCCCCCCAGCATGTTCTAACACCCACTTTTAAAAATGCCTGCCCCAGGAAAACTGGTGGAATATATTAGGTAAAGACTTTATTTTTAAAAAAACCCAGAGGAAAGGTCCTGTTATGGGTCAGGAACTGGTTTTGCAAGAAGAGAAGGGATATGGGGAGTTCTCCAAATGGAGAAAGTGGAGGCCCCCAAGGATCGGGATTGGGACCTGCCTTCTAAATGGTTCCAAAAGGATCTAGAGTCAGGGGTGAGCAGGGAGGGGGGCAAGTTTGCTGGTGATGCTAAATTGTTCAGGGTGGTTGAAAGAGAGATTGTGAAGAGCTGCGAAAGGACTTCTCCAGACGTAGCGAAGGGGCTGCAACATGGCAAGTGCAATTCAGTGAAAACAAGTGTAAAGCGATGCATGTCAGGACACACAAAAATCACATACATGCTCTTGGAGTCTGAACTGGCAGTGACTGACCAGGAACGAGACCTCAGGACCACAGTGGACAACGCTATGAAGATCCCGACCCCGTGTGCAGTGGCTGTGAAACAGGCAAATTCCATGCTAGGGATCATTAGGAAAGGATCTCACAACTGCCCATCTCATAATGCTATTGTTATACAAATTATGGTGTGACCACATTTGAGATGCCAGGTACGGTTCTGGTTGCCTCACCTGAAAAAGGATATTGTAGAGTTGGAAAAGGTTCAGAAAAGAGTAACCAAAATTATCAAGGGGGGGAGTGGAACAACGCCCCATGGAGAAGTGTTGCAGTGTCCGGAACTTTTTTTAGAGAAAGCGGAAAGAGGTTTTTCTTATAAAACTAGAACTCATGAACATCCAATGAACCTGAATATTGGAAGATTCAGGACAGATAACAGACAGTCCTTCCCACAGCACAGAGGCAGTGAGGGCCACCACTGGGTGACTTTAAAGGAGGACAAATCCATGGAGAGCAAGGGGAGAGTGCTCTTGTGCCAGTCGGGTCCCGTCTGTGGGCTTCCCAGGTGGCCGGGATGGAGAGGCGGGGGCTCCACAGCAGCAGCCCAGAACCACCCGTTTTGCCTCTGGGCTGTTGCCCGCACACCCTCCCTGCAGAGCATCTCGGGGCCCGACGGGCTGCCTCCCCCCCCCCCCCGGCGAAGGGGGTCCTGCGGTGGCCGCGGCTCCTGCCCGTTGCCGCCTTGTCTCCTTCCATCTGAGGCTGGCTCGGGCTACGGGGGGGGGGCTGCTTCGCTTGGCAGGGGCCCCGCCAGAGGCCCCCGGGCCAGAGCTCTCCAGGAGGGAAGAGCGCAGCACCCAGGCGGGCCTCCCGCTCTGCAGCTTGACCGGGGCGGCGAGGGGAAACGAGCAGAGGGAGTGTCTGTTGGATCGGGCCAAGCCCCCCCCCCCCCAGCATCCTGCTCTCGCAGCGGCGGCACAGCCGGATCCGAGCGCAAGAGCAGCTAGTAGCCCTCCATCCATCCCTCCATTAATTTTCCCGATCCTCTTTTCAAGGCATCCCGGGGGGGTTAAATGTGCGTTGGGACCCTTCGGAGAAGTCCTGTCTTTGGTCCGCCCTGGATGCTTCCCCGCTCATCGGGATGCTGGCGCTCCCTGCCGCCCTCGCCGCGCCGGCTTTTCCGCCGGGAGCCCCTCTTCCTCCTCCTCCCGCTGCGCTGCCGGGTCCGCCTCTTCTCGTCCTCCTCCTCCTCCGCCTCTTCCGCCGCCGCCGCCGAGCATGGCGCGTCTGGCCGGCTCTCCGGCGTCCCTGCTGCGGCCCCCTCCGTGCGCGCTGGCGGCGGCGGCGGCGCTGGCCGTGCTGTGCGCCCTCTACTACGCGCGCTCGCCCGCCCCGCCCCGCCCCGCGCCGCGCCCCGCCCCGCCCCCGCCGCCGCCCGCCTCCGCCGCCAACCCGGCCGCCGCCGAGTCCGTCGGGGAGAGCAAGGCCAAGGCGGGCGAGGAGCTGCTGGCGGCGGCGGCGGGGGCGGCGGGGGCGGCGGGCGAGGCCGAGCTGCACGTGCTGCTGCTGCTGGCCAAGGCGGAGCGCAACGCGGCGCTGCGATCCAAGGCCGAGGCGGCGCTGCGCTCGCTGGCGCGCTTCGCCAAGCTGGGCCCTCGCCAGACCCTCGTGCTGCACCTGCTCAGCGACGCGCCCAGCCGTCCCGTCGGGAAGGCCGTCCTCCGCGACGCGCTGCGCAGCGCGCAGTTCCAGCACAAGGTGCGCTCCGCCAGCATCCCCAAGACGGGCGCCCCTCCGGCCACCACCTTGCGCGGGCAGCCCTTTCCCCCACGCGCATCCCTCCCCCTGACGGCTGCTTCTCCCGCTTCCCGCAGGTGGTCTTCCACGACGTGGACGTGGTGGCCGAGAAGCTGCTTCCCCTGGTCGAGGCCATGCAGAAGCTCTTCAGCGCCGGCGCCGGAACCTACTATGGCGACTCCCTCTTCTTCCTCTCGCTGGCCATGCACCGGGTCCTGCCCAAAGGTCAGCAGGCAGATGGGCAGCACACACCCCCTTCCACCTGCCCCCTCTCTGCGCCTCCCTGGCATCCTTGGCTCTCCTGCTTTAAGAAGCGCTTGAGCATGCCTGGCGCTTGGGTCCAGGGGGTGAGCTCGGCCAGGGTGGCAGCGCCAGGTGAGATCGCCAAAGTCAGACCCAGTAGACGAGGTGTCCCAGGGCCTGGCCCAGCCACTGGGGCAGAAGGGGCTGTGCCCACAGCCACCGCCTGAGGATGGGGAGGGGGTGGCAGCAGGGGGCCTCTCTCTTGTCACCTAACAAGGAAAGTGTTCCATGCTGCCTCCCCCTACCATTGGCAGCAAAAAACCCTGTCCCAGAATGCACCACAAAGACTCCCTTTCATCTCAGTGCAGCAGGGAGAGGGGAGAAGGTGCAGTATACAGTTACTGAGCCCCCATGACCCACCCCCTGCCCCCTACCTGACTGCCATGTATGGTCTTTGTTCCTTGCCGCTTCCTCTGGGTGGGGGCTGAATGAAGCCTCCCTTGGGGGGTGGAAGCTGTGCCGGGGAGGACCAAGGGAGCAGGGAAGGTGCTTCAGAGGCTTCTCTGGTTCCTGACTCCCCTCTTTGCCCCCCCCACAGAGATTTCGCGGATCATCCAGGTGGACCTTGATGTGGAGTACAGAACCAACATCCGGGAACTCTTTGAAGAGTTTGACAACTTCCCAGAAGGGGCCGTGATTGGCATCGTCCACGAGATGCAGCCCGTCTATCGGTAGGTGCCAGCAGTGGGTGTTCCGGGGGGGGGGTACTTGGGATCCTAGCAGAAGCTGCACATGGGCACAAGGGGGTGCTCAGAGGTGGCTTCCCAGAATCCCCCCCCTACGCTCAGGACAAAAGATTTGAGAAGGGAAGTTGGCCAGAAAATCTGTGGGGAAAGTGAGCTCTTGGGGTGGAGATTGGGGGCCCACAGCGTGAAACTCAACAGGAGTCCCCATCACACTTTTTTTTTGGGGGGGCGGTTGTCAATTTCATTTGCTGCTTACAAACACCTGGTAGGACAAGGGACACATGGAGCAAGGGGGGCAGGCCTTGGGGCGGCACTGCTGCTGTCACATGGAGCCTGGGGAGGAAGGGGGCCAGCTGCGCCCCCCATCTCCTCTGCTGGCTGGGGAGTGGGGCTGCTCTCCAGATGTTTCCTTCCTTTGCTCTTGCCAGCTGTTTGTACGCAGCTCTTGCCAGCAGGGGCCTGGGATGGGGCTGGCCGTGCTCATTCCCCCCGACTTTCCTTCCTGACTTTGTTTGGAAGAGACAGGAGGACTCTTGCCGCCTCGGCTGTCCCTGCAAAGGAGAACTAGACACATTCAGGGCTGTCCGTGACTCCGGCCCCACGGCTTGAGCTCTGCCCTTCACGGTCAGAGGCACAATGCTTCTGAATCCCAGTTGCAGAAACGGCAGGAGGGCAGAGCTGCTCTTGGGTGCGGATCCTGATTGCGAGTTTTCTAATAGAAGCAGAACAGGATGCTGGCCGGGCCGGGCCCCTGGCCTAATCCTGCAGGGCTCTGACTTGCCTTTCCTCTTGTGCAGGCACCTCTTCTGGCAGTACCGCCAGGAGCACCCGGGGACCAAGGTGGGGGAGCCCCCGCCGGACGGCCTCCCCGGCTTCAACAGCGGGGTCCTCCTGCTGAACCTGGAGGCCATGCGCCACTCGGAGCTCTACAACCGCCTGCTGGAGCCGGGTGCCGCCCAGCGCCTGGCGGACCAGTTCCACTTCCGGGGCCACCTGGGCGACCAGGACTTCTTCACGCTGGTGGGCATGGCTCACCCGGAGCTCTTCCACGTCCTTGACTGCACTTGGAACCGGCAGCTCTGCTCCTGGTGGCGTGAGCACGGCTACCGCGACGTCTTTGACCACTACTTCCGCTGCGACGGCCACGTCCGGATCTACCACGGCAACTGCAACACGCCCATCCCCCAGGAGTAGCCCCGGCTGGCCAGGGGGAGTTTGGGGGCGGCACCTGTGCTGTGGTCACGGCAGGGCTCTCGCCGCGTCTCTTCGGGGGTTCCATCAAGTGGAGGCTGCTCCCTTTCCCTTGCACACAACTGGGGTCTACCTGGGAGGAATCCTCATGGGCCTTGCAGGAAGGATGCAGAGCTGAGTGCCTTCTGCCCCCAGCCAGCCATTGTTGCTTTGGGACCCAGACGCTGCAGGGAGAGGGAGGCGAGCCCAAGGCCTCTCTGGAGCTGAGACCTCCTGCTGGACATTTCCCTGGCAGCTCCCTGGGGGACTGTGAACGTTTCCCCCTTGACTGCAGAGCGCGGCCATCCACGTTCCGATCTTGGCTGCAGCACACGTGCCCAGCAAGGCAGCAGGATCGTGGCCCCCGGAGCAAGAACAGCTTCTTGCGGACCAAGCCTGGATTCTGCAGAGATCCACTGGCCCCCAGTGCCCCTAGAGCCCTCTGCCATCCTTTTGGGCTGTGGGGAAAAGGCCCTGCTGCCCTTTGGGCCGAGGGGAGACTGTGGGGCTGGGAGGCCTTGTCCAGGGGGTGATGGTGTGGTTCTTCTTCTGCTGTCGGGCAGTGGGGCAGGGGGTGAGACCCAGAGGGAGAAGGAGAGGGTGCCAGGAGTCTCTTGTCCCTTCTGCAGGAGCAGAATAAAATGCATTCCAACAGGCCCAGCATGTCTCTCCCCTCTGGGGAAAGCGGGGTGGAAGGAGAGGGGTCTGCAGCAGGGAAGCGAAATGGCTTGCTGGAAGTCAGACCAGGCTGCCACCTGACGTGGCTTCCAGGACTCTTGGATCAGGAATGGAAAGCTCTCCAAACTGAGAGAAGTAGAAAGCTAAGTCCCCCAAGGAACAGGATTGGGGCCTGTGCTTCTTAAACTTGTTCATAAAGGATCTTGCCAAACTTGGGTTTCCAGCTGCTTTTGGGCTACAACTCCCATCATCCCCAGCTAGCAGGACCAGTGGACAGGGACGATGGGAATGGTAGCCTGAAAACAGCTGGAGACCCAAGTTTGGGAAACACTGGACTAGAGCCAGGGGTGAGCAGGGAGGGGGCCAAGTTTGCTGGTGACACTAAATTGATCAGGGTGGTTAAAACAAAAAGAGGTTGCAAAGAGCTCCAAAAGGATCTCTCCAGGCGTAGTGAGAGAGCTGCAACATTGGCAAGTGCAATTCAGTGGAAACGAGTGTAAAGTGTTGCAGGTTGGAAAAGGGGGGAAACTACCAAAGAGGAATTCAAACAAATAGCCAGCACGTGTAGACACAAAGTCAGAAAAGCTAAAGCACAGAATGAACTCAGAATGAACTCAGGCTTGCTAGAGAGGTTAAAAGCAACAAAAAAGGCTTTTATGGGTATGTTCGTAGCAAAAGGAAGAACAAAGAAACAGTGGGGTCACTCAGAGGAGAAGATGGTGAAATGCAAACAGGGGACACAGAAAGGGCTGAACTCCTCAATGCCTTCTTTGCCTCAGTCTTCTCCGATAAAGAAAACAATGCCCGACCTGAAGAATTTGGAGCAAATGATTCAGCAAAGGAAACACAGCCCAGAATAACTAAGGAGATAGTACAAGAATACTTGGCTAGTTTAGATGTATTCAAGTCTCCAGTGCCAGATGAACTGCATCCAAGAGTATTAAAAGAACTGGCAGATGTGATCTCAGAACCACTGGCAGTCATCTTTGAGAATTCCTGGAGAACAGGCGAAGTCCTGGCAGACTGGAGGAGGGCAAATGTTGTCCCTATTTTCAAAAAGGGAAAAGAGAGGACCCAAATAATTACCGCCCAGTCAGTCTGACATCAATACCAGGGAAGATTCTGGAGCAGATCATTCAGCAAACAGTCTGTGAGCACCTAGAAAGGAATGCTGTGATCACCAATAGTCAGCATGGATTTCTGAAAAATAAGTCATGTCAGACTAACCTGATCTCGTTTTTTGACAGAATTACAAGCCTGGTAGATGAAGGGAACGCAGTGGATGTAGCCTACCTTGATTTCAGCAAGGCATTTGACAAGGTGCCCCATGATATTCTTGTAAAGAAGTTGGTAAAATGCGGTCTTGACTATGCTACCACTCAGTGGATTTGTAACTGACTGACTGACCGGACCCAAAGGGTGCTCATCAATGGTTCCTCTTCATCCTGGAGAAGAGTGACTAGTGGGGTGCCACAGGGTTCTGTCTTGGGCCCGGTCTTATTCAACATCTTTATCAACGACTTGGATGATGGACTCAAGGGCATCCTGATCAAATTTGCAGATGACACCAAACTGGGAGGGGTGGCGGCTAACACCCCAGAGGACAGGATCACACTTCAAAACGACCTTGACAGATTAGAGAACTGGGCCAAAACAAACAAGATGAATTTTAACAGGGAGAAATGTAAAGTATTGCACTTGGGCAAAAAAAAATGAGAGGCACAAATACAAGATGGGGACACCTAGCTTGAGAGCAGTACATGTGAAAAGGATCTAGGAGTCTTGGTTGACCACAAACTTGACATGAGCCAAGAGTGTGACGCGGCAGCTAAAAAAGCCAATGCAATTCTGGGCTGCATCAATAGGAGTATAGCATTTAGATCAAGGGAAGTAATAGTGCCACTGTATTCTGCTCTGGTCAGACCTCACCTGGAGTACTGTGTCCAGTTCTGGGCACCACAGTTCAAGAAGGACACTGACAAACTGGAGCGTGTCCAGAGGAGGGCAACCAAAATGGTCAAAGGCCTGGAAACGATGCCTTATGAGGAACGGCTAAGGGAGCTGGGCATGTTTAGCCTGGAGAAGAGGAGGTTAAGGGGTGATATGATAGCCATGTTCAAATATATAAAAGGATGTCACCTAGAGGAGGGAGAAAGGTTGTTTTCTGCTGCTCCAGAGAAGCGGACACGGAGCAATGGATCCAAACTACAAGAAAGAAGATTCCACCTAAACATTAGGAAGAACTTCTTGACAGTAAGAGCTGTTCGACAGTGGAATTTGCTGCCAAGGAGTGTGGTGGAGTCTCCTTCTTTGGAGGTCTTTAAGCAGAGGCTTGACAACCATATGTCAGGAGTGCTCTGATGGTGTTTCCTGCTTGGCAGAGGGTTGGACTCGATGGCCCTTGTGGTCTCTTCCAACTCTATGATTCTATGATTCTAGGTTCCCACGGAAAATGTTGATTTCACATACACACTTGTGGGGCCTGAACTGGTGGTGAAGACCAGGAGTGGGTCCTCTGGGTTGTAGCAGAGAGAGAGAAAGCAGTAGAGATGTTGGGCCCATGTGCAACAGCCGTGAAAAAGGCAAATTCCACACTAGGGATCATCAGGAAAGGAATTGAAAACAAAACTACTGACATGCTATTTACAAATCAGTGGTGTGTCTGCATTTGGAATCCTGTGTCCAGTTCTATTCGCCTCACCTCAAAAAGGATATCTTAGAGCAAGAAAAAGTTCAGAAAAAGGCAGCAGAAATGACCAAGGGGACAGAGTGACCATCCTCTGTCCCCATGAGGAAAGGTTGAAAAATTTGAGATCTTTAGAGAAAAGGTGAATAAAAGGAGACATGATAAAAGCGTGACACAGGTTTCCTAGCACAGAGAAAGTAGGTGAAGAAAAGTGTTTCTTTCCATGGTTTCCAGCAACTGGTAGAAGCACTGGTGCCCCCCTGTGGAGTCAGAAGCAGAGCCTTCATCCTTCTAGGAGCCATCAATAGCCCTTCCTCTCCATGAATTTTTCTGATCCTCTTTTAAAGCCTTCTAGGTTGGTAGCCATAGATCAGGGCTTCCTGGGGGTGTGAGTCCCACAATTTAACTCTGCAAAGGAGAGCTTCCTTTCTGTTCTGAATCTTCCAGGATTCGGCTGTTATTTACTTATTTAGCCCTTCACACAAAGGTCCCAGAGCAGGTTAACAGCATCAAAAGAAATCGAAAACAGCTTCCACTTCACCTGGATGCCCATGGATTTTGGTGTCCGAAGAGAGCAGGAGAAAACTTTTCTCCCTCCGCTTTCTACATGCCAGGCATAATTTCATATCCTCCTTTCCGTTTGCCTCTTCCTCTCCTTTTCTCTAAACCTAAAAAGCCCCCAAGCTGAATCCGGACCCTTTCCTCTAGGTCTCGGGACGTCTCTCCATCCCTGGGTCCTTTGCGTTGCCCTACTCAGAACCTCCTCCAGAGGGCGCTGCTCCCGTTCTCACAACCCACGAGGCAAATTCGCCTTTTTAGCCGCCTCTGCAGGGCTGGCGTCTCGGCAGCGTCGGGGAAAGCAGTTGGCACCTCGATGCGGAATACTTGAAGCAGCAGCCTGGGCGCGCTGGCGGGCGAGCTGCTCCGTCCTGGCCGGCTGCAGCCTTGCAGCAGGATCCCCCATTAGCTGGCGTTGGGCTGGTGCAAAAGCGGCCTCTGGCTGTTGAGCAGGACAGGGATCGGGGCCAAACACAAAGTGGGAGTTTGACGCTGGTGGCTGAGGAGAGCCTTCCTCGAGGCCTGGCATCGCAGCTGCAGCAGGAGGCCGCCCATCTCCGCTCTGCCGGCTTTAGGGACCAAATGACGGTGAAACAAGCTCACAGAGTCGTGGAATGGGAGGGAAGCCAAGGATCATCTAGTCCCGCCCCTGCCATCCAGGATTCTCAACTAAAGCATCCATGGCAGGCGGCCTGAGGAGGCTGGGAAGCCGGCGAGAGGGCGCCTCGCCAGACGTGCTGCGTGAGGACGCGGGTCTTCCAGGAGCCCCTGCCTCGCTTCTTTGGGCCCTCCAGGTCTCGCCCCTCGTGCCTGACCATTGGTCCTGCTGGCTGGCGCTGGTGCCCAGCAACCTCTGCAGGGAGCCGCGTTGGTGTGTTGGTTACCCCAGCAGCAAAGGGGTTCCTACATAAAATATTTTTGGGGTGCAGGATCCGGACGCTGTTCTGCACCGGTGGCAAGAGGAGGGGGTGTTTCAGCTCCACACCCCCTGGGACTGAGTCCTCCCCTCCCTGGTGCCCTCCTGGCTCCCAGCTGCCAGCCTAGCCTCATGGTCGGGGAGAATGGGAGTTCGAATCCAGCCCACGCCCTTTACCAGGACAGCCGGAAAGAGGGCAGCTTCTGGACTATCAGCAGAGAACATGGGAAGCCCATGACCCGTTTCTCTGCCACGGAGCAGCAGAAGACCCCGGAGGAAAACGACCAGCCCTGAACTGGAACTGAACAAGCGGCTAGTGGCACGCAGGATCCATCCCTGCGCCACCCCGGCGGAGGAGCAGCGCCCTGCCCCGCCACGTCCCAATTCCCAGCCAGATGCTTCTGTTGTGGAAAGTGGCAGGTGCCCTCGGGAGGCTGTGCCAAGGCTGCCCTGGGCAGGATCCGGAGGGGTCTTTCCCCTGGGGGCTTGGCTGGCAGCTCAGGCGCAGCGGGGGTCACTGCGGGGACTGAGTCACGCACAGCCCGCTTGCGCCTCTGGAGCCAAGGCAACCGTCCTGCAACGACAGTTCTCCCGGGAGGGCGCGTCTGTCTGTCACCCGCCCCTCCCCCGGCTTGCACTTGCGCGATATTTTTAGCCCGGGCTTCTGGAGAGCGGCCAGGTCCCGCAGAGCCGCCTGCCTGCTTTCCTCTTCCTGCAGGTTCCAGCTCGGCAGGAAGTCGCGGGGGGCGGAGCTGAGCCCCGCGAAAGCCTTGCGCGATGGGGAGAGAGAGAACTGGTCTGGCTCTGCCACACGTTATGGGGAAGTGGAGGGCGCAACTGCCCCCCCCGGGTACAGATCCGCAGGTCCCTGTGGGGTTCCGGCTCTGCAGAACCCACGTCGACCCCATAATGTATGGGGCAGAGAGGAGGAGCGAGAGCAGGGGGCAAGGCTGGGTGGTGTGTGGGGCCTCTCAGCCCGCCTCGCCCTGTCAATCTCTTGTCACCCCTGAATCTCCAGCCAGGCAGCTGAGCGGAGTGGCAGCCCCCCCCTCCAGGTTCAAGGCATATGAGAAGCCCCCTCGTCCCCCGTTTGTCGCAGCAACGGGTCTCGCTGCAAACTTAGTCTTTAAGGTGTTGCGAGGGAGCGAGAGAAAAGCTTTTCTCCACCCGCTTTCTCCGGGCCTTGAGAAATGCTAGTCACCTCGAGCGCTGCGGCTGCGCCCTTTCCTCAGAAGGGAGTCTCTCCGACCCCTCCATCACTCGGACTGCCATTCTCATTTCCCAACCTGCCGCATCCTTTTTGAGGCGAGGCGACCAGAACTGGACACACAACTTAGCTGCGGTCGCGCCAGGGAGCTGTGCGCGAGATGGGCAGGTTTTTCCCGGCTGTTCCTGGCGCGCAGGCTGCCTGCTTTCAGGGCCCCGACACACAAACCAGGGTGGCATCTTGCCCAAGGCCTCCACCGGGACCCCAAGAGGCCTCTGAGCCAGGCTGGGGGTTGGTGCCAGGGGGCCCCCCTTCTCGGCCTGCCTCTGCCCTTTCATCCCTCTCTGTGAGCCTCATCCTGCCCAGGATAAATCTGCCGGCTGGAAAGGAAGCTCTGGCTGCCTCTGCTGCCCACAGCAGCCCGGCGGGGGGGGGGGGAGGCGATTCGCTGTCGCTGCTGCGAGACTCAGCTCCCCTCGCCACCCTCCCGCAAAGGGCAGAGCCCCCTCCCCGCCAGCCCCGCTGACGTGGCTCCCCAGGGTGCCATCGGGGGGCCTGGCTCTTGACATTTCCCGCTGCGCTCAAAATAGCTTCGCTGGAGCAGCTGCTGCTCGCCTCCTGCTCGGGCTGCATCCGAGCCCCCCGCCCGCTAGAGAATGTGATGCGCCCCCAAGGCGGCTGCTCTGGCCTGGCGGGTTGCAAAGCCTGCTCCGCTTCCTCGTGGCCCCCTTGGCAAGTCCCCGCGACCCCCGGAGAGGAACGAGAGGGAGCAGCAGCGGCAAGCTCAGGCCTGCGCGCGCGGGTCGGCCAGCTTCGCTTTCCTCGCCTGCCTGCCTGCCCCATTGCCAGGGGGGCATCGTGAGCTGCGCCCCCTTTCCAGGCGCCACTCAGAGGACGCTTGTGAAATGGGCACCTCGCCGCCTTCCCACCAAACGCGCTTCAGGTGGCAAAGGGCAGGAATAGACTCTATAGGGAAACTCAGCAGCGAAGGGGTGCGCGGGCTTGCGGCAGAGCAGGATCCTGACCCTGCTGCGTGTTGAGGCCCGAGGGCTCTCTGAAACTGAGCTCTGCCCCCTTATTCTCTCCTCCTGGTCGGGGAGACCCCCACTCCGCAGGCAGCCGCTGAGCTCGGGACGCTGTCCATGGTACTTACTTGTTTTATTTATTTACAAAACTATTTATATGCCGCTGTGCCATAGATATAGGCACAATATAAAAACATAAAACTATACTCTAAAATCACGAAAAGCTAAAAACAAGTTAAATGCAAAAGAATTGAAAGCAGACATCAATTAGCTACGGGGAAGGATGCATTCTTCCTCTCCTGCCTAGGCCTGGCAGAAGAGAGATTTTTTACAGCAAGCGGACACAGAAGGCACCTGCTGACTCTCCCGTAGCAGGGAGTTCCACAGGCTCAGCTCCTCCTGGTCCAGGAGGGCTCCCTGGTGCTTCCAGCTGCCCGTGGCATGCCTGGGAGGGTGAGCAAAAGAGCTCAGGGGCAGAACACTTGCTTGGCATGCAGAAGGTCCCGGGTTCGATCCCTGACACATCTCCAGGAACAGCCGGAAGAGACTCCTGAATCTGAAGCCCTGAAGAAACGCTGCCAGTCAGGCAATCCTAGAATTGTAGAGTTGGAAAGGGACCCCCAAGGGCCATCCAGACCACCCCCTGCAATGCAGCAATCCCTGTCCCTCTGCTGCTCTTAAACAGGCATTTTCACACCATTATATTTTTCAAAGGAAATCTGCAGATAGTCTTGACCTGCAGGGGGAAAAAAAAAGCAAAAAACAAACAAACAAAAAAGCAATACAAAATAAACAGAAGATTGAAAACAAGAAAAAGCACCCAAAATCATCACAGATGAAACATCAGGCAGAAATCCAGATTGTTATAATTTATTCCGTTTATATCCTACCCAGATTAAAGGAGCCCAGATTAATGCAGTCCTGATATGGGGAGGGGGGGTGAGACTTATGAGTGGAGATGGGGGGGCAAAGGCCTCCCCCGCTCCCCGCTAGAGCCCAATCCCATGGGCAGCTGCCTGAGAGAAAGCCACGGCACTCTGCTCTTTCCAGAAGGACAATAGTCCTTCTCTGCCATCTCGATGGCTCACTGCTTCCTGTAGCTGCTGCTCCTGAGAGCAAGGGGGGTGCGCAGCTAGATTGCTATGTTCCTGTCTCAATTGCAGCCTCCAAATCTCACCCAAGGGGCAGGTTTATTTTTAGGAAAGGTTCCTTGTAGAGTTCTCTGCT